AAAAAACAGAGAAAACAATTTTATGGATTGGTTGAAGGGAAAATGCACAGGAAGCCCCAGATTCATGGTCAAAAGCCATGGGTTTCCAATTTTCAGATTGTCCCTGTCACCAATCCGATGAAAAAAACAGCTAACAACAACAACAACACAACAACAGCCAACCCATGCCAACCCGATGAATCCCCAACAAAAAGATCCACCACCAAAAACCAGAGAAAACATATCGTGCGTTTACACCGGACCTCACAGGCGCCCCCGCCCGACGTGGGCATCGCACCGCGGAGAAACAAAGGGCGTGGGACTTTGCCGCCCAGGGCGACGCAGATCTGAGGCCCGCGAGTGGAGCTGGAATTTTCATGGGAATTTTCATGGTTTAGTGTGGTTTAATAGGGATTTTAATGGTGATTTTAATGGGGATTCAATGGGCATTTTGTGGGATATAATAGGGATTTAGTGATTTTTCATGTCATTTAATGGTGATTGTTTCTATAAGTTAATGGAGATTTAGCCGCGCCAATATCTGGATAGAAAAAGGATTTTACCATCCAGTGAACTAACATAGCTATGGAAGCCATGGCCCATTTAGTTCGATGATTTGCACATTGATTAAAGATGGCGATTCTTCATAGCTATGTTGGTTTACCAGAAAAAACCTGGCAACAAAAGGATAGCCAGGAAAGATCTATGTTTTTTTAGGTGTTTAGGGTTTTAGTAACCAAAATTTCCGCTGCTTGCAAACATTTTCAGCTGGGAGTTGGTGTGTTTTTGCAGGGGAAAATCCATGGGTTTTGGCGCCATCAACACTTGTGGCCATCAGATGGCAAGAGATGGGAACTTTCGCCAATAAACATGATGACTTTGCGTGCCGCTTTTTAAGCAATGAACACAAGAAAAAACGCATACGTGACTGGAATGGTACGTATTTCAATCAAGAAAAATCTGGCATGGAATGGAATCATTGGATTCTGTCACCACCTGAGATGCTGCAGGGATACAGTAGGAAGCACAATGATACACCCTAAGACCATGTGCCAAAAAAACATGTGAGGGCTAGTATCATTTCCCAACTTGGATTTTTGATTTGGCTTCAGACTTTGGATGACACGTCGGTTTCTCCATTTCGACCCAGTTGGGAAACAGGTATCTACCACCTTTGCTCGGCAGTTCTGCCAGGATCTCCGTACAACAGCGGCAGTGTGATGGAATTTGCCTCATGTACAGAGCGCGCTATTTCCGGTGCCCTTTTAGGCACTGGGATGATCCAGCTTGAGTTGGTGCCTAGTAACTGGGTTCCAAAACCCCCCGAGCCCCCGACCTGCTACGATTTCCCACTTATTCTGTGGGGGACTTGCCGCAGTTACTAAGCACTAAAAGCCAACTTCAGTTGGATTTTCCCAGCAATGCTTGCCTCTTTTTCTGAGGGCGGTGCGTGGTGCGTGGCATGGTGCTCGGCCAGTTGTAAGTTGCAGCTTGACCAGAAAGGCCTAAGGCACTGGGAAACTGCAGACCCCGTACCTCAAGATCACTTTGGGGGACAAAGGCGGCTCTACGGGCAGTCAGGTGTCTGAGGGTTGGTTAGTGGCATAATTGTCGGATATAATTATATATATATGTAGATATCAACGGCACACAGCACACATAAATAAGAGCAGTATGTGCTGTGAACTTCTTGATGTATAGTCATTTCATCAGCTTAGCTAAAATTTAAAACATGCTAAAAGTGTACGTTTGCCCCTGTACATGCTGGGCATCCTTCCAGTCTGCCGCGTCACTTGGGCTCAAGGGGTGAATATGAATAGACTCACCCAAGGAACCCCACCGGACAAAGAAAAAAAACCACTGGACCTAGGGGGTTAGATCCCCATCCTGACTATCCCCCCTAAATTCAGATTATTTTTCACCCTGAGCGTCCAAAATTATATCCCATTTACTAATGCACAGAATTACACAGAAACATAGCCCTATTCGAAGCTGTACAGCATCACCTAGGGCGCCAGACTAAAGGGCCGCGGATGTCGTTCTGCCTGTTGAGGAGGTCGGGCCGCTGTGAGCCCCATCTCCACTCTGCAACGAAAAAAAAACTGGAGGGGAGAATCATCCCTTTACGGGATTTCGATACGCCAATCAGCCCCTTTCTCAGCCCCTTTCGGGTGAGAAAGACAAATCCACCATCACTGCGGATCATTTCCTCATTTCCAAACAGGAAACCTAGGGATTTCCATATTTTCGCCACCCAGCCTACCTTCAGCCAGGTGGCATGTGGCCGGGACCCCAGGATCAAGCCCGATGTTTGGAGCCAAACTGAAAAACCGTCCGATGTTAGCATAGCTATTGAAAATGGCCCATATATATATATATATACATACACACACATATATATATATATATACACACATATATATACATATACATATATACATGTATAATATATATATATGTTATATTATACATTTATAATTGATTTTACTTATTCTAAAATGAATTATACACAATGCTGTTTTTCCCATAGTTATGCCAGTTTACCAGAGGGTATTTCTCGAGGATTTTTTACATCTGTTGTGGACTTCAACGACCTGGCCGAAGGTCAGCGTGTTGCTCGTCCTGTGAGAACAAGAAGTCGCAGGACACTGCGAGGGGGACACAACTCGCTGGTGTGAGTTGGAGGTAAAACCGGTTGGTCGTCAGATATTTGGCTTGGGATTTGATGGAGATACAATGTATGTATGTATGTATATATATATATATATATACGTGTGTGTGTGTGTGTTCTATTGGTTCTGGGATATGTAAGTAAGTAGTATTAACTAATTGATCATGTGATGTTTTGTTTGTGCCATAGATGAACTTGTCCTATCTGCGCTACTAAGGTCTACCAAGCAGTTGCTCATATCAGACCGAAGTGGATGGGACAGCTGAATCTGTGACGTTTTTTTTCAGGAGAACTTGTCATTTGAATTATTTAGATAATGAACAGCAAGAATGACAACGATAAATGAAAAGTTCCATCATCATAATCTTCAGATATCTTTAGATAATAAAACATACATAGTTATATTTAGATAATGAATGAGGATCAAACCCTATCCGGCAAACATTTACGACACAAATACCCAGTGTTTTTGTGGTCAGTTCAGGTCTGTCATGACCGGTTCTTTCATGCTTTCTCGCCATGAGAGGTATTAACTCATGGGGCATGGACACCCTAATGTGTCACAAGAACATGAGCTACACACAGAGGACTCTAAATTGCCAGGTGAGTTTCCAGTACTAAAAGTGCTAGGAGAAACTGAGACAGCTGTGTGCAGCTAATAGGCTAATCAACATCAACCTGTCCAGATCTAAATAGATTTGCCCAAGACTAGGGGTATCACAAGATCCACTGCCAGTGGTATAGATGTTTCGAAAATCATCTTCCACATTTTGAGATGGCAAGTTGGTGTAACCTCTGGTAATCAAACGTGGAAATGGACAATCCCATAAAAATGATAATAATGACAAGCATGAAAGTTTATAGCTGGAAAACTCACCGAATTAAATGGTGGATTTTGCAGCAAAGCATGTTTGATTACCAGAGGGTACACGCTCATCAGATCCCATTAAATCATCATAGTCATCATTGTTGCTGTCTAAATCCCATATATATATAATTATATAATCAATATATCAATATCAATCATACCCATGAAAAATAACCATTGTTGTTAGTTAAATCCCGGTAGTCTGATTTAAACTTATCTTTTTGATGGTTTAAGCATGTTTAAGCCATATAACACCCATTATATCACCATTGTTCTTAGTCAGATCCTATTAAAACCTATTGAATTATATTAAGTTATAATTTTTTCATAGTTAAGTTAAGTTTCTTTAAACTTATTAAATGATCATTTCTCTTAAGTTAAATATCTTTAAATCCCATCAAATCATCATTTTTCTTAGTTGAACCCCATGAAATCCCATAGCCAATCTCATCCCGCAGCCAGGAGCCTGGCTCTTTCCCCTCTGCTCCGGCGTTGGAAGCGGCGCACGACACATTGGAAGCCAATGAAGGTTGGGGCCCTTGGGACCTGCCCTGGTGACTTGAGGTGATTGATGCCATGAAAACAAGTGGATATTACCCTCTGGTTATGACTAACATAGCCATGGTTAAGCCATGGCCCTAATCGAAATAGATGGTTTACCGTTCTTAACAAAGGGTGGATTTTCCATGGCGAACTGTTAAATAACCAGATGGTAATATATTTTCATGGGGGTTGATGGGGTTTTTGAGTTGGGATTCAAAATCTGATTTGATGTGAATCAGCATGGGGAGATTCAGGGAACTCAAGTTTGATTTGTCAGTTCTGTTTACTACCCATTGAAATGATGATAGGTAATCTCCATTTATGGTGATTAATAATGATTTAATGGTGATTAATAGGGAATTCACCAACATGAATCTTCATTCATCTCCAGAGTTGTCAGGCGAGCTGAAGCAAGAGCTGCAGGACAAGCTGGGTTTCCGTCATCAGTCCCAAGGTCGCGCAGCAGTTCGATAGCTAAGTCCCATGGATCTGTTTGAAAATAGGGGATATGCCGTAGATGTCCTTTTCCCATTGGTTGGTTGGTGAATAGAGGGGTTTGTTTATCCCTTTAACAACAGGTAAATGATGATAGATGGTATACCAGCTCCCGGCCCCTCTATTTTTACCAAAAGGACATTGTTGGGATACATGCTGATTAGCCAGTGGATTTAGGGCTACTACATTTCCAGAAACAAAAACATATGGGCCATATGGGGATATGAATGGGGATATGGGGATATTTTAACTAAGATATATCCCATATATTCATATCCCACTGACTTATAAAGAGAATACAATGGGGATAATATGTGTAGACCATCGTGGCCAGGATGGAGGGATGAACGTGACGGGGATAGGGATTTTCTTCATGCATGAAAATTATTATGTTGGATATGGGGAGATACTGGATATAAACATTTTTTTCTTTTAAGGGTAAAGATTCACGGGATATATATTTCTAAAATTCCGGGATATTTTTAGATAACATGCCAATATAATTACAATTGGATATAAAGATTGTAGTTTTACCCGGCAAAAAAGGGATTTGATAGGAGATAGTGCCAAAATAAGCCAATAAGGGTAGATTACTTTAGTAAGGGAGGGTCTAGTTGTGTTTAGAAAGTACGAAAAAACCACGTAACGCGATAGGCCCCCCAAAGAAACGATAACTTGTAATCATATGAGAGTACATCAAATTTGGTGTAAACCAATGAAATGTTGCTGTGCACCTTCATGCCATGGACAAAATTGATGAAGAAAATTCAACCAATTATGATTCGATCAATGAACCATGGAATTGACTGGACATGTGTGTGCAAATTCTGGCAATTCCAATACGGAAAGTTATGATTAACGACTAGGTCACTATATAGGTTATTTGGTTGGGTGTACTGTATTACTGTGATAAGCTAACTCACTAACTCTAGTTCGATGGGTCTTATACACCAAGGTACACCACTGTGGGGGCACCACCTTGAACCGAAGGCAACGCTTCCCACAGTGGCGAACTGCTCCTTGGGGTGCTTGGTTTACCACGACCGTGCGGCTTTGAAGCTGTTTGCATCCCTATGGGATATATTTAAGGGATGATGATGGGATATACCCTCAATCGCATACTTATTCATTATTATATATATATAGTTTGAGGGTATATCCCATGTACTTATACCCTATATATATATAGTTTCCCCTATGTTCAAATCACCAAAACATTTTTGGTCCCATCTACCGTGCGGCTTAAAGAAAATTGGCTGCACCCATTTATTCCGAATTCCGTTGGACGATCGTCATTTTCCCAAAGCCTCCGGTAGTCAAACGTGGCTATCTGGAAAATCATCCATTTATATGATTTTCCCAGCTATAAACTTCGATTTATAGTGGGTATGTTTCCAGATTTTCCATATTTAGTTTCCTATGATCTCTGTTAAAGAAGGGATCTACCAACAATTCGCCAGGTTGAGGACACCGGAGGCACCCCATTTTTAGGACTCAACGCCTGCGCAGGAGTTAAGTCATGCCTCCGGGGGGGTGGTGGAGGAGCTGATTGGGGACCAGAAGATAAGATTATGGATAAGTTGATATTAATGGCATGATTGTGAATATCATGGGAGGATATATATATATATATGTATATATATATATGTATATATATATACATGTAATCATATATATATATATATGTATAATTAATTATATTTATATATATATATATATATTTGGGATGATTATGGGATATACCCTCCGGGGTCAACAAAAACAGGGCTAGCTGCGAAATCAGCAATGGGGGTTGCTCATTTTCCAGCCATGGGTCTTTGCCAAAGGGATGTCAAGCCACAGTGCTTGATCTGGTTGGATCTGGTTGGCTGTTAGATTTGGATCTGGTTGTTCAAGCAACGAGCGGAACAAAATATGCACATATTTGATCATACCCTCTGGTAAATTAACATAGACCCTGGCAGATAGGGGTTGGAAGATTAGTTTCCATTAAAACTAATCTATTTTCAGGGTCTATGTTAATTTACCAGAGGGTATTTGCATACTTTTTTACTGAGATTGATGGAAGAAATCGAAGAAATCCTGCACCAGTTGATACCAGTTGGTAAATGGTTTATATCCCATTACAATCCCATGAAATTTACCGTGTTTCATAGGAATCCCAAAGCATTTCATCAGTATCAGATTTTGGTGGATGATTTCCAATGAGTCATTTATAAAACTTTTAGTGGTATCTAGACTGCAGGCACTAGCACATTCAGGTCTTGGACAATGATGATTGCTCATGATCGCCCACTGTTTGACTGTTTTTTTGCTACCCGTTGGGTCTTCCTTAAGTTTACTGTTGACTTCAAACAGCATGTGTGTGTGGGCTTTAGGTGGGTTTACGATCACATTGTTGCGTGATTCTACTGCGTTCTGGTGGAAATCATTGTAGATGTTGTTTCTTCACTTTTTCCAAGGCATTTGAAGTATAACAATCAGGATGTATCTCAGCACAAGCGCCCGCATTAAAGATATTAAAGTGGACATACCGTGGTATAAGTATCATGAAGCTCTTTTTATGACTGCGCATCCTGGAAACCAGCCAGTTAGGGCCAAAAGTCATAAACCACCCGGACTGGGAATGGTTTAATGGTAACCATACCACCTATTTATGGTGATGACTGGCGGATGGTTTAATTATTGTTTTAACCACATTACACAGATCCATGGATAGCACCCTGCCATCATCCAAATGTGGGATAATCTGGGGGTTATCCCCCACAGAAGCGCCCCCATCCGATGGCAGCACTTATAATTCATGGATGGTATACAGAAAACCTTCATTGCGCAGTTCAATTAATATTTTTCCCTTTTTGCTAGAAATGATGATGGAAGGAGATGTATGATATATGAACTCAACTAGCGAAACAAAGAATGTAAGGCATCGTCATCCCCCAAAAGACAGACAAGTCATAAAGAGTAAATCCCCATTATTTTTTTCAAAATAGTGAAGGCTGGATTTTCTATCTTGTTAGTATTACTGGATTTTCTATCTTTTTTGGGTTGCTATACCATCTGCTATACCTATTATGGGCATCTAAGAAATTAGACATGCATGACTCCGCCCCTACACTCCAGCCGTTGGCTCAAAGCTACCAACGGTGGCCTCCCGTCCGACCAAATCGTGCGTCGAAAAATCACAGTGGCTCCGCGTCGTCGCCATGGATATGTTAAGGAAGATGATGAGGAAATCTCCTGCGGAGGAGACGGGACTCGAGAGGGCTTCAAGATGGCTTCAAGACGCTTCAAATGGTAAAAGGTCTTTAGATGTATACACATACGCACACAAACGCACACAAACGCACACAAACGCACACACACACACAGATTTATATATATATAATATGTGTGTGTGTGTTGCATATTACTTGGATATTTTTGCTATGATTTGGCATTCCTGCTACTGCACTTGTATGGTTAAATCTCTTTATTGGAGGGAACATTGGCAGGAAACCCCGCTTTTGCCCGCCAGGAATATTCAAACATACGGATCACTCCTGATTGTGTTGTCAAATCATCTCAAACCAGTTCGGGGATTAAATGAATATTCACTCATTTGTTTAGGCATCAGGGCGAGGTAACATGCAAATTTGAGGGCTCCCTAAAGCATGAGAACATTAGTTTCCACATGAAACTTGCAATGATCTGGATGCATATACCAACCCCATGACATGTTTCCATTCATTCTCATGATCATAGATTAAACCGATTCAAATCACGAAATTTCCTGGTCATTTCCCATTTTTTGGCAGATTGCCATCTCACACGGCACTGGTAGCCCCGGGGGAGGGACATTGTAAATAGGATTAATGTTAAAAGAACAACGTTATAAGCTATCATGACTGGGGATGGTAAACATGCCACCCATTGATACTGAGATGGCGATTTTGTTGGCGGCAGTGATGGATCCGGCGTTGCTTTACCAACATCGATATCAGCTTTTGATTGTTGGTTTCATCATCGATATAACTGGTAGCATCTCCATAAAAAAACCATACTTTACTTCGAGTGATCCCCACCATGACATTTAAATTTATACGTTTTAATACTGGCAAATCTTCTGGCATTCGATCTGGTATTCTATCTGGCATAGCTTCTGGCATTCTATCTGGCATATCTTCTGGCATTCTATCTGGCATATCTCATGGCATTTTATCTGGCATATCTTCTGGCATTCTATCTGGCATATCTTCTGGCATTCGATCTGGCATTCTATCTGGCATATCTTCTGACATTCTATCTGGCATATCTTCTGGCATTCTATCTGGCCGTTGAGGTCCAGCAGTGCACACTGAGCTGGGAAGGTCCCAGGTTGAGGTCCAGCGGTGCACACTGAGCTCGGAAGGTCCCCGGTTGAGGTCCAGCGGTGCACACTGAGCTCGGAAGGTCCCCGGTTGAGGTCCAGCGGTGCACACTGAGCTCGGAAGGTCCCAGGTTGAGGTCCAGGTTGAGGTCCAGCGGTGCACACTGAGCTGGGAAGTTGGCAAAGAGCTTGGCCAAGAGTTGGCAAGGCGGAAGTTGAGGTGGAAGTTGATGCAGACATGGTCGAGGAGAAACAGGCGGAGGAGAAGGAGGAGGAGGAGGACGAGGAGGAGGAAGAGGAGGAGGAGGAGGATAGCTAGCCGAGGAGGAGGAGGAGGAGAAGAACAACTGTGATAAAATCTAACAACCCTCACCTAGCAGGTGGGGAAAACATATTTAGGTAAAAAAACTACTAGGTTATATCCCAATTCATCAGCAATGGATTCCCATAAAGTAATATGAGTCACCATGAATTGCCGTCCGACAGTACCGTTCTGACCACCTCATTTGCCGTCTGCCGTCCGACCTTGGCGCCGTGCCGTCAGGACAGGTACACGGAGCTCGGAGAGCGAGAATCGCGGGAACTGATGCACGAGGAGCGTGGTTTGGAACCCAGCAGGGCTTGGAATTCTGTAGCTGGTTAGTGTAGCAACAGGGGATTCAATGGTTAATCTATGGTTTTTCTAATGGTTGATAATTGGAATAACAATAATCACTGGTTGGTGGTTGGGAAACTGTAGGGATTAATAGTGGTTAATATACTATAGTGGTTACTATGAATAGTGGTTACCAGCCATTTGGCAATGGTTTATAGCACCTATTTAGTGTTTGGTTGGTGGTTGGTGGTAATTAACTATAAGGTGATGCCCCTTAGGAACATCATGATTTAACCCAGACAAATGTCTGGTTGGTGGTTGGGAACTGGTTTAGTATGGGGTAATGATGGTTAATGATGGTTAATAATCACTGGTTGGTGGTTTGGGAACCATGGATTTTTATGACTTTCCATTCAGTTGGGAATTTAATCATCCCAACTGACGAACTCACTCCATCATTTTTCAGAGGGGTAGGTGGCTCAACCACCAACCAGGTGTAGCAGGGGATTCAAGGGACATTTTTCTTGGCCAGATACTTTCCATTACTTTCCCATTTGTTCATTTTTTTTTGGGGACACGCAAAAAACACATAACCTCATTGACACTGTAAATTGAGAGCCCATTGCAGCCCATTTCTGGGCAAAGTCAACATCAAATTGCTGGTAAGTACATCATGTCATATCCCACGCTATGCCGCTATGCCCATTGCAAGGATATCCCAATCTGGTTGGTTAACAACCACCATTTGCCCATGGAATTCCACACCGTCAAAGTGTATACAAATCAAACCACGAAAAAAAAAGCAGTTGCAAGATGATTATAGTCCTGACATCTTCAGTTTCTGTAGTTTATACACCTCACTTCCAACTTAACTATCTATCAGATTATCAGTTTCTATAGCATTCAAAACACTTTTAAAACTTTAAACCCCACTTGCCCTCGCCCCGCCAATCACAGTTTGATTCTGAACATGGCCAATCTTTAAACCTCATCTTCTCCCAAAACATGGCAGGCTCGAACTGTTCTGATTTACTGTAGGGTACTCTATGGTTATTCAATGTTATTCAACATGAACATAGCCTAGCTATATGGAAAATCATCATCATTTTCACAGGTAAATCTAAAACAATGATACAAATGGTAAATCTAAAATATGGAAAATCATCATGTTTTTTCCAAAATCATGTTTTTCTAGATCTAAAATCATCATCTACCCTCGGGTTATTCAACGTAGCTATGGGAAATCACTATTTTAATAGGTAAACCATGATAAATCATCTATTTCTATGGGCCATGGCTTCCATAGCTACGTTATTTTTTCCAGTTATAAATTGGTTATCAGCCCATGAACTATAGATATATCACCAACAAAAACCATAATTATAATTGGAATTATAAACCTATAGTGAATGGTTATCTATAGTTAATTAACTATAGTTTATAAATTTAGTTTATCTATAGTTTATTAGACCATTAACTATAGTTATATCATGATATATCACCTATAAACCATAGTTATTGGAGTTATAAACCAACTATACCACCAACAAAAACCATAGTGAAATTGGAGTTATGTTCACCAACTTAGCGAACGAACTGGGGCACCACCTTGGTCGCCATCCATCACTTCCACCAGGACGCAGACCCGGAGGCAGCGGTCGAGCACGAAGCTTCGGGACGCCAAGTGTCGGGACATCTGCAGGATGGCTTGGCTCCTCGCTTTTGAGTGGGGAAAAAAGCTGAAAAGCTGGGAGATTTATAGAGATGTATGGAGATTTATGGAGATTTATAATGAATCTTTTGTGAGTTTAGTGGATTTTCACCGATTTCATCATGAAAAAATGGTGGGATTCATGGGATTTGATCAAGAACGATTGGGATTTCATGAAGAAAAATGGTGCTTTGGCGTTGAAACAGATGGAAAACATGGTGATTACCGAAGGAAAATAGGGTTTAGGCATGAAACACGATTCAATCATGAATCGCACCATGGGTTGGGTTTTTCGTTTGATGTTATTTTCGATTTCTTGGCTTTGCTTGGTGATTTTCTAGATTTTGCATGATGAAACATCCGTCGAATTTAAGAAGTTTATTGTGGTATTATGCAACTGTATATATATATATATAAATATGTATATGTATGTAATGTAATGTAATGTAATGTCCTGTCATGTCATGTCATGTCATGTCATGTAATGTAATGTATGTAATGTATGTATGGTATGGTATGGTATGGTATGGTATGGCATGGCATGGCATGGCATGGTATGGTATGGTATGTATGGTATGTATGTATGTTATGCTATGTTTTGTTATGCTTTGTTATGTTTTGTAATGTAATGTAATGTAATGTAATGTAATGTAATGTAATATATGCAATGTATGCAATGTATGCAATGTAATGTAATGTAATGTTATGTTATGTTATGTATGTATGTATGCATTCATGTATGCATTCATGTATGCAAGTATGCATGTATGCATGTATGCATGCATGTAATTATGTATGTATCCATCCATCCATCCGTCCGTCCATCCATCCATCCATCCATCCATCCATCCATCCATTGCATCCATCCATCCATCCATCCATCCATCCATCCATCCATCCATCCATCCATTGCATCCATCCATCCATCGATCTATCCATCCATCCATCCATCCATCCATCCATTGCATCCATCCATCCATCGATCTATCCATCCATCCATCTATCTATCTATCTGTCTATCTGTCTATCTATCTATCTATCCATCTATCTATCTATCTGTCTATCTATCTATCTGTCTATCTACCTATCGATCTGTCTATTTATATCTATCTATCCGTCTATCTATCTATTTTTCTATCTATCTATCGATCGATCGATCGATCGATCTATCTATCTATCTATCTATCTATCTATCTATCTATCTATCTATCTATCTATCTATCTATCTATCTATCTATCTATCTATCTATCTATCTATCTATCCACATGTACATATGCGCGTATATGTGCATATATATATATTTATAGATATAGTTTGGGGTGAGGGCATCTTGCGCAAATCCGAGAACAATGTTTTTTTTCCTCAAGCCATGGGGTGTTAGCAGCAAAAACCTAGCTCTTAACCGACCAGAATGGCCATAGGATGGGATATAACTCTTACATTTCATATGTTATATATCTTTGTATATCTTATAATTATTTGTAACCAATCTTACAACCAACAATATGAGTTCAATCGGTCTCAAAACGCTGCATGGCTCCTCAAGATATGGTGAACCATATATGGTGGCAGGGTAACGTCAGCTTTGGAGGGTGCCCCTCGAGCAGTTCGTCGAGTTGATCCTGGAGGTATACGAAGATCGATCGCAGCCCCCTATAATTTGCATATGTTGTTTTTTTCTCCTCCTAAATAAATAAATATATATGTATATATGTATATATTATAGTATTTTTATAATGATATAGTATTCCCCAAAAAAAGATAGATGATAGATGTATAATGATGTATATAAATCACCAGTTTCGCAGGATTTCACTATCTTCTCTTTTTTTGGGCTTAGCAATCCTAACGTATCATCGAACTCGCTGAAAAATCGCCCCGAGGCCAAGCAATTCCTCGACAAACCGGGAATTCCAATGCCGCCAATCCCCCGCTTCCGTGCGACCTTGTGCTGTCGATGGCTGCTGCTGGTATTCATCTTGATAGGCGGCTTGGGGGTAAGGCATGGTAAGGCGGCCAGCCGCTAGCCATAGGCATCCCTTTTTTGAGTTTCCCTTAAACGCCAGTGTTGATGGGTCACCTCCACCTATTCTAGTCTATGTTGATGATGAACTTAAGATATTTAAGGTGATGGGGGTAGTAATGAACCGAACTAGCTGAAGCCAGAAATCATAATTAATTACCAAATTTTTACCAGGTGTCTGATCTGGAATAAAAGAACAAAGTGGGGTGCCACTTCTGGGTTTGCCACTTGGTTGCTTTCGTTTTCTGAAATTCAACACGGAACCCGTCAAAGAAGCCAAAGATGATTGCTTCCAAACCACAAATCATTTCCTATCTGGAATTGAACCATGTTGGTCGTTCCTTTTTTTGTGATTGAAACCAGCACCCAGCGTCTTAATTTTTTTCAGAGTTGTCGGTTAACATGAAATGGTCAAGACTGCGGCCAGGTTGTTGCAACGGAATTAAACTAATGTGGGTAAAAGAATGCCATTTGCACCATCCCCCAGTCATCACCATTTGGAAATAGGTGGTATAAACTTACCATTCCCAGTCATGGGTGGCAAAAACGACATTGTTTTACCCACATTATATCATCAGATATTCAATATCGAATGTCCAGCTTCCAAACTTTTTGTTTACATCCATTTGGGGGTTGCCACATATCCAGATAGCAAGACACACAACACTGCCAAAGCGGTGGCTCCGTGTCTCTGCCTTTGCTTTGATCTCATGCCCTCCCGGTCCCTCCCGATAAAAAAGGGGCAACAAAAACATCACCCATTTGCGCCATGTATGGACTATTTACATTGTATACCTACATTTGAATCATTTTGAGGAGTAGATGTTGGTAAATATCCTAGCACCATGGGGCATGTGGGGACATGAGCACAACTTCTATCTCGGAGTTCATGGGAACTTTTGCAAGAACCCCCTATAAACTGGGAAAAAGAAACTTGGTTTCTGTCTATACTAACCTCCAGTCCATAAAGATAGATTGTATAGTAGAAACTTCACGCAAATCTGGCTGTAACCTCCCTTTTTCGTGATCTGTTTGCTGGTGGGTTGCTAATACTATAGGGGCTTTATTGATTTTTATAATCAGATTATAATCACTCCCTTTCTGTTTCAGCGATTTTGAACCAAACATCAATCCTTTCATCAGCAGAATCCTGTGCCGATGCGATCACAGGCTTGGTACATTGGCTTGGCCGCTTCATGACGGTGCAAGCCTTTCACGACATCACAAACGTTCCTCTGCGATGGCGGGTTTGGTTGTGGTGGTGATTTATTTGTTTGGGGGCTGGCTTAGGGTTTAAACATGTTTAAATGTGTGAAACCAACAGAAAGATGCGGATGTTGCTGAGCATGTTTTTTTTCCAACTGCAATGCGGGGGAGTCTCACGCCCGAACTTCAGCGACTGTACAGTCAAAACATGATGGGTTTATCCGTTTATTTGAGGAACGTGGGGTGTACACATGGTGATGTTCAACTGACATGTTTGATTGCCTAAGGGGACTGGTTGCATACTCCAGGGGCTGGGGGACTGGGGGACGGGTCATTTTCTCGAGTTCCTGCGCTTCTTTTTGGGTGAGTCTTGGTTGGGATCGCAATGGTGACCCAACTTCCGTTGCCAACGCTCTGCAAGATAGAAACTTGGTAGTTTCAGCATGCTTCAGCCATAGTTTTTCCATCCACATTTCTAAACTGCAGGATGTTGCTCCCAGTTTTTTTTTGGCAATGGGCCTTTCAAATCTGCGTTTTTCTGCTACAGTTGCGCTGTTAGAAAATTGGGACAGAGCTTCATCAAATTCATTTTTGTTTTGATAATCCAGGCAGTTTTGCACTCACAAAATCACATGTTCCTAAGAGTTTTGACGCCAGTTTTTTGCAGTGGTGAGTTATTGAATAACCTTCACAGCGCCACATACTTGGGGAAGATGATAAAAAAAACAGCACTCATAGAAAAAAACAACAAAAATTCCAGTTGTTATTCCATCTAAATCAATCTCAAAATCTATTCTTAAATGTCGACATTTGCACACAGCGCTTAGATCATCCGTGGGCCCCGGGCGGTTCCAGTGATTCCAGTGAACTGAGTGGATAGTTAGAGCAGCCCCATATTTGAACTGATGGAGGCTTCATATCAAACACCCGACTTCGAAGTTTCAGACATGAACTGGGTTGATTGGGTTTGCCTAGGTCAAATGGGTCAAATTCATGTCCAAAGTGCTATTATCCCCTTATCATTCCATATCATCCCACATTTTCCCCTGAAAATCCCATACTTCCGAGATCTTCCATAGCAAACTCTGAGTTTTCTGGAGGGTTAACTTCCTTAGGTGAAGGAGTTGGAGTTGGAAGTGGACAACTGACACTTGGACGGGGAAACTGTGGTGATTTGTCCATCAAAAATGAGATACACCTTGGGGGTTTAAGCCCCAAACATGGTGAAACTTGGTTTTGAATGGCTATAACACGATGTAACATGACAGTCTTTCAGGGTGATTTCACTAGGTTGGAGTAGCACAATTCCCACGAATGGGGCTACACCGCTGCTAGGGACCTCATAAGTGAGATGTGGATCTACCATTTTGGAATTTTGGATTTGCGCTTGTGAAACTCAAGTCACCATAGTCCAGTCTTCTTTCCGACAATTACTGGAGATGCATATAATTAGCCCATAAGTTTCAATTACGCACAGGTTTTCCACACTTGATATGGTTGTTGGGCATAATATATACATATATGTAAATACTATCCAAAGTAAACCATCCACTAACACTATATATATATAACATTATATAACATATATATTATCCAAACCTCTTCCTGGATCTGCGTTTGGGAAGAACTTAAATCTCTAGGGCCCTAGGTCTAACATGAAAAGACACCTTAGACTCAAATCAAATCCTAAAGGGTGGGGCCCAGTGATCCAAACGTGGATTTTAAACGTTGAAGACTTCGTTGGTTTCTGAGATAGAACCCGTATAACACGTTTTTAGTCCCGTACTAGATCCTTATACCTGGTAAACTAGCATGGCTATGGGAAAATGGGTGATTCATGCTTGGTGTACCATGGTTTAACATAGTGATTTTCCAAAGTTATGTTACTTTACCCACAGGACGAGGGGTTGTCCCGAAGGGACAACCCCTCGTCCTACAAGGGTATGGCCCGGAGGGCCATACCCGAGAGCGGAGCTAGCAACCCATCGGTTCCATCATTCCAGTGCTAGGGGGATTTCCTTGTCATAACATGTCCTTGTCATAATCTCCCGGCCCCATGGAACATATACGCATACCTCCTATTAGGGGTTTCATATAGGGTATAACATAAGTTATAAAATCCCCCGGCCCCATGGAACATATACGCATACTTCTATTAGGTGCTTCATTTAGGGTTTACATATAAGTTATAAAATCCGGACTCGCCAAAAAAGTCGAAAAGATTGAAAAAGTGGAAATGGCCGAAACGCCTGAAGTCCGCAGAGGGTTCACTTTTCTGACTGATTTTTCCAAAAATTCGTCTTAGACCCGCTAACTCACAGATGTACCAGAGTCATAAAACACTGCACCTGCGCAGAGAAATGAGCCTCCCACTGACGTTCATACGACCATTCCGGGACAACCCTCAGTCCTGCCCGTTACTTTACCAGAGGGTATCCTCCATTATATAACCCTATGGGGAGTCGTCATACATTATAAACCCAGCACATCCCAGCCTCAGCACCTCCCAGCCCCTTCGCTGAGGTGATGTGGAAATGGCTCCTCTTCCTCCCAAGCTGAAGAACGGTGCGGTGACCATTCAGCGCCCTGGTTTTTCGGGCGAGGACGGAAGTTTTCATTTTGTTAAATTGTGGTAAATTAACAGTTCGACCCTGGCAGTCATCGGGGTTGGAAGACTAGTTTCCATTAACAATTGGCAATTTTCAGGGTCGAACTGTTTATTTACCAGAGGGTAAATTGTGGAAGATGTTTATGCCAGCGGACCGAAAACCGTGCTCGTAGAACGCACGTTTTTGTTAGCGTGTGTTCGGGTGTCATGATGGGGTGGGGTGGGGTGGGGGGGGCATGTTAACGTTCCTTGTACTTCGTACGTTATATGTTGCCACGCTACAGAGATCTCTGGTGTTGTCGAAGAATGGATACTACACAAGACAAGAGACGCAAATCCCATGGGGAGTTTGTATGCAACATACCCTTTGGCAATCTAACATAGTTGTGGACGAGCACCATTTCTAAAAAAAGTAAAATCATCTACAAATGGGCCATGTTCCATAGTTGTTTCAGATTGCTGCTGTAGGTGGTAAATTGAAACATTGGGTGATACTCAGCAACAGCAGGGATATAGATGTCGGGCACAACTTGATTAGTTGAAGGGTCCATGTTTTGCTCATCAATGAGTCAATGAGCGATATACATATATATATATATCACACCTCGGCATTTCTTGCAGGATGTCTAAGATAGGGCTATGCTTTGATAGTTACTGCAGATGGTGCTTGGGGTTTATCCTTCCACCCACTCTTAGGGTTGAGAGGATAGGTTTGCGGGCCCCAGTCCCCCCAACAGCCTCTTGGAAGATCCCCAAGGAGGCGCTCGGAAGGTGAGTTGGACCTAGGGCGCCATGCTTTCTACTGTTGCAGCCACTGATCCGTGATAGGGTTCTAGTCATAGTCCTTCCCACCCCTAGAAATCTTGACTATGAATTGGATCTGCTATGATCCTCCTTGCAATTTCCTCTGCAAAATCTCAACAGTTAAGCTTGGGAACATGGTGCGTTTTAGGGCCCTCCTTTGTTTAGGGGTACCTACCCAGTGTCAACGTTTGTAATTTTATAGAGGATTGGTGTCAGCGATTCTATAGAGATTTCATGTTGAAAACAGGTTGACACTGAACACTTGGAGCAAGAGCAACTGGAGTATTCAGGTCAGCTGTCAATGATGAGACTTGGGGAATCTGATTTTATAGAAGGCCAACTACCCCCCCACCTAAAAAAGGCTTTACGAGAGTGGCTTGGTGTCAGCTATTCTATAGAAAATGATGCTCAAAAACCACCTTAGCGACAGCAATTCTATAGAGAATGTCAACTTGAAAATGCCATAGCGTCTTTGATTCTGTAGATGCATGTTCAAAAGGAGGGTCAACGTCTCCAGGTTTATCACTATAAAATTGCTCACACCAACACTTTCACTTAATTCACAAGGGGATCTATTATGATCGATTCATTTTTGGGGCCCATCAGGATACTAGGGGGATGGGGTTGCACACAAGTCACTCTTGCTTGAAGCGTCGGGCTAAGATTACAATATTTTTTTTGTTCACACTATACATATCATATAAATTCTCCCACCCCCGTTAAGCTTATACATTCATTGAAGATTCTTCAATAAGGGTTTAATTTTCCCACCCCCCTTAAACTCTTACATTCATTGAAGATCTTCAATAAGGGTTTAATTTCCCACCCCCGTTAAGCTTCTGCATTCATTGAAGATTCTTCCAACAAGGGTTTAATTCTCCCACCCCCCTTAAACTCTTACATTCATTGAAGATCTTCAATAAGGGTTTAATTTCCCACCCCCGTTAAGCTTCTACATTCATTGAAGATTCTTCCAACAAGGGTTTAATTCTCCCACCCCCCTTAAACTCTTACATTCATTGAAGATCTTGAATAAGGGTTTAATTCTCCCACCCCCGTTAAGCTCTTACATTCATTGAAGATCATCAATGAGGGTTTAATTCTCCCACCCCCGTTAAGCTTATACGTTCATTGAAGATTCTTCAATAAGGGTTTAATTTTCCCACCCCCCTTAAACTCTTACATTCATTGAAGATCTTCAATAAGGGTTTAATTCTCCCACCCCTGTTAAACTCTTCCATTCATTGAAGATCTTCAATAAGGGTTAAATACATTGTTTATGCGGAGCATATTGGTGGTCATCATCATCATCATCATCACCATCATCATCATCATCATCATCACCATCACCATCACCATCATCATGCCCGGACACTCGTTGCGATTCCGGGCAAACCTCAGGGTCTTGCCGTAAGATTAGCATAAGTATGGCTTCATGGCCGCCCCTGTCGCCAAAAGCGAAGGTGGCGACTGGCTTGCTTGCTCCCTTGTTCATCAGATGCTTAATTACCACATGAAAAGAGGCCATTTATAGATATTTATAGTTGATTTACCCATTAAAAATGGTGATTCTCCATAGTTATGTTAGTTTACCACAGGGTAATTCAGCTATTCGCCATGTATTTTATTGGCATGGATGGGTATCCAAAATATCGAAAGGGTGGTCCCCGTTTGGAGTTGGTTTATAAGCCCCATCAATTACTACCATAATGACAGTAGATCTACCATAAAACATCCCATCAATTACAGATAATCAGAGTATACCTACCAAACAAAATAAACCCAACAGCTGTTATAGTTATAAGCCAACTTAGCTAACAAAGTGGGGCCCTTACACGACGAGTCGGCCCGAGCGACTTGGGATTCCCGCGTATGCTGTGGCGCATTGCTCGGAACGTACAAGTTTGACGTATTTTTGTCCGGTGCCAAAATCCTGCAAGAAAACCGGAGAGGATTAATGAACAAAACTTTTATAGTAATTTGGGGTTATTTCGGGGATAATAGCCCGCCAATGAATCAAACACGTTTTTATTACTCCAGGCCCGACATTTGCATCTTTTTTTGGGTTGCACGTGCGAAAATGAGGTGCCAGCCGAGCTTAATGCTTCACCACAGGTTGCGAAAACTTACTGCGCTATAATTCCATATGTTTGTTTCTTCGTTTGCTTTTGATGCGGCTTCTCAGCCGGCAGAACTTTGCGCGTGGGGAACGGCTCTTGATCTACACTGCATCTGCTAGCGCATGGCGGCGTTTATCATTTACCATATGTGCAATTGCCAGAAATATGGTGGTATACCCATCTGGGAAAATTGTAATGTCAGGTCAGTGAGGGGAATTATGCCAATTTGGTTTTATTTCAGGTTTGTGGATTCATATAGTTTACCCAGACCCATGCCGGTCATGATGCTGGCATGACCGTACTCCGCGCTGGTGACCCCCATGTATATTCTTGTGCAACTACCTTTCATCATAGAAAGGTCCGCTAAGAACCCGAAACTCAACTTTACTGACTACGGGGCACCGCCTTGTACCGTGTTTGACCATTGCATACCATTGCGCTCATCATCGAAGTTCTATCAATGTCTCGGTCATCCTTGATTCCGCTTTTGCAGTGCGGGCGCATGCGGGCGCTTCCCATGGGCCAGGGTCATTGTGGCTGAATTTGTTGGTTGGATAGTAGCATGGTTTCGTCTCAAGCGGTGTCCCGCCCCAACATGACAGTTGGAAGTGGCAAAGTGGTTGTTAGATACTGATGCAGCATTTGGGTTCGGAGTTTGTTTGATGAAACCATATTGCAGAAAAGTGGTCGGCAATAACGTGGGCACTAAAATTTGTTCGTGAACAAGGAGAGAACTTGAGAACAAGGAAGGATTTTAGGATAGAATAAATATGAGCTTGTGGTAGTGATATCGCTTTCACTTGAGTTCTTGTGTAGGCGGGCGTGTGTCCGTGTGTCACAGGTTCTTCGCCCACCTTGCCATCAAAATTGTTCAATTTTTTGCCCTTAAAATTCAAATTCAAACTCTGCAGATTGAACGCGTGCAAACTAGTTTTCCACTTGTGTTGGCAGAATTGCGTTCTAGAAACATTTTGCTGATCAAAATCTATCATTATCATGCCTGAGGGGATGAACATCCATTCACCAACTTCAGGAGAGAGGTTTTGATCCACACGATGTCGGCCGCTCCACTTAGAAATTGGTTTATAAAATTATAACCCATCCAATTATACTATATTATACTACTCTAGCTCAACTGACAACAACTCACCCCATCGCGGCGACGTCCGCGAGGTACTGGAAATTCATGAGCCAAATCCATCGCATTTCGAGTGAGGAGGACAAGATGACGATCCAAGTGGACATGAGGGTGGGGGCGGCCATGGGACGGGTTGTAGAACATTTTCCAAAAAACGAAATCATGGGATTTAATGCTGATTTAATGGGACTTATATAATGGGAGTTTAGTGGGATTTAACTGGGAAATCAATATGATGGGAATTTAATAATTCCATCCTCGCAATATTAAACATTCCCAAATGGTCCCAAATCCAAGGGTAAAGCATGGTTTATGCGGTGTGGTTCATATGAACGGGGAAAGGAAAGGATTTTACAAACAGGGATTAATTAATTTTGGTGTTGGTATTATTGGGATTTAAGCTATTCCAACCAAAAAAAATTGGGATATATGATGATATATGGGGATTATGGATGATTATGGTTGGAGGTAGATGAAATCCGACGTTAAATGGAGGTCATACGCATGGAACGTGTGGATTCGCCACCTTGTGCACCTCTTTTTTTCCTCATCCCGTCGGAGATTTGCAGAGTTCCGCCTCCAGCAGGTTTGCCGAGACCGTGCGAATTGATTCGCACCAGCCAAACTATGTTTTACTGGTTGGTGGTTTGGAACTGGTTTAGTATGGGGTAATGATGGTTAATGATGGTTAATAATCACTGGTTGGTGGTTTGGGAACCATGGATTTTTATGACTTTCCATTCAGTTGGGAAGTTCATCATTTTAACTGACTAACTCACTCCATCATTTTTCAGAGGGGTAGGGCTCAACCACCAACCAGGTTTTTTTAACGACTGTCAAATTTGTTTCACCAGAGGCTGAGGTGTAGACCCTGAAACCACATGTCAGGTTGCCAATGGATGATAGTATGGGATTCACCCAGTGCCATGATCACCTGTCATGGGCACTGCGCTTAGACGTATGAATCGTTCACATAAATAGGAAAAAACATGCAGGTGTAACTATCTTTAAAAGACACTGGATTCTAGATGGTCGGTGAATCCTTTTTTTTGGTAAGCAACTTAGATAAGAGAGGTCGTTTTGAATTTTGGTTTAGTTTTGCGTGCATGTTGGCATCAAAAGAGATGCGCAGCTGCAATTGAACGATCCGTCATCGCAAGTTTCCATCGACAAAAGCCAAACCAGCGGCCGAAAACACAAGAAGAGCAACAAAACAACTTTGCGGGACATTGGTTCTTGTTCAAACTGTGCTTTACACACATCGTTCTGTCCCTTAGCGAATTCTCAGAGTTTCCCCCACCTTTTGGGATGAAACCATAGAGATCCATAGGGCACGATCCATCCGGACCGGGGCCCAGCCATCCCTTGCCATTGTGGCGAGGTCAAAGTACCCATGTTCCGCTGTCTCATTTCCATTTTCACGACCCTTGGGCAAGAAATCTGGCAGTCTGGCATGGCGGCAGGACTTGTTGGCGGAGATGGGCGGCAGTTATTAATGATGATGGGTTCAGATCAGGGTAAAACATAGTGTGAAAAAGAATGCAACTCTTCAACATGGTTGTTTCTGAATTTCAGGGTGGTCCAAGCCGTTGGTTTCCCAATCACAAAAGATCCGTTTTGGACGAATTTGGAGCCCACATTTCCAGGAACCCCGGAACCCCCCATATGGATCCATATGGTTGTTAGCACCATTTGTTTCTGCTGGTATGCTCAGCCAATTGGCTGCACAATGCCATCAGTATGAGGAGTATCAATGGTTGTCAACCACGGTCCAATAACACCTTGTTGGCTGAGAGGCTAAAGTCTCCAACAAATAACTGCATATTAATATGAAAATATAGACGAAGTACAATGACCTCACAGTGATGTCACTGAAATGATAGTTAGGGAAATCATCCCAAACAATTTTGGTTATTTTCAGGTTGGTGAATTACTTTAATTTTAATTCGGCCATATTCGGCCAGAATATATACGACTTCTAGCCGGGCATACGTTTATGGATGTATGCAACTCTTAAAAAGGTGGATGTTTTTTGGGCCTATTTGGCTGGTAGATGCCAGGAGTTTTGTCGATAGTGGATTCAATGGTAGTCCACCTGGTGCAAAACAATGTATTAGAATTTGTTTCAGGGAAAAATCAACACGAGACTATGATTTTTAGTTTAGGCCCAAATGTAGGGTCTTCCTGCACCCCATGTACAATCAAATGTGGGATTGTATAGATTCCATCTTAGGTTCACATCGCCACTCCAGATACGGAATCTGCAACCAGAAAACATATGTCATGTGGAATTTTAGGCCCTTGAAAACCATCCGATCAGCCTGATCAGCTGCCAAGGAATCACAGCAAACTGGATAAAATTTCCGGACACATCGGAGGAACTCAACATTGTGGCTCAGTGATGATTGAAAAAGTCTCGGAGCATTCGGGAATACCATCCGGTTATGACTAGCGTAGCGGCGTAGCTATAGAAAATCGCTCATTTCTTAATCATGGTAAATCATCTATAAATGGGCCATTTGCCATAGCTATGTTAGTTTACCGGGAGGGTATGGTTTTTCATCTTCATTTGGGTCAAAATATGTCGTATAATTACCCAAACCCACTGCTCAATCCCAAATCCACTGAATGATGCCGTGGAATGATCCCTGGCTACATTACATAATCCTTTCCCGTGCAATGGCCATGATTGGGGGCACAAAATGTTCAAACAAACCCATGTCTGCTGGTGGAATGGTTTGGCACCATCTTCCCAGGCAGGTTGTGTCTTATGTATCCATGGTGTTGCCTTCCATCTGGTAAAAACATTATTTTCATGATTTGGTGTGTTAAAGTTAAAACCATTTTCAAAATGGGTTGTAAATGGTTGTAACATGTTGTAACATATGTATATGACCTCTACCTATAAATATATAGATATAGAGGAGATATGATATATAATTTTGAATGGTTCTTAGCCTCTATAATCCCCCCCTGTCTGTCAAATTTGACGTATGCCCCAGAACTATGGAAGGAACTATGGAAGGAACTATGGAAATGACTATGGAAATATATACCTTCAGCATCGCCCATGAACATGTCTTGGTTGATAAACATGACAGCCCTGCCGCACCTTGGCATCAAAAACTTTCAAGAACCTGTATGCTCCCTTACATTTGAGCATGGTTACAACACCTTTGTCCATTTTTTCTACTAAAAAAAGCTGAAGTGCGTCAATGTATAATTTCACATCTGGCTTATCTTCCATCCAACAAGTGTGATGGTGATCATTGATGATCCCAATTAACTTTCATATTTTCGGCGGGGTGTCCCAACCACTAAACAACTTCCTGGTTCCATGGTGGTATGTATTCACCAAACATTGCAAACAGTTTTTTCTTGTTTTCAAATCACACATTTACATACATACACATATGCACACATAAATCCATATCCATATATAATCTCTCTCTCTCTATATATATATATACATATGTGTGTCTGTTTAGGTGTTTCCGCATCATATACATGTACAAAATCACGTCTTCTAACATTGAAGCTGTTTTCCAATGCCCCAAAAGAATACAGCTGCGCAAAGGGTGGACCTCAGGTCGCTTGATGATGATGGAAGCCATCTCCAAGGAGGTGGTGGAACCAGAAATCTGATCTGCAGATTCATCAAGATATTTTAGATATTTTTTGTTAAAAAAACAAAACCATGGAAAAAATCATCAAAATATGATTTGTTGCTGGATATTCTGAGAATTTCTATATCCAAAATAGTTTCAAATCGTTGAACAAATCATCAAACACCTATCTAAATAAACATTGAAACACTATATGTGTTGGAGAATGTCTGCCTATGACTTTGGGAAATGCTTCTTAATGAATAGGAGCTAAGGATTTTTTTCCTAGGCATTTTGGGCTTGAACATGAACCAACTACGGGGTCTCAAGCATCAGTAATCTACCAGTTCTGAATGGTAATGAGGGATGTGACCATCGAAAATATGTGCATATACATATGTATATATATAATATATATATATATGTTAGAATATTGTAACCTTACAAATGACAGTTGATGGATGGTTGATTTTTTCCTGGGAGATATGGGTTCGGATCTTGTCGCCATGATGTGCAGCATGAAATTGAGTTCCTCCAGTAAGTTAACATAGACAGGGAACTTGCCATTGTTTCCGGAGGACAATTGATGTCTAGAGTCTAGAAATGGTGGGTTTTCTGTATAAATCTCTTGAGGGTAGCATGTCTATGTTATAATCCTCCATCCCCAAGGCCGCTAAGATTGCCCAAAATTGGCGACAGAATGGACAGAACTGCAGGCAACTGCTGTCGTTGCAGAAAATTGAATCTCCATCCCCGGTTGGGCCATCTAAAATTCTTGGGCTATATTTAATACTGTTACATGGGAAACAAGTTTGAAATCATGTGCTAGTCTCCGACATTTTTGCTTGAGTTCATCGATGATCGGTTGACTTACCATTTCCACGGTATAAAGCCCTGCCCCAAAAAGGTGTCCGATTTGCCACATTGATCAGGTCCAAGCATTGTTGGAATAAACGTCACCATGGGTTGTTGATTAAACAACGGTTTTACGCGCATATATTCGCTCCACCTCCATTTCTTGGTTTAAATCACCATACATCCCGAGCATTTGTTGGTATAGATTGTTTTTTTGGTTCAAGCTCCATGTTTGCTGCCTAACATTTCGTTTTTTAGGTGAAATCCCCTAGCTAAGTTGACGCACATAACTTGCTTAACTGTTGGGTTAATGGGGTACATAACTGTAGTTAATGGGTTAGTGACTTAGTAAAACAATGTAAAACAAGTTAAAACTGGGTTGTCACCTTGTAAATCCCTTTCCTGTTCTTTTTTGGTTTCTTTGGGGTTTTATCATCACCGCCTTACCGGTTTTTGTTGGTTGAAATCACCTGGATGGACGCGACTGCCATCCACTGATTTTTGTTTCCCCTTCTTAAGGGAATAAGCACCATCTAACCATATCTGTCCCACTATAGGCGTGCGTTTCTGGCAGACGATCAACAAATCGCCAAACATCAGCATCATCAGCCCCAGGTGCACCTAACCTCCCAACAAGTGACTATGCAGTTTCAAGCCTTGCCAAAGAAGGTGCATGTGGAGAGCCACTCGGGCCGCACTTCTAATACAGGGAACATGGGGATTAACCAATGGATTTAGGGGTGACCAATTTTCAGACGACCCATCTGAAGTTTGGGATGTTAATGACATCTTAACCGAGTAGAGTCGGGGGGTGCAATTTAGATTAACTCTTTTGGTGGCAAGTTGGTGGCCCCTCGAATTAATCATCCAGGTTTGTTGCTGCTGACATTATCTTGGAGGTGTTGAAGCGGCTGGTTACAATGGGACGAAACATCCAAAGTGCGGGAATGCTTTACAAGTTTTATCCCATTTTTGGGCAAAGACATGTGATTCAATATGATTCTCAGCCGGAGGCGCATTTTTGTTTGGGGGATATCTACGATTAGCCATGACTATATACTGGTTGGTGGTTTGGAACATTTTTCATTTTCCCCGATAGTTGGGATGATGATCCAATCTGACTAATCAGAGGGGTTGAAACCACCAACCAGTATAGGCCAGTATAGGTATCCAGCCAGAAACAGAACACCCCAACAGGTGGAAAGGTCAATTGAGTGTTCAAAGCCCCTGCGGTGTTTTTCTTTTTTTTAATGAACCTATAGTAAGATCCAGTATTTCACACCATTTTCCCAGTAAATTCGTAACTTTGTTTTCTAGTAACTAGTAGCAATAACTCTCCGATTCGAATTTCGCCTGCTTGGAGGATCATCCCACGAATCATAACTGGGGAATTTCGCCATATTACCCAGTGATACATGGGATACCCTTTGGTAATTTAACGTAGCTATTTCCATCAAGTGTTGGTAGATGCTCGTCATTTCAAATGTATCACCCAGTGATTTTTTGGGAGCCAGTTGATGTTTTAAGACCATCTGGATCCATGGGTCAAGTTACCTATATCAGTACGACAGTAATACATTCACAGTACCATTCATTTTTGGAGGAAGAAACAGCAGTTTTACCCTCTGGTAATTTAACATAGCTATTGAAAATGGCCCAGTCGAAAGTTTTCCCATTAAAACCTCCATTTTCCTATGGTTTTCCCATTGAAACCTCCATTTTCCTATGGTTTTCCCATTGAAACCTCCATTTTCCTATGGTTTTCCTATGGTTTTCCCATTGAAACCTTCATTTTCCTATGGTTTTCCTATGGTAAACCCCCAGTTTCGATGGTTTTATGACCATAGGGCTTCCATTCAGCATTCCGGCTGAGGCTCCCAAGGCTTGGTGGCGATCCGCCCGCAAACGGTGCCGGAGGGCTGGGATGCCACCATCAAGGCGCGGCCTTCGTTCGTTTAAAAAACCCGGGGAACAACGAGGAAGACATCGAAAAACCAGGGAAAACACCAAGGACATATCCACAACAAATGGTGAATCCATCCGGTAAAATTCTGATGAGTTCACTGTCTGGTTGGTGGTGACTGGAACACTTGGATGATTTTTTGCCATATATTGGAAATGTTATCATCCCTACTGACGAACTCCATAATTTTTCAGCGGGGTTAGGTTGAAACTGGTGATTTCAGCAAAGATGGTGTGTTTGTGGCCGATGTTTAAACAGAAATCGGGATTCTCAGACATGTTCTGTTTCAGTCAACCTTGAGTGGGTTAGTACAATCCCATGGCATGTGGCCACCAAAAATCAATACATCTAGTGCTAAACCAGAGGGCTATTTAGGTTGGTATTTAATAGTGGGGGAGGGGTTACAACTTTTTGTTTACTATTTTTTTTGGTGATATATGATGATTTATGCCGATCTAACCAGCATAATTACAGACATGCAAAAACATATTTTGAAGGGTATCCAAGATTGGTCAGGAGAAATGGGGACTCAGCCAGTAAAGCATGGATATTTTTCACTAGTGAGCTGATTTGACCAGCGAATTTTCCCTAGTGATTTACCACATGGAACCATGGTGATGTACCCATGAAAATGCATCCAGAATCAAAAGGCATTGTGATATGACTAACATCTGCAAACAGCACGATGGTACCAACAAAATTCGGGGGCTGTCGGTATAACGCCATAGTTTTGTTTCACGGCACCTGGCGTTAGAGCTACACTTAAGGCTGGTTGTTCTACACAAGGCGAGTTCACATCGTGAGAAGGTAGTGACCCCCCCAAAAAAAAACCGAAATGCTTCCTCATAAGTGACTCACAAGGTACGACTGGATTCCTGGTCCCCTTTTTTTTGGGTACACGAAAAATGAACCAAACTCGCTCATCCAGTACGTCTTGCCTTCCGGCTCCGCGATGGCTGCGCGGCAGAATATGACTGACTTCAAAATGGGGTTTCCCCAGATGAGAGACAGCCTTAGAGCCCATGAATCTCCGGGAACCCATACGGATGGAATTTATGTACCATGGCTGAGAACATCATTCGAAGCCGCCTGCATTTCTTTCATGAGGCAAAAGTTCCCTTTACTTGGACCACTAATTGACGGAATTGGCAGCATGATTCCCATTTGGAGAGACAATCGAAGAACCTCCCATATTAATATTTGATATATTTGATGGTAAAAACTGCACAAAAATGGTTTTCCATTGAAGATGTTTCCTTCAACCAATCCAGTGAATGATGTGACAGCCTGTTGCCCCTTGTCTCACCAGATGCGACTTGGCACCTAAGAAATCGCTGGCGCCATGTTGCCTCAGCGCTGGCGTCGCTGGCCGTCAAATTGCTGGTGTTGATGTCGCGTGCTCAGAAAAGTGGCTACAACGTCTTCAGCATCCTCAATCTGATCCTCAATGCCATTGGCATCTTGGATAACTCGACTTGGGTATACCGGTATACCCTTATATCTGGCATGATGTACAATGACCCCAAACGGTTGGCTAATGGGATGGTTTACTATTGGCTTTGCCGCATTTGTTTTAGTGACCCGTTATCCAGCCATCATTCCATAACTATATCTCCAAGGCTTGGGCTCATTCCATTCCAATTTCAGAAGTCCACCCCCATAATATTAAACACACCAGAAACCCATGGGTTTCATCGGGGATTTGCAGTTGTTTTTTGGATCATTTTTCTGAGATGTCATAGCTCATTTGGGAAGATCCCAACCATTGGGCAGGCTGGGCCAGGGAGGGAATCAGGCTGGGCCAAGTCTTTGGTCCACACCTTCAAGTCAACCTGATCTGTTTCCCAGATGTTTCCCTGATTTTGAAGGAGGCTATTGAAAAACCCCTCATTAAACTAATTCATTCCTTCCTTGATTCCTTGATTCCTTCCTTCCTTCCTTCTTTCCTTTTTTCCTTCATTCCTTCATTCCGTCATTCCTTTATTCCTTCATTCCTTCTTTCCTTCATTCCTTCATCCCTTCTTTCCTTCATTCCTTCATCCCTTCATTCCTTCCTTCCTTCCTTCATTCCTTCCTTCCCTCTTTCCTTCATTCCTTCATTCCGTCATTCCTTTATTTCTTCCTTCCTTCATTCATTCATTCATTCATTCATCCATTCATTCATTCATTCATCCATTCATTCATTCATTCATTCATTCATTCATTCATTTCATTCATTTCATTCATTTCATTCATTTCATTCATTTCATTCATTTGATTTTCATTCATTTGATTTTCATTCATTTGATTTTCATTCATTTGATTTTCATTCATTTGATTTTCATTCATTTGATTTTCATTCATTTGATTTTCATTCATTTGATTTTCATTCATTTGATTTTCATTCATTTGATTTTCATTCATTTCATTCATTTCAATTCAATTCAATTCAATTCAATTCAATTCATTCATTCATTCATCCATTCATTCATTCATTCATTCATTCATTCATTCATTCATTCATTCATTCATTCATTCATTCATTCATTCATTCATTCATTTGATCCCAGACAAAAGCCGCATGTACCATGCTTAGATGAGCCATGAGATTTGTTAAGTGTTAAGCGGGTTATAACATGTTATAACCCATTATGTAGCTGCAGTTTTTGTTCGCCAGTTTCAAACCAGTTGGCACTAATAGTGGTTAGCAACTGGGCTACAAGCCGTTAAAATCAGTTACCAAACCAGTTTCCAACCAGGTATATACACTAATCAGTTAGCATCAGTTATCATCAGTTACTAATCCATTGAATTGGTTCAAGTGGCAATTTTTGTTGCCAGTTACTAATCAGTTAACTAGCCAGTTTTCACCCTCAGGGCCCATACCATGGGGTGTGTTTCAGATTGGGGACCTTACTAACCAGCAATCATCACTTTTATCTACTGGTTGGTGGTTTGGAACCATGGAATTTTATTTTCCCCAGTTGGGATGATGATCCAATCTGACTCATATTTTTCGGGTTGAAACCACCAGTTAGTCTGTCTCCTTCTTCACCAACAGCCCAGGCGTAGGCGCCGTGTTATGGTGGGCCTTCGCCTCTTGGCGCTTGCACAAGATCCACTCGCCGCTGACGCCCGATGGCCTTGGAACAGTGGCACCGGTGGCGAAAGCCGGGGTGCGCGGAGGCAAGGGAGGCGCCGGAGCTGGGGAGGTTTGGTGCCCCAATAGCTGGATGGTTTAGAATGGAAAATTCCCAAAAATGCATGAATTGGGGGGTACCCTCATCCCGATATCTGGTGGGAAAGTTGCGAAGATCATGGGAAAATATCAGGAAACAACTATGTAAAACTGCTGGGTGAAAACGGCGAAACATGGTGAACCACATATCAGATTGGCCAGATTTTTCAGTAGAGCGGTTATCAAAATGTGAGATTGTCAAGTCGGTGATGGTGGATTTTCTGGGTCAATCTTGGTCGGCGGAGTCGGTCAACATTTGGAACCCTTCCAGCTTTGCGATACAGGAAGCATTCGTACTAGCCATTGGTTTCTTCGTTAAGGTGATGTGACTTTCAGGGCGTGATGTGGCTTAGGTCCTAGGTCCGTGCCCATGCTACATGTATCTACATGTCAAGCAGTTCACATGGCTACCCTCAGTGATAATTCGTCATTACGATGGCACACTACCAATTAAACTGCCGGCAGGTTTTATTAATCCAGGGCTGATGTTAACCGGGAAGCTAGCAGCTTTCAAATTTGTTACAGTAAAACCTTCAAACTCTTTGATGACCATTGACGCTCTTCAACTTGACCTTGGCAGTTCAACTTGACCTTGGCAGTTCAAACTCTTTCAGAAAATTTTCCAGCCTTCCAATGCTGCCAGCAACATCCAGCGACACCGGGACACGAGGTTTCTGGAAGTGTCAGGTGTCATCTGCACCCACTGCGATTCAAAAAAGCACGCGATGGACCGATAGATATATGATATATATAATATATAATCAAGATCCTGATGAACGAAACTATTGGTTCTAGTCCTATTACAAGTTCCATCAATGGTTGAGTCTTCCTGTTTGATAATCCCGCGCTAGCAGGGGATCTAATCTATCGCAATTCCAGGGAAGCATCACTCTGCTGAGAATCCAGACAGATACTTCTCGCAGCTTGGCGACTGCAGTCACAGGACGTTTAACTTGGATTTTGAGATGGTTTAACCACCATGAAATGAGAATATAATGATCATTTTGTAACTGATGTCATGTTTGTTTTAAAATCTTATAGCAAGAGTGATGCTGATATGAACTGATGGGGAAACCTCGGTTAAGGATAGTTCAATGGTGATTTTATGGTAACTTTGATGGGGTGCAAACTGAGGTGTACACATGATGTAGTCGACATAGGCTGCATCTTGCGAACACAGAGGCAAATCAAGCGCTACAGCTTGAGGTAATTATTATACAGCCATACGGCGATACATACCATGTCCGATTTATGATCTTGATATTATATATAAAGGAAACATACTGTGGAACCCCAGGCATGTGCTTGGAAGAGGATGTTCCTGTTGGATATGGCCATGGCATTCCATGTCAAATTTATTGGGAGTATCCTAAGGTGGCACTGCTCCAAACTGATTGCATCCAACGGAAACTTTTTGGCGAAACGAATGTAGTTTCAGCAAAAAAGCTACCAGATGTTTGTTTCATCAGATCATATGAATCATGTTCATCATTCATTATAGTGACGAACATGTTGTTAGAACATCGTTTGGAAGTGGCGAAAACGGTCCAGAGTACAACGGTTAGAACATTGCCCGAATGCAAACTTTAGTATGCATTTTACTATGTACCCTGGTCATAATGAATATAATTCCTGAATGATGGAGTGGGAGTACCGAGGGTCTAATCATGAATAATCCCAGTCCCTCGGCAAGTCCATCACCTTGGCGCCAGTGCTGAGCCGATGTGGAGATGGGGCAAGTTTGCAGCCCGGAAAACCTCAACCAATTTGAACGTTTGTTGAAAGGAAATCAGACATAGTTAACAGTTGATAACAGTTATATACATCAAAGAAATCAGTTAAAAACACCCAAAAAATGCGCTCATGGTTGAACCCTCCGCGATTTGTTGTGTTTCAAACAGCCTCTGTTTTGAAACCCACCCCCCCAAGAAACGGTTGAGGCAAGGAGCTGCGCTAAAGGGTGGCCTCTTCGCTGCAGTACATGTACAATCACACGCGTTTTGTGTCTGTTTGCTGTATTTGTGCATGCTGTCATCACTCACATTTCTGTTTGTGTTTTTTCTTCGTATACTTACTTGCCTTTGAAGATCACATGTGCACTTTAGGCATGAATCTCTTTAAACATTACTGCAGATGCACAAGACTATAGAAAGATAGATAGACAGTAATATAGATATTCTATGACCTGAAGCAGTCAACTATCACATGGAGATAAACTATCACATGAATAAACCGAAGATCGATATATAACTGGTTGGTGGTTTGGAACATGGTTTTTCCCCACATCTTTGTGTGGGGTTCTTGTTTTTGATTCTGTATCCCGGGCTCCTCCTCCGCCGCCTTCTCCTCCTCCGCCCTCCTCCACACTTTTTGTCACCATACACTTTGTCAACAAACACTTTCTCAACACACACTTTTTTATCACCACACACTTTGTCCAACACACACTTTATCAACAAACACTTTATCAACATACACTTTATCAACAAACACTTTATCAACATACATTTTTCCCCACATCTCAACACACACTTTATCACCACACACTTTGTCACCACTTTGTCAACAAACACTTTCTCAACACACACTTTTTTATCACCACACACTTTGTCCAACACACACTTTATCAACAAACACTTTATCAACATACACTTTATCAACAAACACTTTATCAACATACATTTTTCCCCACATCCCAACACACTTTATCACCACACACTTTGTCACCACTTTGTCAACAAACACTTTCTCAACACACACTTTTTTATCACCACACACTTTGTCCAACACACACTTTATCAACAAACACTTTATCAACATACACTTTATCAACAAACACTTTATCAACATACATTTTTCCCCACATCTCAACACACACTTTATCACCACACACTTTGTCACCACACACTTTGTCCACACACACTTTGTCCACACACACTTTGTCCAACACACACTTTAACACACTTTATCAACAAACACTTTGTCACCACACACTTTGTCAACACACACTTTGTCACCACACACTACACACTTTATCACCACACACTTTGTCACCACACACTTCACACTTTGTCACCACACACTTTGTCACCACACACTTTGTCACCACACACTTTGTCCCACACACACTTTATCAACAAACACTTTGTCACCACACACTTTGTCCACACACACTTTGTCACCACACACTTTGTCACCACACACTTTGTCACCACACACTTTGTCCACACACACTTTATCAACAAACACTTTGTCAACACACACTTTGTCACCACACACTTTGTCACCACACACGTTGCGCCACTTTGCGTGGCAGGCGTGGCACAACCTCACATCCACCTTCGTTTTGCGTGGCAGGCGTGGGACAGATGGTACTGGGTGGCGCCCTTGGGCCGGGATTTGGCGCCTGGGGCGCCGCGCCACTTTGCGTGGCAGGCGTGGCACAACCTCACATCCACCTTCGTTTCACGTGGCAGGCGTGGCACAAACTGACATCTGCCGTCGTTTTGCGTGGCACAACTTGACATCCACCTTCGTTTCACGTGGCAGGCGTGGCACAAACTGACATCTGCTGTCGTTTTGCGTGGCAGGCGTGGGACAGATGGTACTGGGTGGCGCCCTTGGGCCGGGATTTGGCGCCTGGGGCGCCGCGCCACTTTGCGTGGCAGGCGTGGCACAACCTCACATCCACCTTCGTTTCACGTGGCAGGCGTGGCACAAACTCACATCTGCCGTCGTTTTGCGTGGCAGGCGTGGGACAGATGGTACTGGGTGGCGCCCTTGGGCCGGGATTTGGCGCCTGGGGCGCCGCGCCACTTTGCGTGGCAGGCGTGGCACAACCTGACATCCACCTTCGTTTCACGTGGCAGGCGTGGCACAAACTGACATCTGCCGTCGTTTTGCGTGGCAGGCGTGGGACAGATGGTACTGGGTGGCGCCCTTGGGCCGGGATTTGGCGCCTGGGGCGCCGCGCCACTTTGCGTGGCAGGCGTGGCACAACCTCACATCCACCTTCGTTTCACGTGGCAGGCGTGGCACAAACTGACATCTGCCGTCGTTTTGCGTGGCAGGCGTGGGACAGATGGTACTGGGTGGCGCCCTTGGGCCGGGATTTGGCGCCTGGGGCGCCGCGCCACTTTGCGTGGCAGGCGTGGCACAACTTGACATCCACCTTCGTTTCACGTGGCAGGGGACAGATGGCACTGGGTGGCGCGCTTGGGCCGGCTTGGGCGCCTGTGACGCCGCGGCACTTTGCGTGGCAGGCGTGGCACAACCTGACATCCACCTTTGTTTCACGTGGCAGGCGTGGCACAAACTCACATCCACCGTCGTTTTGCGTGGCAGGCGTGGGACAGATGGCACTGGGTGGCGCGCTTGGGCCGGCTTGGGCGCGCTTGGGCGCCTGTGACGCCGCGGCACTTTGCGTGGCAGGCGTGGCACAACCTGACATCCACCTTCGTTTCACGTGGCAGGCGTGGCACAAACTCACATCTACTGTCGTTTTGCGTGGCAGGCGTGGGACAGATCATCTCTCACACACCGTCACAGACCATCTTTCACACACCGACTTTGTCACACGCCATCTTTCACACACAACTTTGTCACACGCCATCTTTCACACACAACTTTGTCACACACCAACTTTGTCACACACCATCTTTCACACACCAACTTTGTCACACACCATCTATCACACACCTCTTTGTCACACCCCACCTTTCATACACCATCTTTCACACATCACATTGTCACACACCATCTTTCACAAACCCTCTTTCACACACCATTTTGTCACATACCATCTTTGACACACCGCTTTGTCACACACCACTTTGTCACACATCACATTGTCACACACCATCTTTCACACATCACATTGTCACACACCATCTTTCACACACCACTTTGTCACATACCATCTTTGACACACCGCTTTGTCACACACCACTTTGTCACACACCATCTTTCACACACCATCTTCCACACACCACTTTGTCACACGCCATCTTTCACACACCGTCACAGACCATCTTTTCACACCATCTTTCACACACCATCTTTCACACAACACTTTGTCTCGCACCATCTTTCACCACACCATCTTTCACACACCACTTTGTCACACACCATCTTTCACCACACCATCTTTCACACACAACTTTGTCGCACACCATCTTTCACCACACCATCTTTAACACAACTTTGTCACACACCATCTTTCGCCAAACCATCTTTCACACACCAATTTGTCACACACCATCTTTCCCACAACTTTGTCACACGCCCTCTTTCACACACAACTTTCGCACACACCATCTTGCACACACCACTTTGTCACACACACTATCTTTCTTAGTCACACACCAGCTTTCACATACAACTTTGTCACACACAACTTTGTTTTACTTCTCGGTCCTCCACCACCTCCTTTGTCTTTCCTTCCTTCCCCGTCCCCGCTACAACATTTGGTGCTTTTTATTCAAAAAAGTTGTCTTGTGGGGTTATCCGGTCCTTTAATTATTTTCCCAAATAGTTAGGATGATGATCCAATCTGACGAACTCATGTTTTTTGGGTTGAAACCACCAATTAGATAAATCTGCGGTGTTTTTCCTCCCTCCATTCTCTCCATGGCCACCAAGGTGGTCCTCCACCGTTCTGGGTCTTCTGTGCAGGGCAGTGGCAGGACGTGGAAAATCCCCAGTGATCCAATTTTGGGTCAAAATGTCAGTCCTGGGGAACCACCTGGGGAACCACTAAAGCTGTGGGGATTTCTTGGGGATTTGTTGGGCATAGATTCGGATAGATTTGAGATCATGTAGCTGTAAATGTGCCAAAAAATGGACGGTCTTTTTTTGATTTGTCTGGAGCTTATTAGCATCGACCATGGCGGAAATGCCCAGATTGGTTGATCATTAGTTCACGGATTTTTTCAACGGGGAATTTCAAACTCCATAAACGGGGAATCCATACGAACCGACTACCAACCGACCAGACCTACTTGCACCTTGGTGAGGATCCCCAGCAGCCTGACATGATGCTTCGTTGCGATGAGTGGTCATTCCCAACCTGTTTCATTCCAAGTATATTAAAAAAGTGTTGTTTTTTATGGGAAATATTTGACGTATCTAGACCCGGAACGTTGAGTTTTTCATGTCCGGTATTCTGACACAGAGACTTCGTGGATCGATTCACGTATTCAGCAGGACTGCTGGTGCCCCGGCGACATTCGCTGGGGAAATGAAGAGACTTGGCATGTGGTGCCACTGCCCAAGTCGGGAGATTCCCACAAAGTCACCTGCATCTTGGCCCAATGAATTGAGCAAACTCACCGAAGCTTCATGAAGATATACTTAACGTATCTTAACGTAGCTTTGGAAAATAACACTGTTTAAAGGGTAAATCATAATTATATAATCATCTCTAAATGGGCCATTTCCATCCATTTCCCATAGCTATGTTGAAGAAGCAGAGGGTACATGATGGTTTTGGAAGGGTTATCAAGGGAAGCACCCCCCCAATTTGGATAGAATACTGGTCTTTCATGGTCTTTCAGTTTGGCAACCCTGGCAGGGGTTCAGGCAAGCAGCAAGCAGCTTCAGTGGCAGCTACGATGGTTACAACCCCACCAGTAGGTGGTACAGTCATTAGCCTCATGCTTTGGCTGATTAGGGTCACTGGCCCTGCGAATCTTTCGCTTTGTTCCACATTCCTACACATTTTAATAGGTTTGTGCTCATATTCAACCCCAATCCCCGATGTTGTACAATGTATATACCCTGCTGTGAATTCAGATGTAGCCATGGCAATTGATAGGTTTGCCGTTCAGACTTCATGATCTACACATGGTGGGTTTACCACGGTTTTCCAGCTTTGACATGGTCATTTTCCTGGAGGGTAATAATCATTTTGGGGCTCCGTACTCGGGGTCTGCAGTTCCACTGTCCCAACTTTTTGTGTGTCTGTGAAACCACCATGATCACCATGAAAAAATGTCATGTTTTACACATACCCTCTGGTAAACATACAAAAAACTATGGAAAATCACCATGTTTAATGGGTAAATCCACTATAAATTACCATGTTCTAGCTTTTTGTATGTTTACCAGGCCGGGTAAATTCAAACTGCACTGAAGAACCACAACGTTATCAACGCCAAGTAGTTGGTCGATAACGTATCTCTTTTAAAAGTTCTAAGAATACATGAAGTTCATCATCCATTCATCCATCCATCCATTCATTCCTTCATTTCTCTGATTCATTGATTTATTGATTCATAGATTCACTCATTCATTGGTTCACTGAATCATTGATTCACTGATTCATTGATTCATCGACTAGCTCACTCATTTTTTGATTTATTGGTTCATTGGTTCACTGGTTCCTTCGGCTAGTTGTGCATGGATTCTTTCATGTCATTTCATTGGCATCCCACCACCCTTTGCTCATTCGTTGATGCACCTGACAACTTTAACACTACATTGCTTCTGCATCTCAAAAACGTTCCTACAGGCCATCCTCTTCCTATAGTTGTTTTATAGTTGTTTTAAATCTTCGAAACTTCCGCCCCGGCGCGAGCCGGGCACCTATCTGGTTCCACATTCATTTGTTACTATAAGCGTGAGTGATAAGAATCACCAGTAGACCAGGTAGTATAATTCAATGGATTGGTTTCAGGGAAAATCTTAACCGGAAACCATATAGATTTTCCATGATTTTCCCATTGTTGATATGGGGCTTAAAAACCAGTAAATTTTCCCGTGAAACCAATCCATTGAATAATCCAAACTTTGTCTGGCAGCCTAGGTACCATCGAGCATTTGCCCGACAATCTCCCTGGAGACGACATGAAACACTGCGAGTGCTTGATCGATCCCAACTCTGCCAGTCCCGAGCCGAGGATTGAAGTCACCAAGGTTTATGGTAGATGGCCATGGCTGTGTCTAACCAGCAGGATTTAACCATAGCAAAAAAACAGCAACAAAAACAGCAAACAACAGAAAACCAAAAAAAACAACAACCAGACATAAATCAGGTTAACCAGAAAATATGGTAGTCTCGGTGTCTGAGAATAGCAGGTCTAACCAGCAAAAACAGGATTCAACCAGGAGACAATATTTGACCAACCGACGACGTGGACTTAACCAACAACAATGGGGATATAAGCAACGCTGTTGGATATTCGGGTGTGTCTGACAATGGGAGATTGACCCCCAAGTTATGGTCATTTTTCATGGGAAAAAATTGAGTCTAAGACTTACCCTCTGGTAAACTAACATAACTATGGAAAATCACCATTTTTAATGGGAAAACTCACTATTTCTATGGCCATTTTCCATAGCTATGTTAGTTTACCAGAGGGTAAACCAATATATCAAACTTGATGAGCCAAGGTTCCCCCAATTTCATCCAATTTCCAGGTACCAAACCCAACTATTTAATCGTTTGATGTGTCCCAGCTTCAGCTGAAATCGGCTTCAGGCTATCCCCGGACCAATGCCATGATGCTGGAGGACGGGGAAGCTGAACGCCTGGGTGCGACGCTGGTGTCTTCATGCGAACTGCTTCTTGCAAGCAGGTGCAAAGTGACATAAAGTGACACTTTGATCTGAGGATTTTTTTTGCAACGACGTCACCAGGACGTCACTACGACGTCATTAGAAATTCGACTGTACCCTCTGGTAATTTAACATAGCTATTGAAAATGGCCATTTATAGTGGATTTTCCCATTAAAAATGGTGATTTTCCATAGCTATCCTGGACATTCCAAATCCTAGGAATTTCACGGAATTCTAGGAAGTGACCATCTTTTTGCGCAAAACGATGTCAAATTGATCAAAACTCCTTATTCGACTCAATTTCCTTGAAATTCATCCAAAACCAATGAGTTGTGGATGTCGCAGGCTACAAGGTTTCTGCATGACATGTGGTTTTATTTTCAGTTTTTGACGTTCAAAAACGTCAAGAATTACCCGCAAAACTCCCGCAAAAAAGTGTCAAACTCCCGCAAAAAAATATCAAACTACCGCAAATCCCGAAAAGTCATAGAACCATTTTTTCTGGAAACCACCTGATCACATCATTGACTGCAAACCGTATGACAAATGCAAGGTCACTGAGAAATTCGTTGCAACTCCTGGAATCCTTTACTTTACTAGAAAGCAAGAAATGCTAGAAATTTCCCAGAAAAGGATGCTCCAGGATGTTAAATTACCAGAGGGTAATGGAAGCGAATTGGGGTCACTATAAGTCCTTACTATAGCTCGGCTCGTGGCCACCATGCCGGTGCGTCGAGGTTCTTTGGTGCGCGGAAGAAGCAGCCAGTGGATATGGCCCAATGGATGGCTCCTCGGAAATAGGGATGTTTTGATTCATATATATATATAATATCTATGTATATATATACACCCTCCGGTAAATTAACAGCTATTGAAAATGGCCATAGAAATAGTGAGTTTCCCCATGAATAGCATGATTTTCCATAGTTATGTAAACATTTACCAGATGGTATTTAAGCCATTGGTCATCCAATGTCATCCATAATACTCTATATATATATATACCGGTATATCATATTATATATATATATATATATCATATATATATATATACATGCATATTAGATTAGCCAGTGGTATCCATCACCCTTTCAATGATTTATATATTCATTATATTGATATATATCCTTCTTACTGCATAATTAGCCAGCTCCATTCATGTGATAATCATTCATGATAATCATGATCATTATTAATCAGCTATGGGTTATCCATATGTCTCTGTGTAAATTATAACGACCAAGCCCTGCGACCGAAGCCTGGAATCATGCGTAATAAGGGAAATCATCCCCAAATGGCCTGGTTAGTGAAATATTTTCATTTACTGTACCCAGTAATTACTCTTTCGTGATCTAATCATTGAATCTTGCAATGGACTTTTCTTCATAGATTCTATTTGATGCTTGTGTGGCCTTTATCTTGCAATGCCAAGTTGGTTTGATAGGGCGCAGATGTGAAAACCATCATGGCACCATTTTGGAATGGGATCAGCATCTTGCAGTCACCGTGTTTGGGGTTCCATCGTGTTCCATGTGAGTTGCGGGGGTGGTGGCTGCCATGGCTCAAAGGTGCTGAACCTGGCAAGACCCAATAGAACTTCAGCCTCCCTAATTCAACCATATTCAACCCACAAAAAACCACTTTGAAATATGATATTAAATGTTCTTGGTATACAGGTATACTCAGGTATAATAGGATAACACTGAAAAATCCAGAAAGGTGACTTTATACATCAACACTGAAACAATTAGGTATATAATTTGACCTGTGCATCTTGAGCCGCAGAACATCCCCGGCGACGTCATCCCCAACCGAACCAAGGCCATGGAAGGCTTGTGCTCGGAAGACTGGGAGGAGCGCATGCGCTTCAACCGCTCCATGAAGGCTGGTCCAAAGTAGCTGGGACTGCACCGTGATGATCGTGGTGGGCAGCGGAGATGTGGGTAGATGGTGTTGGAATTGTTGGAAGTATAGCCATACCCATGGTTTTCGGTGTCAACCGAGACAGGTCCTTGGTCGGAAGTTCCCAGGAACTTGAGTTGCTGAGCTCACAGGCCCTGCTTGACTCACAGTCAAGCTTGGTGGCGACAGGATGGAAATAGATAGAGTCAGATAGAGTCAGATAGAGCTTACCACAAAGCATTCTTGTGCATTTTGCAGCAAGTTTGGGGTCCTCATGGTGCAAGAAAACGACAGCTGGACTGTCCAGAAAATCTTGATGGTTCACAGATTTTGTGGTTGGGTCAAGGATGGCAGAAAACCGCTAATGTTCACAAGAGGCAATCTTGGAATCTGGCATAACATGAATCTGGCATAACAGCGTTGAGTCATTTGGCAAGACCTCTTCCCTCGGGCTGGCAATTGCTGGCTGTTTCCCTTTGAGGGATAACACCAAGGATTCCTGTGACTACAAAAATTCGGGAAGTTTATGATATTCTAGAACCCCGCCAGATAAGAAACTTTGTAATAGGACGAATATCACTGAAATTGTGGACATGTTGTGACATTCCAAAATGCAACCTGTTTGCTGAAGTAACCCGAATACCAGCTCAATTTGATTCCACATTGGGAAACGGTAGCGTCATGATGCCTAATTACATGATGCTTATGTAATGCTAACCCCTAAACCCAGCCTAAACCCGTGGGTTGTTTAATTGGGAGGCATCAACTTTATAATGTAGTATAGCATAAAATCATTTTTTGGGGTAATTATCTCTTCTAATCAACCAGTTCTTTCTCCAAGGGCCAAGATTTCGCCATGCCATGGGATGCTGAGGCAAATCAGTCTGGAAGTGCGACAGCAGCTCTTTCGTGCACGAGTGGATGCACGCTTTAAGAAGATCATGTCCTCCGTGACATCGAAGCTTGGCGGAGAGCCGAATGGAAGTGGACATCAGCTATTGCAATATCTACCCAGTTATGCTTATACTTACCCACACACACAGATATATAAATAATATATGTGTGGTTTGTGTATGCGCATTGATACACAAACGGCTTACATTTACTTGCTTTCACCTACTCTCCCTACCCTGACCTTCCAAAACCCCCCATGGCCACCCCAAGGAAGTCCTGGTTTCGCCGCGCTTTCGTGACCTACGTGGCCGGGGAACCATCCAGTCCCTTTGTGCAGATGGCCACGGAGCTCATCAAGTCAGTGGCCTGGATACGGTGGAGTTGGATGGGGCATGTTTATGATATTACCCACAGCCACTATGTATTTTATATGATTTTATCACAAGTTGTTGAATCTTATGGGCCGCTTATTTTGTTCTTTCAAAAGTTGTTGGTTGAATCTTACTTCATAATACTTCATAGATCTTAATAGATATCTACTGGTTGGTGGTTTGGAACATTACAGTAGTTTCATTTTTCCATTCAGTTGGGAACAATCATCATCCCAACTAACGAACTCCATGATTTTTCAGAGGGTTGGTCTACCACCAGCCAGATGCTATACTCACTGGTAAAAGTGACATAACTATGGAAACACCAGCATTTTCAATGGCTATAGATATCTACATATCTTCAGTTTCAATCTTCGAATCTTCATAGATCTTCATAGATCTTACTTCATAAATCTTCATAGATATCTACACTATGACGATTTGAAGAGTTCTTGATCCGGGCCCACCGATGATCGAAACGGCGCACACCCGGACAGGTTGTCCAACGGCTCCGCGCCGAGGTTCACTACTTCTCCTCTTGGCCCATCATCGTCTTCAACTTCGGCCTGGTTACGCCACCAGCCCCTCGACCATTGCCCGTCAGTTCTGCTGAAACATCGTTATGTGGGACTATATAAACAACAACGAAAAATCACCACAGTTTCCAGGTGTGCCACTTTTCTATATTGCTTTTGAACGGTTTTGATAGTCGCCCCAACTTCCAAAGTTCCCCCACGCCAGGTTCACCTCCGTCCATCTTCCCATCCCCTGCCGAGCCCTGGAGGCTTGGACCCCGGAGGAGTTTCCACGGCTGGTGATTCTGCATTCCTTGCCCCTGCCGCGCGAAAATCCCATGAAGAGGACTGGACCATCGCCGGGTCGATGCCATTTGGGGATGACTGGAAGCGACTGGATGACTCGATTTCAACGGCAGCCAAAGGATTTGGGGTTTGGGGTTTGCAACGGGGTATTAGACAAAGGGCAATTTCCAGCACTTTTTCGATGTTCCACCTGGAGACATGGGGTGTTAATCTCCAAGTGTTCAAAGTTGTTCCAAGGAGGATTGATGGTTTAAATGTGTTGTGATTCATGTGAGAATTGATCAACTTCGTGGGGCTGCAAATATCTAACCAACAGTCATGAGTAGCACATGGTAGCAGTACCAGCCATGGGATTTTCAGACCTTCCAAATGCTCCGGAAAAATATGAGACAACCTCCAACAACCTCACCACAAATAAATGGTGATTCAAATGGACAAAAACTGCACACAACTTCCAAGTGATATCCGATACCAATGACCCTATGACCTGCCAGAACAGGAGCTTCAACTTCAACAAGTTGCGAAGCTTGGCCGCCTTGGCCATAGGTCCCTGCGGTTTTTGGCCATGTGCAAATCCAACCCCCCAAAGTTTGGTCGGAAGATATAATATGATATCACTATCATTCACTGACACTGTCACCGTTGAAGAATCCAGGCGGTGTTATCTTCTGTTCAGTCGATGTGTGTGTAAGGTTCCAGCCTTAATACCTTACCCTCTGGTGAACTAACATAGCAATTGAAAATGGCCATAGAAATAGTGGATTTTCCCATTACAAATGGTGGATCTTTCCATTGCTATGTTAGTTCACCAGAGGGTAATGCCAAAGGTTGAGGTGAACGTCCAGGGGTTCCCTAGGAATCCACCGGTGGCACCCGAGGATCCATCTTGATGTCGCGGGTGAAGACGGGGATCCAGCTGGATGTGGATCAGTTCATTGCACCCAACGCGGACGTTCTCTTCAAACTCACCGAGGGCTATGTGGACAAGGCGTTCCTTGGCAGCAAACGATGGAGAGGTAGTGATGGTGCAAGGAAAAATGGGGTGGAATGTAATATAATGTAATCTGGTGGAATGTAATCCCATTCCCCTAATATTAAACACAGCCACTGTACAAGGTGGTGCCCCATAGTTAGCCAAGTTGGTTTATAACTCCAATAACTATGGTGGTAGATATATCTATACTTACTATGGTTTATAATAGACCAACTGAGAACTGGGGAGCACCACCCTGTAGGGTCCCAAAATTTTTGGGAGGGATTATGTTCATTCTGGCAGAACATGTGCGGTGAGTGAATCGCCACCCTTGGTGAGTTTGCTACTAGGAGAATGGGAGTATCTCACCAAGAATGGCGATTCAAGTTTTCTGATCCCTGCCTCCTCTGAGACTATGGATGTGCATGGCAGTTGGACTGGCTAAGAGAAACTTCACAACTATATGCAACTATGATGAACTATGTATATATGCATATTTATTCATGTATATGTGATAACAATTACAATGTGATAAAGCAATTGGGGCTATCCCATAGTGCCCAGCATGCCCCGTGCCCAAGGTATCCCTTCCCCCTGATGCCGGCGCACTTCCTGGACTGGAGCATCAAGGACCAGAAGGACGCCCCGTGGTGGCCCAGATATTGCCCCAATCCCAGCAAGCCGTGCCCCATGCAGACCATGCGATGGGTACCTTGGTCATCGTCGGAGGTGGAAGGTGTCAACCGTATACCCCCAAAGGTCTGGCTTAGGTGGAGAACTTTTCTATTTCTGTTTGCCTGCCTTGGCACATGAGCTCAGCTACAGTAAATTCGGCCGCCTTCGTGATACAAATCAGCATTGCCGGCGCCATACCATTCTTTCGAAGTGACAATTGTCATTTTGCTGCTGTTACCCTGCTTGTTGGATGCTTCAACAGCTTGGCGCTGTAGGTATCTCTGATGTATATGAACCCATTTCTTCCTTAGCAAAAACGTATATATTTTTGTTGGAAAATCACGTCCCCAAATTTCATTTGAATCCACTTTGTTGCGGTGGAAGCCTTCCTTTTTCTTGGTCAGATCTAAGCTTATTTATTGATCAATTCCGTTTGTTTATTTTGTTTGGGCTTACCCTCCTCTGAGACCACCCATTTTTTGCCGATGAAACCCCAGAAATCCAAGTTTATGATAATTTATGATCATCCCACCAAATATTAAACACATTCCCCTAAACCCTAGTTTGGTATTGAATCTATTCATTTCAGGGGCCCATATTTAGCATTAGGAAAGTCATACATAATTTTAAATCAAAAACCATATCCGTTAATAAACCACCGTAAGCCATTGATACAACTGTTATTGGAACCATATGATGAATAAGCCATCAATTTAGATACATCTGTGAATCCCCCATGGCAAAACCTTTCCTGACAAGGCCCACGCCCATCCCACCTGGACCTACTGGGCCTTGCCCTTCTTCGGCCGCTGGGTGCGGCGCCACTTCCGCGACGAGCGGCTGCCCAACGTCACGCTGCAAGGTGCGTGCGGTGAATGCGGCAGGGGGATCAAGGATTACATAATGGATTGTAAATGATTATTATCATGATGATGAATGCTGGAGTTTAATGGAATTTAAACTGATGATTGTTAGAAATGATTGATCTTCAGATTATTTTTTTGAGATTAAACCAAGGAAAGCTTAAATCTGCAACGTCTAGCTTGAACATCACCGTCATTCCTGCTAGCAACTGATTACCGTTACCACTTTCTTCATTGGGTCTTCTTTCCAAACTGTCGAACGCATTGCATCATTGGAGCAACCAATCAAATAACAACAATATGTTAGTTGCAATCTATAATTAACCAGCATTACATTAATGAGAGAGAGAGATATAGATAGGTAGATAGATGGATGGATAGATAGATAGATAGATAGATATATATATATATATTACAATATGTTATAGCAATAATGATCGCAATTCTGTTAATTTTCCAAATGAAGGACAGCATAGCAATTCGATTTGGATCTGATGTCAGCTGGCGATTCCCAGGCTTCGAGGCCCCGGGGCTGCGCGTGGGCAACATCCCGGAGGACGAGGATTTGCTGAACGTGGCGCTGTGGGAGGAGCGTGCCAGCAAGCAGTGGTGCGACTTGGCTAAAACGGCCTGGGGTGATGGTTAATTATGGTTGGTGAACATGGGTTAGTTGGTGAAAATGGTGAAGAATGGCTTGAATGATGTTTGAATGGGTTTATAGATAGTGTTTGTGAATGTTTGTGAGGACTGAACCATTCTTAGCTCTTTTTTGGGGGTGGAATTTGGAGCATCTTGGCACGAGAAAAGCCTAGCAAAGTCTCGGAAGTTAGTCGTACCGGTTTGATTTGGCGTTCCCAGCCGTTTGTCTCCTGCTCCAGTGGCAAGCACCCCAATTTTTGTGAACAAAACATGATAGGACACGCTGTTAAAACTGCTTTTCGGGATTTTGGGGGGTTGAACAGTCACCAGCTTGATCTCATGATCCATCACATTTGAGGCAAAGTATGACCAAATCACATCAAGCACATCTTATTTTGTTTTGTTTTTGGGATCTTATGTTCAAAAACTCCCATTTCTCATCATTTTTTGGGATCTTAGGTTATAAACTCACATTTTCCCTATGTTTTTATCTCTCAAGCACCACCCTTTGGATTCCTTGGATCTCATGCCCCGAGGCAAGTTCGACGTCCCCGCTACCGTGGAGTTCGAGTCCCTGTTGACCTGGCAGAGCAGCCATGGCAACAGCTGCAAGGAGGGCATTGGTTGCACCAACATCGGGGGAGACGAACGTGGCCGGGCGGCGGTTGGGATCCAACCGATCCACAAACGCTGGGTATTTTCCTAGTGGAAGATGCACCATTTAAGGGGAATCCTACAAGGACTATGTTTGGGGGCGAGCCCTGAAGGAAATCAGAGAAACCCTCAGTGAAACATGTGTTGCGAGATCTATTGCAAGATAGATAGATAGATAGAAAGATAGATAGATAGATAGATAGATATATATATATTGCCATGTATTGCATAATATTGCATATATGGCTGACTCAATGCGTTGGAAAGGATTATATAATATTTTACAATTTCCCCAAAAATTGGCGAGTTTGATGAAGAACATCGGAAATTAAAATTAATTATTGGATGTTGAAGTTACACTTACACAATCAAGTATGTTGAGATTTACTGGTGAAGGATGACTCAGTGATTTGGACCAAAAACAGTGGGATAATATTCACATCAATTAACAAAATGTCGGGAAACCCTTGGTAAAGGGTCCTGGAGCTGATGGTGGTGATTTTTTGAAAGCAACTTGGGGGATTTGGGTTGATTTTCCTGGAAAAACATCAGGCTTTGGGGCAATTGTGAAGCAACAGAAATGGTGTTAAGACCAGTAGTAAAACGACAGAAGAACTTCATTGAACCATTTGTTGCCGGAATACTTGCAAGATGTACATAAACTGACTGGATTTAACCGAGCGGTAGAACTTCTAAGACTTGGCGGCTGTAGTTCCGCTGTAGACTCCGCCATGGTTTATTCGCTAGGACTTGGCTGCGGCTGACCTTCCCATGGCTTGCCGCTAAGGTTGGTACAAGAACGGCGTGCCAAAGGTCTACTGGACAGCGCATCATGCAGTGGATGCAGCCCAGACTGCGCAAATTCTGGAGCGCATTCAGGCGAAGGAGAAGGAGGGCAACTGGCCACCGGCCATTGTCTACGATGAGTTTCTTGGGTTGAAATGGGTTTGTCTGAAAATAGGGGAATACCCACAAATAGCAACTTTTATAGGGAAACTGATTCTCATCCATTGGAATTGGAATATGGGGTGCATTATTATTTTTTGACAAACCCAAATTGAGAGCCAGGCCCTTGGGAACAGTTTTGTTCCAGGTCTGGAAGAGCGACTTAGGTAAGACAGATTTCCCAATTGATTAGATCCACTTCTCGCTTTCCGGGCGATATCGTCCAGGAAGTCAATTTGGAGCAGTGGACAATCACGTTTACAGATGGTGATTTGCAGTATACTCTAAAGCACAGATACAACATAGCATCGCATAGCCTACTGTAGTACGATAACTAATGATAGTATACCAGAGTAGAGTATAGTATAATAGTGGTGACTCAAACTATAGTGGAGTATAATGGATACTCGGATTATAGAAATGGTATAATCTATCAATCATACCACTATAGAATGCTATAGATATTTCCATAATGGTATACCTCTTTTTAGCATGGACAATTTCCAGGCCAGGTCTCTCGAACCACTTGACCAGGAAGTTCTGGAAATCTGGGGAGGAGTTGCATGCTGCATATCCGGACCTCCAGTGCCTCACCTGAGGGGAGATGAGTGGCAAAGATGTTGGGGTTGGTCAATGGAAAGAAGGGGAGACTTAAGCTGCAAAAAGGGAATTGCCATGGCTAACTACATCTACAAACCAAACATGGTATCAGCAAATGAAGGGAAAATGAGCATAGGTTGAGTTACTACCATGAAAACCGTAGACAAGCAAAGCTGGGGACGTGAACCAGCAAAGATTTGGATTCAAGATGCAAGATCGGAACAGGAAGAGAGATGCAGCCAGAATATCGTGGAATATCTGCGAATTGAAGTCCCAAAGCTGGGCAAAGCGCCTGATGCACGGGGGCCAAAGGCCAAGAGAGGCATGTGCCTTCCGTGGTGAGCAAAGCAATGCGAGAGCTGCGGTAACTGGGGGGGGGCCAGGCAGTGGGAGAATAGTCATATTGGCATAGAAACACCAAATGGAAGTCATATACACACATGATCAAAGAATATACATCTTTATAGATGGATGGATGGAAGATGATGGAGGAATGGATGGATGGATGACAAGTGATAAATGTGATAAGAACGTTCTGAAAAACTGATGAACAGTAATGAACAGTGATAAAAAGTGATGAACAGTGTTTCTAGGATGTTGCAGATGATTTTAATTTTATACATTTGTGTAACCTCCAGGCTTACATCTTTAAAATCTATTTGAGGGGCTGCCATATGGATGAAGTAAGCTGCCCATTGACTGGTTGGATTCAAGAGATCCAGCGGTTGAATCATGGAATTTCCCAAATGGAAAGACCCTGGGCGCACCAAGCGCGGCTGTGCTGGTTGATTTACAAAGGCTTATTTAGCCTCTTGTTATATGACATGGCTATGGAAATCAACATGTTTAATACGAAAATCATCATCAATTGTCTATAACTGGGCCATTTTCCATAGCCATGTTAAATAACCAGAGGGTACTTCAAAACTTTGACAAGTAGGCGGAAGAACAACTTGACCCCACCTATAGCTTGTAAAAAAGGATGGATTTATGAACCCTGCACTGGGATCAAAGTCATGATTCAATGATTCTGGCTTCTCTTCTTGTCGTAAGGTATTTTTTTGACAATGTACTGTAAGCCCTGGATTGATGACCCCCTGGGCTCTTTAAATAAGGGTTTACCCTTTTAGTAGCTAAGTAGCTGTATTTGTTGGGCGCCCTAGTTCATCAACCACATTTACAATTTTCTTGGTGGTTCACTATACATATATGTGGTGCCGCCCAATGGCATACCGTTTGATATTTCCACGTGTCTATGATTTCGTTTTATTGTGGTACATCATATACAGTACATGCTTATATATTGTAATGTTACGCGCAAACACCCCGATTCGCCCACACCCCTTCTATGCTGTACACTTGGGGATATCAAACGTTAGACTTTACATTCAATTGGGAAGATCAACACGGGTATTTAGGGAATATAAATTTCCCACCCCCGTTAAACTTCTACATTCATTGAAGATCTTCAATAAGTGTTTAATTCTCCCACCCCCGTTAAACTTCTACATTCATTGAAGATCTTCAATAAGTGTTTAATTCTCCCACCCCGGTTAAACTTCTACATTCATTGAAGATCTTCAATAAGGGTTTAATTCTCCCGCCCCCGTTAAACTTCTACATTCATTGAAGATCTTCAATAAGGGTTTAATTCTCCCACCCCGGTCCCACCCCCGTTAAACTTCTACATTCATTGAAGATCTTCAATAAGGGTTTAATTCTCCCACCCCCGTTAAACTTCTACATTCATTGAAGATCTTCAATAAGGGTTTGATGATGATGATGATGATGGTGATGATGATGATGATGATGATGATGTGGATGATGTGGATGTGTAAGAGACTCGCACAGGTCCCTATGCTGTGCGTGCCGATATACAACATGAAGTTAGGCACGATGCAAAAAACTCCGATGTTTACCACGTTTTCAGCACATACGAAGATGGCCGCCGACAAGCGCGGGCAAATCGAGGTGTTTGCCCGTAATGTTACGTAATGTTTATATAATTATATATATGTATTTTCACTCACACACACATATGTAAATATATATATATATGTTCATACATATATTATAAAAGTATGGTTGACTACAACCTCCAGACATTGGTACCTTCACTTCGCCACGGTTGGTACTTTAAACCGCGCTAGGCGGACCACGCCAACGTCCTGGTGGAGGTGCCAAGTTCCTTCAGCTTGGACCTAGCAGGAGGGGCTGGGAGGGGCACCTGGCACTGGGAAAATCTTCGAACAGTTTAGGGGATGCGTAAAATGAATGGAAGGTATAGATTTAAGTCCTAGGGTTCAACATGGGCCCAGATTGGATGGATTTTATAGGAGGTTTTGAAGAATCTTAATGTTAAAAGTTAATAAAGATGCACATCATACAATCCTAAACTCCGGGCAGCAACGTGTCAACATTAAGAAGGATGTTGTTTTTATGTTTGCTGCCAGCTTTGTGCCCCAGACAGAAAAACGAAGAAAGAAGGCACACATTTTATTCCCCTCCCCCTACGACACTACCTGCCAGAAACCCTGGTTTCATCCTGATTCCTTTGTTCATTTTATGGGCTCTCATGCAGGTTTTGATTGTTAAGGAGGTATGGGTGAGAGCCAAAGAGACCGCCAGATCAATACATCAATGAACACCATGTGCGCCATTTGAAGGTCCCTTCGGGAACAGTCCATCACCCATTATGGGGCTCCCAACTGCTCTTTCAAAAGTAAACTCCCAGTGATAAGTCCTTGTGGTGAGGGTTTTATTGACATCGTTAGCATCAACCACAGGGGCAACGATTAAACCCCAGTAGTGAGTAGTGTTGAGGGGGTTGCCTTTGAAGGGGACGTTTGAGAGCCTCACCATTAACATTGGGTAATCTGCACAAGCAACTGACAAGGAAACGCTTCACTAACGACCCATCTAGTTATAGATAGTTTGCCCCTTACATTCCCCTACTAACCCTCCCTCAAACATGGAGATTTCCCATCCATCCTTTGTTAAATTCAGTTTGAGAACATGTTCCTGTTCATTTTCAGAATTTTCTTTCCCTCAATCACCAACAGAAACTAACGTATACCCTGAGAATCACTAATTATAAGAGGAAAAAATGTCTTCCAAAACTCTAATGCCATCTAATGCCATAATGCTAATTCGGAGGATGGTCATGTTCATTAAGTTTCTCATAGTTATTCCTCAACCACTGGAGATTTTCAGGTAGCTGTCCTCCGTCCCAAAATTTCGCCCGGGGATCGGTTTCAACCTGGCAGGAGAATCGGAGAAGCACACGGTGCTGGCGGGCGAGAAAGTGCACACGGCCACCCCGGGGCAGTGCGCTGAGCAAAGGGTTGGGGATGGTGATGGAGAAATGAGTTTCTGAGAAGAGAGCCATAGCACAAAAGATGTCTAATGAAGCAAGGGCATGCAAGGGCTAAACTCTCGGAGAGGGCCATGGAGAGAGAGAGAGAGAGAGAGAGAGATTATGTGTGTGTGTTTTTTCTCAATGGTGTTCCAAGATGTTTTTTAGATTTGGTTTTGAAAGATGAGTTGAGTTCTAACAAGATGCTGAAAACGGTTGGAAAACACAGAAAATCGATGAATACCAACAGAAGATAACGCTGTAACAATTCAAACACGTCGCTGAGCAAACAATACGCACCTTAGGACCTGCATTTTGAACATGGAAAGATGTCAAGAATTAAACCGTTGTTGTGTCACCCACTACTTCATGGGTTGGTTAATTGCCGGCCAGGTACCAGATGCACGGCGGCCCCAAGAATGGCAAATTGAAGTCGGACTTCCCAGGGGTGTGGAGACGAAGGGAGCCAGATGCATCATGAAACAGCCACCATCACCATGAGCTCGTGCCCCATTATCTGATATGGCGTTTGATCTTTGCTGCGACATGGCTCAAGAAACAGCAACCAACCATCAATTACAATGGCTAGTGGTCACCGCAAGGAATGCTGGAAGACATAGTCGTGTCAGTCTCAGCAATAGGTTGGGAGGATTCATTCTTCCGGGACGGTCACACATTAAGGAGCCTCGACATATATTTGGACGTATTCTCACACAATTTTCACCATGAGACCTATTATGAATTTGAGCTGCCTTAATGTATCCAAATATATTGAACATCAACATTTGACAGTGAAGTTTTCAATTAAATCACTGGAAATTCACAGAATTTCCAGTGAAATTCTCCCCAGTTCAGGCAGCCCCAGTTTCACAGCCAGCCTCCGTGGACAGAGAGGTCTAGGCTTCCCGGGCCATGGCGGAGCCAGTTGAGTCGGCTGAGCTCTCCGCGACCCAACAGGATCAGATCCTTCGTTTTGTTTAGCCTGAGACCCCAAGGACCCAGAGATTGGAGGACGTCATCTGATAGTGAACCGTGAGATGATATAAAGATGCAATTTGGGATGGTTTGGGGGTTTTAATCCATGAACATGGAGAAAAAATACCATGAGATGATACAAAGATGCAATTTTGGAATATGTTGGATGGTTTTGGAGGGGTTTTGGCCCATGAACATGGAGAGAATTGCGTTTGAGGGCAAAAAACCTTTAATCACACAATGTTCCGGGCTCAAGCATACTCCCCGAAAAGGAAATGCTGCCAGCAAGTAGTTCCACGGAATTCCTTAAAGTGGAAATCTATCGGCATTGAATATAAGTTTTAGACTATGCATCAAGAGCCTGTACGGCGCATGTCTTTTCAAGAACCCGACGGGTATAACCAGGAATGGCTGCACTGGATCAACTTAGGATTGTTCAGAAGTTCAAGACCATCAGAGAATTTGCCGTTTATGCACATCCAGATTCAGATGCTGCAGGTTTGCAAGAGGCTCTCGATGAAGAAACTGCACATGCGATGCAGGGTGATGTCTCCAACATTCTTCAGCTTGCCAGGGAGATCCAGACATATGCCCCAAGATGCATGGAGGTTGCTGAAGTGCCTGGATGTCATGTTTTTGTTGTGTGTCCTCTACTCCCTCTCTGTGTAATTTTATAATGTTGTCTAGCCAATAGTGATATCTTGTCAATAGTAGAAACATTTTTCCGCAACTCCAATTTTTCTCCAATACTAAAAGTCAATTAGCTCCATTTACTTTTAGTATTGCCAAAAGAGTCATGTTCAAACCTTGTCCAGAGGGCATGGCCAATAGTGGACCCAGCATGGCAATAGTGGAAACTTTTTTCCCAACTCCAATTTTTTCTCCAATACTAAAAGTCAATTAGCTCCATTTACTTTTAGTATTGCCAAAAGAGTCAAGTAAAGCAAATCCTTTTCAAAGCAGCCTTCACTTTTGATTAGCAAAAGCTTAGATTCCAGAAATCTGATCCAATTACCAACCAGCTGATTTCCTTATAAAACCCTTATTTAAAAAAGCAAGAAAACAGGTCCACAAAGGGTACCCCCTTTGCAAGCCCCAGAATAGCAATAACAAACCTGCACCAGGCATGGCAATAGTGGAAACTTTTTTCCGCAAATCCAATTTTGTTGTCCTCCTTCTCCTTCTCCTTCTCCTTCTTCTCCTTCTTCTCCTCCTCCTCCTCGTCCTCCTCCTTCGCCTCCATCCCAGCCATAAGGTTCCAAAAAATTACTATTGGAATGCTGACCCCCCCCGACTTCTTTTAAAAAACTATTTTATTTAAGGGGGGGTTTACTATTAGGCAGCATACATTATTGTAAACACTGCATCTGTGAATATATTGTTATTTGAACATGGGAAGCTGGGAAAACTACAACAATTTTCAATCTGGGTTTCGGCCTCGGGCCAACCTCACATGGACAGTTTGATGTTTCTGAGTTTTGTTGATTTGGAATTTATTGTAGTGACGATTATCTGCATTTTCTCTTTGGTGATCTTGCTGTTGTGCATTTGCGTGCGACAAGGACCTGTACGACCAGAACTTGTCGCATGGCAACATCTCCAATGTGTTCCAAGCCGTTCACTCTTGCGCACGGGAGATGGCAAAGCTGGAATCGCAGCGGCACTGGGCGTCAGCTTCGGAACAAATCATTCGCGCCATGCGCAGAGTTGAGGAGCGGTTGAAGCCATTTTTGCTGCTGGACGATGTGGCTTCAAGCTCATTACCCACAACCCAGCCTCATCGTCACGACCCTCACGTGCAAAGCATCACAGATGAGACATCGACACAAGAGGGCGCAGAGCCTGAAGAGACTGCTGAGCTGGCCACGAGCCAACGGATACTCGTGCTGATGTCTTACCTGGTGGTTTCAAGTCTGTGCTGCTTAACCAATCAAACCCCGTAGAATTCACCAATTAAGATATTTGCCGGGTGGCTTCACTTGTCCTAATTTTAATCCCTACCTAGAGCGATGATCCTCAAGATCCTCAATATCTTAACTAATATTTTGCCGGCAGGTTACACAAGCACCACGTTGCGACACTATTTATTCTGTTGTTTTATTATAATTTTGTCCTGCCAAAGGGACCCCAGGCAGGATAAAACTGATAATTATATAATTATGACAATAATTACGATCAATAAATACCAATGAACTTTTTTTTGATGCAATTGGGACTGGGAGGATTTGGTGCATGGAATTGAGGCTTGGTAGGATCCGAAATGGAGAATGAATTATATACTACCTGGAACCCCAATGTCGCAAGATAAAGGTACGAAGGATGTTTCTGGCAAAAAACCTAACAAACACGATCAAAACTGAATATTTCCTGAAAAAAGGATCAAAGGTTTGTTGCTGTTTTTGTCACATCCTGAAGCTCTATCAAGGCAGAAAAAGCAGTCAGAGTGAACCACCTAAACATGAAAATTCCCAACAAGACTCGTGCTTTCGCTCTCAAGATGAACAATAAAACTAAAAAAACATCAACAAATCCTGGCTGAATCATTCGGGGCATTTCCAGCACTGTTCCGGATATTTCCGACACAATTCTGGGAATTTCTGGCAAAAAGATCCAACCACAAATCTACGAAATTTGAGCCATGGAACATCTGTATATTTTGCTAAAATTCAGGCTAAAACAGTGCAATTTTCCCTCCATTTGCTAACTCCCCGTCACGCGTTCTCTATCTTGGAAGCTGAATCAGTTCCAAAATATGTCAAACATTGCCCGAATGTCAAATTTTTAAAAAAGGAACACATCTCAAAAAAAGGCACAAATGAGAACAACTTTGTTTTTCCATTTGTACTTTTTTGGGCATACTTTGGTATGAATTATTCAATTTGGGGTGGTTTTGATTCTGGTCTGAAGAGTTCTCACAAACTCGGGGTTTGGCATGCAGCCTGGCAGAGTGCCCGGGAGTAGAAATCCACCAGAAGAGAAAACCTGTAGAAAGACCCGGGAAAGAGTGCTTTCCAGGATCTGGCAGACAGAGCCAGGAACGCCTTATTTCTTTTTCCCATGTGTCCTTCCTGCTCGATCACCCAGGATTGTTCTCAATTTTAAGGCCATTCAACACCGCGCCCTTCGATTGCGTCCAGAGGCTCTCGATGAAGAAACTGCACATGCGATACAGAGTGATGCCTCCAGCATTCTTCAGCGTGCCAGGGAGATCCAGACTTATGCCCAAAGATGCATGGAGGTTGCTGAAGTGCCTGGATGTCATGTTTTTATATGTTTTTGATATGTCTGTTTTCCACTCTCTCTCTCTATCTCTCTCGCTCTATTCTCTCTTCATTAATGTACAATATTTACAAATCATCATATCATATCATGTCATATCATATCTATCTATCTATCTAACTATCTATCTATCTATCTATCTAGCTAGCTAGCTAGCTAGCTAGCTGGCTATCTATATATCTATCTATCTATCTATCTAACTATCTATCTATCTATCTATCTACCTATCTATCTACCTATCTATCTACCTATCTATCTACCTATCTATCGATCTATCTATCTATCTATCTATCTATCTACTATCTATCTATCCATCCATCTATCCATCTATCCATCTATCCATCTATCCATCTATACAATGTCATCTAATCCAATCTAATCTAATCTAGTCCAATCTTGTCTCATATCATCTCATCTGATCTTATCTCATCTCATCTGATCTTATCTCATCTCATCCGCATCCTATGTTATCTTATCTTATTTTATCTCATTGTATCCTATCTTATTTTATCGCATCGTATCCTATCCTGTCCAATCGTGTCCTATCGTATCCTCTCCTGTCCTATCCTGTCCTATCCTATCCTATTGTGTCCTATCCTATCCCTTCCTATCCTATCTATCCATCTGTGTGTATGTTCGTTTGAAGATGGGAACAGGGAAACAAAAATGGTAATTGCCGATTTGGCTTTTTCGGCTTCGGGCCAACCTCAACTGTGTAGCCTCATAGTCTTTGCCTGTTCCCAGTTTTGGTTTTTGTATCCTGGGGTGATGGCATATGCCAACTGCACCCCTTTTCTGAAGTTTGTCGATTGGGCATAAGTTTAGTGACAGTGAAAGCATCCACATTTTCTCTTTGGTGATCTTGCTGTTGCGCATTCGCATGCCACAAGGACCCGTATGACAACAACTTGTCGCATGGCAGCATCTCCAATGTGTTCCAAGCCGTTCACTCTTGCGCACGGGAGATGGCAAAGCTGGAATCGCAGCGGCACTGGGCGTCAGCTTCGGAACAAATCATTCGCGCCATGCGCAGGGTTGAGGAGCGGTTGAAGCCATTTTTGCTGCTGGACGATGTGGCTTCAAGCTCATTACCCACAACCCAGCCTCGTCATCAAGGCCCTCATGTGCAAAGTGTCACAGATGAGTCATGGACACAAGGGCACCCAGAGGAGCCAGACCTTCCAGAGGCGATTGTGGCCGGCTACCTGACGGCCGAATTGCAGAGACTGGAGCAACAACTGCTGGAGCAGCAACACAAACACGGAAACACAGATCACCATGACATTGCCGCAACACTGAATGCGCTGGGCCAAGTGAGTCGAGCTGCTGGAGATCTTCCAGAAGCAAAGCAGCATTTTGAGGAGTCTTTGCGAATGGAGCGCTCCCTGCACGGTGATCGGGATTGCCATGAGATTGCCGTGACACTGCATGAGCTGGGCACAGTGAGTCAAGATGCTGGAGATCTTCCAGAAGCAAAGCAGCATTTGGAGGAGTCTTTGCGAATGAAGCGCTCCGTGCACGGTGATCGGGATTGCCATGAGATTGCTGTGACACTGCATGCGCTGGGCGGAGTGAGTCAAGATGCTGGAGATCTTCCAGAAGCAAAGCAGCATTTGGAGGAGTCTTTGCGAATGAACCGCTCCCTGCACGGTGATCGGGATCACCCTGGCATTGCTGCAACACTGCATGCGCTGGGCGGAGTGAGTCGAGATGCTGGAGATCTTTCAGAAGCAACGCTGCATTTGGAGGAGTCTTTGCGAATGAAGCGCTCCCTGTACGGTGATCGGGATCACCCTGACATTGCCGCAACACTGCATGCGCTGGGCCAAGTGAGTGAAGCTGCTGGAGATCTTCCAGAAGCAAAGCAGCATTTGGAGGAGTCTTTGCGAATGGACCGCTCCCTGCACGGTGATCGGGATCACCCTGACATTGCCATGACACTGCATGAGCTGGGCACAGTGAGTCAAGCTGCTGGAGATCTTCCAGAAGCAAAGCAGCATTTGGAGGAGTCTTTGCAAATGGAGCGCTCCCTGTACGGTGATCGGGATCACCCTGACATTGCCGAAACACTGCATGCGCTGGGCCAAGTGAGTCGAGCTGCTGGAGATCTTCCAGAAGCAAAGCAGCATTTTGAGGAGTCTTTGCGAATGGAGCGCTCCCTGCACGGTGATCGGGATCACCTTGAAATTGCCGCAACACTGCATGAGCTGGGCCAAGTGAGTCGAGCTGCTGGAGATCTTCCAGCAGCAAAGCAGAATTTGGAGGAGTCTTTGCGAATGGAGCGCTCCCTGTACGGTGATCGGGATCACCCTGACATTGCCGTGACACTGCATGCGCTGGGCCAAGTGAGTCGAGCTGCTGGAGATTTTCCAGAAGCAAAGCAGCATTTGGAGTAGTCTTTGCGAATGAAGCGCTCCCTGTACGGTGATCGGGATCACCCTGGCATTGCCGCAACACTGCATGCGCTGGGCACAGTGAGTCGAGCTGCTGGAGATCTTTCAGAAGCAACGCTGCATTTGGAGGAGTCTTTGCGAATGAAGCGCTCCCTGTACGGTGATCGGGATCACCCTGGCATTGCCGCAACACTGCATGAGCTGGGCCAAGTGAGTCGAGCTGCTGGAGATCTTCCAGAAGCAAAGCAGCATTTGGAGGAGTCTTTGCGAATGGAGCGCTCCCTGCACGGTGATCGGGATCACCTTGAAATTGCCGCAACACTGCATGAGCTGGGCCAAGTGAGTCGAGCTGCTGGAGATCTTCCAGCAGCAAAGCAGAATTTGGAGGAGTCTTTGCGAATGGAGCGCTCCCTGTACGGTGATCGGGATCACCCTGACATTGCCGTGACACTGCATGCGCTGGGCCAAGTGAGTCGAGCTGCTGGAGATTTTCCAGAAGCAAAGCAGCATTTGGAGTAGTCTTTGCGAATGAAGCGCTCCCTGTACGGTGATCGGGCTCACCCTGACATTGCCGAAACACTGCATGCGCTGGGCCAAGTGAGTGAAGCTGCTGGAGATCTTCCAGAAGCACTGCCGTATTATTTGGTGCTCTTGCGAATGAGTCGGGCCCTGAGTCGGGAGCTGTCCCCCCCCTTGGATCAGGATGTTTCTTTGTGAATTGTCAGTTTTTGTTTGAACAATCATAATAGGCAAAATTGGGAATAATTCGGAATTATCGTTAGGAAGGTTAATTTTCTGATTGTTTTATCTGCGGCCACCTTGCTATTTGAGCTGGGCTTGGCCACAATTGTGGAGCCCTTTGATTCTATACGTATAGCAATGCTGTAACAAACAATGCAATATGCCCTGATATGCCCTTCATTTTCTGGTCCTTGGTAATCCCGGCAGCCACAGCTAAAGCAACAAAAGGCATTTGTCAACCAAAAGGAAAAAACTTGTAAACCAGGTTGGTGAATGGGTGAGGGGCATCAAGTCACAGACCGGGGACAGTCTTCACAGCGGTCCTCGACGAATTTGACCTTGCCCGGATTTTTTCAGGCCAAAAGATGTGACTTGACCAATCCAGAAAATCTTTCTTGTCTTTGTTTCATGAGCTTTGGTGTCCATATTGTGCAGTGCTCGACGCGAAACAATCCGGGAAAATCGGTGGAAAAGCTTCAGACAGTAGCCGTGCAGCAAAGACATGCAAAGACCATTGAGACCTGTGAAGATTCTCAGGGACGTCTTGATGAAGCCATGTCCTCATGATTGGTCCTCGAGACCAGCGTCATTATCAGCAAATATCAGATTATCAGCAAATTCTTTTGCACGTACCCGGTGGCCACCAAGCATGGCTTCTACCCAGGTTCGAGCTGGTGACCGAGGCGGCTGGGTATGTCAAGGCGCGCCAGATATGGTGATCCAAAATGGCAGCCAAGTAGATAACCCACAGTTTGAGCCACACCCAGGGTCAATTAATGTCACGTATAATTGCATGATGATATAATATAATATAGGTTAATTAATATATATGGCTTGTAAGATGTTATAAGCATTCTGGTTGTTCCTTCAGTCCTTCTATTTGGTGACATGGTTGTAGTTCGAAAGCGCGGGCCGCAGTTGATCTTCAATTCCTTCATGTCGCAGTCCAAAAGGCTGCGTCAGTAATCGGGTAGCCCTTGGCCTTCAAACATGGGTCACCATTTTTCTTCGTCCAATTGATGCCTTGTTTCTGAGGCCTGGCAACACTGGGAGTAATTATATACTTGAATCAGATCTGGTTTCAGAAAATAGTTGCCCCAATTGTTTTGTAAGATAGCTTCGCAACCCACGAGCCAGCTCTGATGCGGGGATGTATCCAGAAAATGATCAAGGGTCTATGAATCAGTGACGTTTCATTTCAGGTGGTGCATACCCCAATTTCGCTGCCAACCTTGATCCTGATATGCATTCCATTTGGGGCCACCCCAGGAAATGTTGCGATTGCAAAAATTGAGTTTTTGGTAGTTGTAGGAGTCGTGTTTCATTGGTTGGTGGCCTATCTCCAATACAGTTGGTGGATTAGGCCAATGATACAGTTCAACTTCCTTCCTGGAGGGTTTACAGCTGCAAAAGTTTAACATGCAGTCCAATCATTGTCTCGAATTCAATGCGCACACACAGATATAATATATATATATATAAAATATAATATATATATATATTATATAAAATAAATAATATATATAATATAATATATATATATATATAATATATATATAATAAATAGAATATATATTTATATTATATATATATAATTATATATATATTATATATTTAAAAAATAATATATATAATATTATATATATATATATGTAATAGTATCACATATCATGATGTATCATGTTGCAGCTCCCTTTGGCGTCCCCTACTGTTTCGAGAGGGCTACCGGGCTACGATCTATCAATTAACTTGGTAATTCAAAAGCAACATTTAAGACTAAGATTAACCATTTATATCCGCTCATGCCCCCCATTCAAAGACATCAAAACCACCATACACCACTCATCCTACCCATGTTTGTTTGTCCTGGTGCAAACACCTCCCTTCCATTGGCTCAGGCAGGCGACGCGGTGGTGCCCAAGCACGTGGTGACGGGGAGTGCTTGGGCGCATTTAAACCTATGTGTAGTCCCTTCCCCCGTAACCATCCTGGGTCGATGTTTAGGGATGACTCCAACCAAGAACAACCACATAGATGACGGCTCAAAACCTTTATGATATGATCATCTATGGTTAGGGAGGTTGACCCACAAAGATAACAGACAATGCAACTTAACCACTTTCTTGTTCTGAATCCTGAGACATGATAAGGAGCAGAACCAGCGAGAGAAATTGAACAGAAACAAAGCCAATTTGGAATAACACAAGCAATCACAAGCACCCACTAGTAAAGAGTAGAAAGTATCACCTCAGCCAAGAGTGGCATCACCTAAGAAATTGACTTGACACTTGTTCTTAAACACCACAGGTTGCGGATTCATTTTAGCCTTGGATTGGTGTTTGTACATTTCACTTGGATGACTTCTACGGTTGATGGCCATGCCTGGTAAGACCGACATCAAGGGCCAAGGGGCTATCTTTGAGATACAGGGACCAGCTACTGTATAACCACAATGACAATGAAACCATTCCCTGAAAGTCCGCATTCCAACCCAAAAAATCCAGACAGATAATGATCACCCGTCCCAGACTATCTATCCCGCGATAATGACCATTTATTTCCCAACCCAGCCCAACCCCATTGTGTGTATATATATATATATATTCATTGTATACAGTATTGTTTTTATGTATTCCATGCTGTTCAGTCATTTATAACGTATATTTATAACCCATTGCCGTGATATCTCATTATATTCTCTTGATTCATTGCCCACCTGCCAGGTGAGGGTTATTAGATTTTATCAGAGCTGTTGTCCTCCTCCGCCTCCGCCTCCTCCTCCGCCTCCTCCTCCAGTTTCTCCTCGACCATGTCTGCATCAACTTCCACCTCCACTTCCGCCTTGCCAACTCTTCGCCAAGCTCTTCGCCAACTTCCGAGCTCAGTGCGCACTGCTGGACCTCAACCTGGGACCTTCCCTGCTCAGTGCGCACTGCCGGACCTCAACCTGGGACCTTCCCAGCTCAGTGCGCACCGCTGGACCTCAACCTGGGACCTTCCCAGCTCAGTGCGCACCACTGGACCTCAACCTGGGACCTTCCCAGCTCAGTGCGCACCGCTGGACCTCAACCTGGGACCTGCCGAGCTCAGTGCGCACCGCTGGACCTCAACCTGGGGCCTTCCGAGCTCAGTGCGCACAGCTGCACCTCAATTACTTTACTTCGTGTGATCCCCACCATGACATTTATACATTTTGTTACTGGCAAATCTTCTGGCATTCTATCTGACATATTTTCTGGCATTCGATCTGGCATTCTATCTGGCATATCTTCTGGCATTCTACCTGGCAGATGTTCTGGCATATCTTCTGGCAGATGTTCTGGCATATCTTCTGGCATATCTTCTGGCATATGTTCTGGCATATCTTCTGGCATTCCATCTGGTATTCTATCTGGCATATCTTCTGGCATATTATCTGGCAAATCTTCTGGCATTCCATCTGGCATTCTATCTAGCATATCTTCTGGCATATTATCTGGCAAATCTGCTGGCATTCTATCTGGCAAACATTCTGGCACTTTATCTGGCATATCTTCTGGCATTCTAGCTGACATTCTATCCTGCATTCTATCTGGCATACCTTCTGGCATTCTATCTGGCATATCTTCTAACATTCTATCTGGCATATCTTCTGGCACTCTATGTGGCATATCTTTTGGCGTGGATACTCGCGGTTGAGGTCCGGCAGGGAACACTGGGCGTGGATGGTCGTGGTTGAGGTCCGGCAGGGAACACTGGGCGGGGATACTCGCGGTTGAGGTCCGGCAGGGAACACTGGGCGTGGATGGTCGTGGTTGAGGTCCGGCAGGGAACACTGGGCGGGGATGGTCGTGGTTGAGGTCCGGCAGGGAACACTGGGCGTGGATGGTCGTGGTTGAGGTCCGGCAGGGAACACTGAGCATGGATGGTCGTGGTTGATGTCCGACAGAGAACACTGTGGATCGCGGGTCGCAGTTGGACGAGGAGGACGAGGAGGACGACGAGGAGGACGACGAGGAGGAGGACGACGAGGAGGAGGAGGAGGAGAGGAGGAGGACGAGGAGGACCAGGCAACTGACATAAAATCTAACAACGCTCACCTGGCAGGTGGGGAAAAACCAGATAGAATGCCAGAAGATATGCCAGATAGAATGTCAGATAGAATGCGAGAAGATATGCCAGATAAAATGCCATAAGATATGCCAGATAGAGTGCCAGGAGATATGCCAGATAGAATGTTAGAAGATATGCCAGATAGAATGCCAGAAGGTATGCCAGATAGAATGCCAGATAAAATGTCAGATAGAATGCCAGAAGATATGCCAGATAAAGTGCCAGAATGTTTGCCAGATAGAATGCCGGAAGATTTGAGTAGATAATATGCCAGAAGATATGCCAGATAGAATGCCAGAAGATATGCCAGATAGAATGCCAGAAGATATGTCAGATAGAATGCCAGAAGATTTGCCAGTAACAAAATGTAATAAATGTCATGGTGGGGATCACACGAAGTAAAGTAATTTCTGCTAGTTTCTTCTTGCACCACCCAGCCACATTTCCATGTGATTTCCATACCATTGAATCACCATTGTTGTCGGATGCTGTCGGCTAAATCCCAGAAAAATGGAATTCTCCAGAACAATGATAATTAGACATAATTGGTCATATATTTTTCTATAATGATATATAAAGGTAATTAAAAATCATTAAACCCTACTATGGGTGATATATCCCCCAACCCCAGCCCCACCCCCCCAGAGGTGGCCACGCCGAGCCCAACTTCTTCAACGCCTCGGTGGGTCAGCTGCACGCCCTGACGGAGTGGATCGAGCGCCGCGCCGACGGCGTGGCGCCCTGGGTGGCGCGGGTCCACCTCAACGGTGCCGTGGCGACAACGGGGGGGACGGGTGGGGATTGGGGTAAGTGGTGAAGAAGCCTGGTTAGTAGTGGCTTTAGTAAGTCCCCGATTTTCAGGGTTATCCCATTTATAAGTGGATTATAAGCCCATTCCAAGTGGGGTGGGGAGGTGGGGTTTGGTGCAAAAATGTGGGATAATGTGGAAAAACTATGGGGAAGGATGGGTTGTAGAATTCCTTTGGGCAAAACACCATTGAAGTATTGGGTAGTTCAAGCTACAGTAGCGGAGATAGGTTATAAGTGGTAAGTAGTGACGATAGGAATGAAACAGAAAACCCCACGGACCATGAAAAAAAACAGTTGCAGGATCACAAAGGTGGCAGATACGTGTAGCTACTCCCTTGAAGACTAACGTGGACCAAACATGGGTTTGAAAAATGATTTATATATTTTTTGTAAGTTGACATGTTTGAACATTGTTTCTTAAAAAGTGCCGCAATAAACATGACAACTCATAGAGGCACATGTAAACAAATATCGTTTCCGGATATTCTTGGACCAGTATGGGCCCTACAATGCCCCCAATGCAGCCTCTCACTGCCAAGGACCTAATTTACCAAAAGGTTCTTGGGAAGTTCTGAGTTCAGAGGCACGGGGCCTTTGACCAAACACCTGGCTGAAGGTCCAATGGCTATGTAAGCATGTCCCAAAATGGAACTTGGAAAAACTATGTTCCCAGAGGGTTCGGCTCATTTTTGATAGGATTGGAACATATAGGATCTCTATGTGGGTTTTCCTTCGTTTTCTGGAACATGTTGTTGACGTTTGCTTCAGTAGTGGTGACATTCCAAATTTAGTTGCTCTCAGATCGGCTGATGCTTTTGAGATGCAGTGTTTTCGTGGATGTCATGTTTTGGCTTCTCCTTGCCCATATGTTTTGAATGCATTCTCCAGATTTGTGTTGGGTTTTATCCCTAAGACTTTTCGGCAAGATCTGGATGAAATGTTACGGCCCCCCATTTTCTTCAACGTTTTCAGCAACCGAAACTCGGCAAAAATTAGCCAATCAAGAGATAGCAAATATATCTGGAAATTGTAAAACATATAGAATGGGCTAGCGCCCAGGTGCCGCCGACCCCCTTCTATTTGGGGGGGACTGTGGGGAGCGAGAGAGAGAGAGAGAGAGAGAGAGAGAGAGGAGAAGAGAGGAGAAGAGAGGAGAGGAGAGGAGAGGAGAGGAGAGGAGAGGGAGAGAGATAGAGAGAGAGAGAGAGAGAGGAGAGGGAGAGATGGATGGATGGATAGATGGATGGGGATGGATGGATGGATGGATGGATGGACGGATGGACGGATGGATGGATGGATGGATAGATAGATAGACAGACAGACAGACAGACAGACAGGTAGACATGTTGGGGAAGGTGTTTGGAATTTTGGAAGTTTGGATCCTTTGCAGGCTGGCAAACTGCAGCTTTGAGGCCCATAGAAAGTCATTGCTGTGGCCCTGGCCCCCTGTTAAGGAAGGTGTTTGGAATTTTAGAGGGGTTGCAGCCTTTGCGGGCTGGCAAACGGCAGCTTTGAAAGCATCAGAAAGTCATTGCTGTGGATCTGAGGTGCCTGCTGGGGACGGTGTTTGGAGGGTTTGGCGGGTTTTGGAGGGTTTGGAGCGTTTGGAGGGTTTGGAGAGTTTTGGAGGGTTTGCGGGCTGGCAAACGGCAGCTTTGAAAGCCTAAGAAAGCCATTGCTGTGGCCTGGCCCTGGGGTGCCTGTTGGGGAAGTGGCCTTGGCCCTAGGGTGCCTGTTGGGGAAGTGGCCTTGGCCCTGGGGTGCCTGTTGGGGAAGGTGTTTGGAATTTTGTTTTGGAAAGTTTGGAGCCTTTGCGGGCTAGCAAACGGCAGCTTTGAAATTCATAAAAAGTCTCATTGCTGTGGCCCTGGCCCTGGGGGTTTGGAATTTTGGAGGCGTTTGGAGCCTTTGCGGGCTGGCAAACGGCAGCTTTGAAAGCTCATAGAAAGTCATTGCTGTGGCCCTGGCCCTGGGGTGCCTGTTGGGGAAGCTGGGCCCTGGAGGGTTTGGAAGCCCACACCTGGCCCTGGGGTGCCTGTTGGGGAAGTTGCCTTGGCCCTAGGGTGCATGTTGGGGAAGGTGTTTGGAATTTTGGAAGTTTGGATCCTTTGCAGGCTGGCAAACTGCAGCTTTGAGGCCCATAGAAAGTCATTGCTGTGGCCCTGGCCCCCTGGGTGCCTGTGGGGCAGCTTTGAGCTGCCTTAAGGTGGTTTGGAGGTTTGGAGGGTTTGGAGAGTTTTGGAGGGTTTGCTGGCCTGGGGGCAGCTTTGAAAGCCTAAGAAAGCCATTGCTTGGCCTGGCCCTGGGGTGCATGTTGGGGAAGGTGTTTGGAATTTTGGAAGTTTGGATCCTTTGCAGGCTGGCAAACTGCAGCTTTGAGGCCCATAGAAAGTCATTGCTGTGGCCCTGGCCCCCTGTTAAGGAAGGTGTTTGGAATTTTAGAGGGGTTGCAGCCTTTGCGGGCTGGCAAACGGCAGCTTTGAAAGCATCAAGAAAGTCATTGCTGTGGATCTGAGGTGCCTGCTGGGGACGGTGTTTGGAATTTTGGCGGGTTTTGGAGGGTTTGGAGCGTTTGGAGGGTTTGGAGAGTTTTGGAGGGTTTGCGGGCTGGCAAACGGCAGCTTTGAAAGCCTAAGAAAGCCATTGCTGTGGCCTGGCCCTGGGGTGCCTGTTGGGGAAGTGGGCCTTGGGGTGCCTGTTGGGGAAGTGGCCTTGGCCCTGGGGTGCCTGTTGGGGAAGGTGTTTGGAATTTTGTTTTGGAAAGTTTGGAGCCTTTGCGGGCTAGCAAACGGCAGCTTTGAAATTCATAAAAAGTCTCATTGCTGTGGCCCTGGCCCTGGGGTTTGGAATTTTGGAGGCGTTTGGAGCCTTTGCGGGCTGGCAAACGGCAGCTTTGAAAGCTCATAGAAAGTCATTGCTGTGGCCCTGGCCCTGGGGTGCCTGTTGGGGAAGCTGCTTAAGGGTAAAGGTTTGGAGGGTTTGGAAGAGGACAAGGTCCACACCTGCGGTGGTCCCAGGCGCCGCCCCGGCCTTGGCGAAGGCCGGGGTCGGCGGATATAAATTTCGCGCAGTCAAACATGGCAACCCCAAATCCCAATATCAAATATAGGATTCATGCTAGTCATGGAGAATCACGGACATTCATTTGTGGATGATTTCCTGTTGCCATGTTGGAGCACCAGAGGGTACACCATTATCCCAATGGTTGTTGTTTATATTCATTGAATCACCGGTGTTGTTGTTTCAATCCAGATGCAAATCCATTACAATATCCTATTTTATCTATATCCTATATCCCTCATGGAATCTTGGTTGCATTGCGCTATATTCCATTCAAATCCATGACAATTACATGACATCCATAATTTTCTTGGCTTACATCCCACTAAAATCCAGTCAAATCCAATAAAATCAATGTTTATCTTGGTTATATTTCATTCAAACCCATGAAAAACAATCTTCGTGGTTACATCCCATTAAAACCAAATGCAAACCATCATTTCCTTGGTTAAATCCCATTAAAACCCATGAAAAGCCACCTGCATCCGCCATTCTTTACCGGTTCCTTCACCCTTCCCGACCTTCGTCGCATCGTAGGCCTTCCTGACGGTGCCGCTGCAGTGGTACGTCCTGCTGAGCGCCGGCACCTTGCGACCCAAGGTGTCGGAGGTGCATCTGCACCCCATGGGTCGCTGGGACGTGCAGAGGATTTTGGGGGAAATGGTGTGTTTATGGTGGGAGACATCTGGAGATAATCGGTATATATAATCGTATATATCTGTATTTTAAATTGTGGGTTTATTGTTTATGGTGGATGGTGGATAGTGATGATAATTATCCAGTTCTTGGTGATACATAATTGGAAATCAATAGTGGGTTATTATTCGCCCAAAATAATCCAAAATGCAAGATTGAAACACAGCATTTCCCCAATCCAAATCACCCAGGATATGCTTGGAGACTTGGAGATATTTGGAAAATGATAATTGGTGAATGATGGTTTATTGTGCAGTTAATGGTGGTATAAGATATATAATCGGAATTTAAGGGCAGTGTAATATGACAATATAGGACAATACAGGACAATAGTATGGGATAATGACTGGATCAACAAACCACCAAGTTGGCATTTTGGCTGACAACACGACATACCAAGATTTCTGCTTACAGTCCAACATGGCAGCTGCCATGCTCGAATACCAGTGGGTATCCTTGGGACTTTTTTTGCGATTATTCTTGGATGATGGCTGACATGTTTATCAAAAACTATGATGTGAAGGGTTTCCTAAAGTTCGATATCCCCAAACCACCAGCATGAACTACTTTCCTAACGATCCCATGGTTTCAGCTCTCCCCTGTTTTGCAAAACATTTACTATATGTCGATACAAAAGGGAAAAACAAGATAGACCAAAAACATTCGCCGGGTTTCCCACATGATGCCCCCTAACGTCCACTACCCGGGCCCGCGCCAAGAGCGGGTACCCCTAAATCCACCGGTTTCTGGAATAACTCATGCCATCTATTTTGGGATTGCTACAAAAAGCTTCCAACATCGTTGGCGGCCCAAAAAAACACCGCGGACCCACTTGAGGCATGAACGCTTGGCCCCAGAAGCCAGAGTCCAATGCCACCAAAAGGAAGAAGAAGGCCAGCTACATGGATGTTTGTTTGAATTCACTTGTGCCCTTCAAAATCATCGCTGTGCGCAATGCTTCGGCTACTTTTAACTAAATCTCCAATTATAGATGAAACAGGCTGTGCCATGGTGATTCTTCTTCCCTGATGTGACTTTCCACTACCTGATGTGACTTTTCTGTTTCGCCCCCGTGCCATGGGGATGATGTGACTTTTATACCGCCTGATGTGACTTAAGTACGGTGCTTGTATCTAAAATATGATGTGTTCATCTTGAGTAAAAAGGTTTGAACATGGACCAAGGTTTCATGGATCCCTGAGCTGAGGATTGCTTGGGCAAGTTTTGTTCCTCACCAGGTGTCACCTTCCAACAGCAAAACATCCCAACTTTGTTGCAAAAAACACAGGAAACACCCATAGTTTTCATATGTTTTTATGAAACATCCCATGAATTCAGCATAATTCAACCATTTTTTCCTCCCAGAAAGCCCCTTCTTTACGCAGCAGACTGCAACGTTTCAGGCTCTGGTGGATGATACCTTGATGAGGGAATTCAACATGTTGAAGCCTTTCGTGCCTGTGCTGCATGGGTCATTCCCTTGAGTCACTGGGCACCGGGTCATAATGGCAGAAGGAGTTCCGTTCCAAAATTGCCAGTCTAATGGGGACAATCCAGCATCACCAAAAAGATGGTTGAAACCCTATAAATAATGGGATGTTTACCATCTATCAGCTGGTGCAGGATTCCGCAACCATCCACCGTAGTTCATTGGAATTGAGAGGACATCATTTTCAGACAAACCCTTTGTTTGGATTCATGGGCACATGAATGTATAGCCGCTACCCAAGTTGCAAACCCTCCGAAACGATACTGGCAAAACGGGCAAAAATGCCAGCAATCGAGTCTGCTTGGGACACTGATTTGGGGGGCAACTGCAATTTGATCAACGGTTTGACTTTTAAGCTACAACTGCTGGATTCTTTGGATCCCCGGATTCTCCATTCAGAAAATAATCTAACATGTATGTTCCGTTCAACTAAAGGGACATTTTTTAATACTTATTTGACAAAAATCACCTAAAAGTATTTGCAGATTAAGAAATAATATGTTTCCCTTAATTAAGGAAACATTTAGATATTGTTTCCACGTGGCACAACTGTTACCAGGTGGAAAAGCCCACCGCAGCCGGGGCAACTGGGCACCGTTGTGACTGGGGGCCATGGGGCTATGGCTTGCAACGGTGCAGTGAACCACTGATTTTGCGTGGGTATATGGCCATGATATATCATGATATACCAGAAGTATGGGTGGTATATATATATATATATCCCGGCTTATCGTGGTTGCAACATGATTTAACATGTTTTCATGTGTGTTTCCCTGTAATTACGTCCAGCAAGAATTAGCTGCAACTGCACCCACAAGTGGTTTGCACCACTTGCCTCCCTTTTGCTGCGTTCTCTTTCCCTGGGTGACCAAAAGCATCCACATTCTTCTCTCCCGTTATTCAAGTATAGGTCGCTCTAAAAGGGAAGAAATCAACAGACCCACTCCCAAACCAAGGTTCTAAGCTATCTTTGAGTTGTTTTAAAATATCTCACTGCAAAAGATGTGGATAGTTTTCGACACTTTGAAACTTTAGTTGTCAAACTTTCCTCAATAGTTTCAGTTAGTTTATTATAACTTATCTATGGGTTGTGTTGAAATAAGTAACTGCAAAAGATGAGATAGTTTCTACGTGTTCTCAACAGAATCATAGATCTATAGTTTATCATCCATCAAAAAAATCTTTCAATTAGTGTTCATCCATTGGTTTTCTAAGTTTTCTAAGGTTTTTGTTCCTCCACCCATCAGTTTTTCCATTCGTTTCCCCCACCACGGAGCACCGCTGCCCTTCCAGGCGACTTTGGCCTGGGTGCCGCACGAGGGACGGCCCATCGTCTTTACAAAGGCCACCAACAAATGGTCCCATGCCGAGCTCAGCTACACCCAGGTGGGATGTGATGGTTGGGATGGTTGGGATGGGGGTGTTACTGGGAAAAGGTTCACGAAGCCAAAGATTTGGGGAACTGTTGGGGGGTTAACGGTTAAACTGCAAAATTGTAGAGAATGATATTAGGGGTTTAACCAACCAAAAGGGTACGGGGTGAGGTGGTTTAAGGAACAAAATATATCATGAGGGGAACAACTGATTTCTGTGATTTCCCTAACTCGAATGCACCACTTGGGGAAATATTTCAGTTGCAGTTCCGCAGCCGCAAGCAGCGAGAAGGGATACTAAAAACATACAAACATGATATCTGATAGCAACGAAGCATAACATGGAAATATCAGGGCGAAGAGTGTGATGATGGAGTCAACCGTCAACCAACCATTTGCCAACCCCTATGGGCTTGCTTGTTCAGAGTTTCTTTATTTCCGAGATATTTGGACATTTGTTTTCTTGATCTGAATACCATCCGTGCTTGATCAGACGGCTTTGATGAACCCAAGTCTTGAAACCCAATGATTGTTTATTTTTACCGATTTTCACCCTCAAAACAAGCATTTTTGGACATACCGTGCAGGAAGGGTGGCGATAGTTCAGTATTTAGCTTTGCTGAGGTTCTTCCTGGATATGTCAATATCCACAGCTTCATGGAGTTACCGACTAACTTCATTACAGCTTGAGGGCCCCTTCTTGCATAGTGAATTAGAAGGGTTCCCTTGCGTTTGACAGCATATGACGGCACAAATCTGCACAGGTGAACATTTTGATGCTCCTCATTGCAGTGACCTTCAACATCGTGCCTTGCAAAATGTCAGTCGGGAAGCAGGTGAACAGCTGGGGCTGACATCGTGACGTAGACTAATGCGAGAAGTGTGGAAAACCTATTGGTTTATTACTACTGTTGGTTCTACTAACCCATTGAAAAGGGATCATTACATCATTGAAATAGTTGATATGAGAAAGATGATGTTCATTTTATGGATTTTTTATGGGGTGACCACCAAGAAATGGAGTTCAGCCACCAAAGATTTAGAATTCACCAAGAGACATTTGGATTTAGCAAAAAACGGCCATTTTACAACCAAGGAATTTGGATAAAACTTGCACATGATGGGTGAATCCTGGGTGCCTCAAAGATACCCTCTGTGATCCATTCATACACATTTGCCAATTGGTAGATGATTTGCCTGTTGACTTGAACGTCGTTTTTCAACTTTCAGGTGGCGTTCCAGGAGAGTAGACAATCCGCAAATTCATCCAGATCTTCTATATTTTTTAGTTGCTTACATTCATGTTTGTTCATTGCTTACCCTCATGTTGTTGGTTATAGTGTTATACCGTAGTTATACCACTATAATCCACTATACCTTTCTTGGATCTGCTGAAGGTGATAGTTCATTTTGATATCAAAATCTATGGTGACTTGGGCATCCACCTCTTTAAGACCCCCCCAGCCATCGGGATGTCCTGCCTCCGCCCAGCGAGGTGGTGTCCGTTCTGGTGGCGGCCTATGTCATCAACTGGTGCCATGGCGATCCACGGCGTTGCGGAGGGAAACCTATGGGAAAACATAGGAAAACCAATGAAAATCGGGAGAATCTGGACATTTTTCGAACGACCTTATGACAGGACTCAGGGAAACACAGTTTCTGACGGGTGGCAGAAAAGGTAGGTTTCCTGAGCTTGGCAAACCGTAAGGCAGCGGACATTCGAACCAATGATGCCTAAGTTGGATGGTTGAATCTCACAAATATCTAAGTTCGTGAACCAGATGATGCTGCATGTTTGAGTCATAGCATGCCATAGCCACATGATCTCCCTGACTGGGCTTGCTACTCCACCCCTCGGAAGTTTGGGGATCATGGTGACTCAGACACCAGCACAGGTTTCGATCGGATACCCCACGGGTCCAACAAACTCACATCTTTGATAGGTGTTCAACTTGCATTTTGATGATGAACACCTTGCTTTTAACCACTTTTGATCACTTTTGGGAGGGCCATAGTACATGAGTACGGACGCCCAGCATGTCCTGCCTGGACAGTCATTGATGACTCAGGTTGCAAACGAATGCGGACTTCCAGCAAGAGTTAAAAGAGGCAGCTGTCACTTGGAACTTATACGAAGCAAAAAGGTGGATTTTGACCAACAATAATTCTAGTATGGAACCAGAAATTCACCAGGACTTCTGCGGACAAACAAGTGGTTTTTTAGGCAACAAAAATGCGGGTTGGGATACACCCGATGCACCCCATAAAAAAATATGTTTTTTTTCTACGGGGAGATCATTCCCCACATGGTTTATGTCAGGCTGGTGAGATATGATCACCTACCAAGATGGAACAACAAGTCTGGTTGTGTTTCCGACTTTTGGATGATGGTCCCTGCCTTTCTCAGGGATGAAACAGTTGCCATTTCTGGGCTCTCCAAGTTAGTTGTGCATAACGGCAATGTCCAACCAATACTTCAATAGAGACATGGTCTATACTCTATACATGCTGGAATTGATGAGTTCCATAGTTTGATGGGGCATGCCCATCTCGCTTCAAAAACTGTGCGTATTTGTGTTGGCAATCTTTCGGACATGCTTGTGTTTAAATGTTTGTTGGTCAACTTCCAATTTGTCTTTTCAAAATCACATCCCCTTACTGGGTAAACCTCATTTGTTTCTGTTGAAACGATCTATCATAAATCGAGCAACCATCTAGAAATCTATAAATGGGTGATTTTCCATTGCTATGTTTGGTTACTGGAGGGTATTCAGCCCCTCCAAACATCCTTGACAAGCCCTTATTGGTGGTTATTGGTGGTTGATAAAGCCCCTAAGCCATATAGAAAACATAGCAATAAGTAATAACGATCATATTCTCCCAATGTTTTCCATGGCTTTACTAAATCATTAGGGGATTTTACAATGTTTTCAGTAATAAACGGATTTTCCATTCGCAACTCCACTGCGCCAAGGTAACAATCGCCTCGTCCCACCGCATTGGCAAACTGAGCGGAAAGCCCCTGGGGGCCATGGATGATTTCTACAGGGGGAACGGAGAAACGTAGGAATTTTATGGGGAATGTCAAGGGAATCTGGGATATTTTGGGGATACAATGGAATATAGATGGTTTTGATTGGGATATCATGGGGGTATAGTTGGAATAGACGTTGTTTTTCTTTTAAAAAATCGGAAACTTAGCAGAAATGGAGGGGCTTGCCCCTCTAAGACCAACAAGAGTGCGGAATTCATGGTGATTTCATAAGATTTTTAATATTAAATAGATAAATAAACAAATAAATATATATGATATATATACACATAATGTTGGGCGTGTCCCAACATAGCAATTTGATTGGGGAATAGGTATTCATAAGTGACAAACCTTAGGATTTTGTGGCAAACAGCTGACGCTTACTGGATTTTCTGCCTCACATTTCCAAAAAATAGCTCCATGACACAAACCATTGAACATGAACAGCGGAATGCCAAAACAAATCGTTCCTCCGAAAATTTCACCATTGGATTCTTTGCTCATTTTACTGACATCAATTGATCCCATCACCCCAGGGCACTCCGAAAACTCAATCGCTGTCAGGGTCAACAGCAGCTGGCGCATCATTGCGGCTCATGTGGAACAGCCGGATCAAGGAGTCATCCTGCGCTGGAGGACTGGGTTCGCGAATGAAATGAGGGGAGCAGTGACCAAGACCTTGGGTTGATCATTATGTAGGTCATTCTACAGTAAGAGCTATAATTCCCACTTAATGGGGGCTTTTATTATAGGTATGTAGATTATTATAGGTCATAATCATAGGTCATTATAGATTTGTAGATTATGTTTTTTCTTTCTCCCACTTAAGTGGTAATGAATTAATGATTACTTTAGCTGGATTGGAACCCCTCATCAGCACAAAGGTCAACTTGACCAATTGGCTGCCCCAACTCAGCCCACCAGTCCCTGCACCAGGAAACGCACAGGAGTGCAATCCTCTGTCCCTCGTCCGCACAAAGCTCCCCTGCTGTCCCTGTGCGAAAAAAAACCTGGCGGTGGCGACGGGGTTTTCAGTATTGGGGAGATGGATCTGAAAAGATTGCATCGGACATAGGAGGGTTTCAGCATGTTTCAGCCAACTGTGCCATGCTGGGCCTATAAGTCTGCATGGAGGCATCATGACAGCGGTAATGAAGATTCTATACGTAAAAGTTTGGAAGTGGTTGCTTTTGGGGCTCTCTCAGCCCCTTAAAGGATCGATAGCAGTTCATGATCCCTGTACATCTTTACATATTACAATTACGATGTGTTGTTTTTTCCAGTACATCGTGAAGGTCAACAACCCAATATTCTACACTGATATACATGAATAGAAATGATCCCAATGTGTCCCATCATGTCCTGTAATTATTTGATAAAACCAATGGGAATTTCAGGATCCTAAAATGTAGGTACTGTACCATACAAGGACATATTTTGTGGGGATATTCCCTTACATAGGCCTGAAAAATAGGCATTAAACATGGTAGGTACCTCCAATTAGGTTCCTGAAATGGGCATTGATAGATTGTAGGATTCCGATTAATTATCCAACTTAATGTCAGTTTACTGATGGATATTTCATACTATTGGGGTATGCCAAGAATATTCATGGCCTTGGCGTTGATAAAATTATCCCTTCACAAGGCACTTGGGACCCCCATAACCGTAACGCCCCACCGAGGCCTACCTCTGCGTCAAGGCGAAAGCCGATCCGGACCCTGCGCGTGGACTGGATGGGGATGCGCCTTGGTGACACTCTCAGAGTGCCTCTCCTTTTTTTGGGGGGTAAAGGGTAAAGTACCCTCTGGTAATTTAACGTAACTATGGAAAATGACCATTTATAGTGGATTTTCCCATGAAAAATTGTGATTTTCCATAGTTATGTTAGTTTACCAGAGGGTAATACACAACTGGTTGGTGGTTTCAATCATCTTTTATGTTCCCCAATAGTTGGGATGATGATCCAATCTGACTAATAATTTTCAGGGGGGTTAAAACCACCAGACAAGGTGAGGCCCCATAGTTGGCTAAGTTGATTCATTACTAGATCAACTATGGTTTATGGTAGATCTATCGCACTGGTGAATAGGTGTGTAAACCAACTTATCACTGGGGCCGCACCTTGTAGATGTGAAGACACCATGGTTTCGTAGGAACATGATCTTCTTTTTAAGGCGGGTAAACTCCACACCTATGTTTAGTTTACGGGTGGTATTACCAATATGTGTGGTATTTGTTTGCATTGCCTCACGCAACTCACAGTGTGACGCGAGTCAGGTTTCTTTTTTTCTATAGGAGAAACAAAGTGGGGACGAGCACTAATATAGGTCAATAGAGCAGTATGTTTCCCCAGAATGCTGTCATTAAATCTCAAGTACTTTTGCCGGCAGCGTTCCCGAGCTGATGTTTCTCCTATGAAACATGCTGGTGTCCTGCCACCTTGAAACCAAGAGCTGTTGGCCCAGGAGATTTGTATCAACATGGCGGTTCAAGAACGTGTGGATATGAAGGCTGATCCTTGGAGAAACGGAGAGTGGGGGAAGATCTCCGGGCGAACATGAAAAAAGTGGAGATGTAACCGCCAGAAATCAGATGCAGATTCGTCATCATTCAACCAATTGAAACAGTAGACATGGGGATAGCTCACCAAAATCCTACCACGTCATATAGATGCATAGATAATTAATGATAATAATTGTTGTGCTATATATATATATATATATATATATACATTGTACATCACATCATCACGGCGTTGGCTTTCTGAAAAAAACATTCCAAATTTGTAACAGCTGAGGAAAGCAACATCATCATCGAATTCTTCTTCTCCGCATCAGGCATCTGCACTTGGGGCACTTGATCTGTCCGGGGAATCATTGGGGAGGCCACAAAAACCATCCATTCAAAGTAAGATTGCGGAAGGAACTTAGTTATGGAGGACCATGATCATTTTGTTGAAATGAGAGCACTGAACATCAATTTCTAAGGTGTCAGGCGCTGGATTATGGAGCAGGTCACCTGCGTTGTTCAATTACCTCTGCTATCCTCGGGTCACTGCTGGATCCATCAACTTGGCTTTGAATCCAGGTTTGGCATCAGTCGTCAAGGGCCCGACATCAGCACATCCATAGTTGTTGATTTGTTCCTTGTGTTTGTTTTTTGATATGGTGGAGGTATTGTTCATCAATACCGTCAGTAGAGATGCTTGTCGGATAGCTGACGCACGCAATGGTATGAGATAATATGTCTCAAAAGCATGCAAGAGCGGAGAAATCCAATGGGTTTATCACTCTTTTCACCGACAAAATGGCTTGAATAAATTGCATTTGGTTTTATAATTACATGTTCACTAAAAAAGTGTAGTTTGATTTTGTTTTGTATTTACAGGGTTTTCCTCCATGTCATACCTCTGCCTTTGGGTTGTCAGACCTTTCACTTTTCACGCCCACCGCTGGAAGGTAGCAAGGGATATCCACCAGAAGGAGGCGACTTAGCAGCAACCCACATTGGCATATTGAGCAGCAAAAACTGCGCTTGAACTAGTTGAACTTAGACCCTCCCAGTACCCATGGTGATCCATGGTGTAAAGTGTAAAAGTACTAGAACTGGTTGGTGGTTTCAAACATTTTTTAATGTTCCATAATATATGGGATAATTAACTTACCATTGACTTTCAAATTTTTCAAGATGGTTAAAACCACCAACCAGTGAATTATGGTGGTAAATTGCCGCTTCTTCTGGCTACGAGGGTCTATACGTATCTTGAACCAGCCAGGACCATCCAGGTCCACTTCGAACACTGGACGCGTAGTGCTTTTTGTTTGCTCTGAGGATATGAGCCCACCGGCAAGGATCTGACACTTGGAGCAGTTGGGTGACACCTGGGGAGCCCCAGATTTGGTTGGAATGTTAACGTGTTTGAAACTAACAGAGGTGGATGAAATTACATTGGGCTAATCACTTTACCTATTTACCTGAAATTATTCCCAAACAGAATCAGCAACACATTCAGTTTAAGATGTTTTTTGCGTGTGACATCGCGGCTTGGCCATCTTAAAATGATATAATTGTTGGACAATGCTGTTGCACAGATGGTATATGATCGATGGAGGATCATCGCAGACTTTAGCTTGTTGCATCTTGTTGCATCCTTTGCGCATTTGGTTGATGCGTCGACGGAAAATTCCGCGACCTCATTATGTGAATCGTGGGATGCGGGTCGTGATCGGCTTGAAGAAAACAGCCCGGTCGACCCAGGAAGTGTCAGTACAGCTACCGTTTCCAAGTGGAGGGCTACAACAACAATGAGGCGCTCTTGGGGGGAAGGGGACGCTTTCGGGGTGCTTGAAAAGAAAGCATCCCCTTCCGGGGGGCCATTTGACCACATGGCCAGCTGGGAAAAGATTCTGTAGCGAAGTCTATGCAATTCCGGCCTGCAATTGCCTAGTTTAGATGTCTTGATTTATTTGATTTTGCCTCCAAACCCAGCATCACCCTTGAGATCCTGAGCAACAATGAATGTCCAGTAGAAGTGATTGGAAATAATATCGCAGCATTGCTGCTGGTAATTATCTGCTTTCATCCTTGTCTGCTTTGAACACATGTCTCCAAGGTTTTGTTTTTTTTGGAGGGGGGTTGATATGATAAGATTATGATCAATCACCAGCCTTGGTAGCTACCTAAAGTCACCTGAATTTTGGCTGATTACATCGCAAGTCTTGCTGGTCGGGCAGGAATTGGTGGCTGTTTCTGATTGGTCCAACGAGGTGTACATCAAACCCAGGAGGGCTGTGAGAGTTGAAACACCTGGTGGATCCATTTTTTTAACTCGCAAAATGGAAGTTTCAAAGCTACAAAACACAATCCATACAAATATTCGTCCCCAATCTTGCATATGTATATAGTTCAATCCATTTGTTTATAAATGGGGTGCAAAACACTGAAAATGAGCATAATCGACAACATATCAAGTTTTGTGGACTACCAAATGGTTCACCATGTACTAGAGAGATGACTCAGGCCCATGAAATGACGATGAGTGAAATTTTCGAATGGAACATCTCTGAAGCCAAAAACTGTTCAATGTGACATCAATTGACCAACCCAACTCTTTGACAACCAGATATTCGGAATTATTTGGACGCCTTAGACCACTTTCACCATCAAGAGCAGTCAGTTGACATTGGGAAAGCTGTCAACTTGATGGCGGTAGACCCGATGAATCAGCCAGGGTTTATGACCATCGGGTTGATCTCAAGTATTTTTCGATTGATTGATTATCTTTGACCTCAAGTTAAGATAGGAAAATCATGTAATGTAACATAGCTTAACTATCAGTTCCTATATATAATATTATATAATTACTGTCTTAACTTGGATATATTGACTTCAATGTATCATTTCTTATGAATTTGACTTGTTCGTGATCATATTTCAATTATGTGAACTATGTGAGACCCCCCAGGCATAGGCGGCCGAGCCACAACGCTTACAGCCAGCAGGAGCAGCGTTTTCGATGTGCCCAGTCGCATTCTGCAAGTGAACTGCGCTGTGCCCACCGACAGCCTGGAGCTACTTGGAATGGCACTAGTTGGGGGCGACTTATAGCGAAGTGACTTAGTTCGTGACTTATACAGTGACCTGTGGTGACTTCTATAGTGACTTCCACAATGACTTATAGTGACTATAGGGTGTCTACTTTGCAAGGGAATTTTTCAGAAAGTTTGGGGCCGCGGAAATGTGTTTTTTCATACGACAATTATCATGGGACAGCTGGGATCCTTGCTAAAAAGGGACGATCAATTGGGAGAAAGATGAGGGCATGAAGCCCGTCAAGACTATGAACATATAATTATTGTACTAAAATGCTGCAGAATGGCATTTTATACCGAGGCGGGTATGGACCCATGTGTGGATATGGGCCAAACACGTACCACAACATTGGTCATTTTCTGTATGAAACCATCCATTTTGTGGGTGTCAATAATGTTGGTTCAACTCCTCCGATTTCCCCATCCGGTGCCAATCGCAGCCAGCTTCGCTTCGCCCCAGAGGTTCTTCGTGGAGCATTTCGCGCAGTTCAACATCGAAGGGAAACATCCGCAACACCTGGTGATTCTGAGTCCCTAGGAGAAGAGATAAACATACTGGACATGGGGACTGGCCCAGGAGAAATTGAGGAAACCTTTTGGCAAGCCCAGCAAAACATGCAAAACTTATAAAACGGCCACATGAATCCAAACGATGGTTTCATATGGTTTCAACGATTTCACCGCATCAGTGTCCCAATCCACGGATGGATGTTCTTTGTGACAGCTGGGTATGCTTGGCCTTGCCATATCGCCAACCAAGACAACCAACAAACAAGGGAGGCAGGCCAGAGCATTCCAGACATGTTGATAGCCATTGGGGCAACGCATGTCCAAATTCCTGCTTTGTGAAAAGGTGCCATAGGGTTAAATCAGTTTAAGGTCTACCCGAACCTCAATATCTTGGTATTTATATATTTGCGGTGAATGAAGGATGGTTTGACAACATGGGCCAGCCCTTTTTGCATGGTAGCCGTATAATTAGTCAAGTGGTGTGAATAGATTGCTTGATGCCGCCCCACCCATGTGATACCCACCTGACATTCTAGCGGAAACTTTTAATTTAAAAACAAGGCTACGGCGCGGTTAGCGACCCGGGGTAATTCATTGATTTTTCATGATGCTTGGTTCACCAAATCATGGTATTTGCAATGTTTTGTAAAAACGTGATAAACATGTCAAATCGTAGTTACTTTGCGGCCTACTACAAAAAGTGCGTTTCGTGTGAAACGTTCATCGATTTTCAATACCCCTGAAACGAATTATTGTTTTTTTTCGTTTTGTTGGAGAAAATTAGTTACATCTGACCACCAGTCATTGAGCAACACTTCTTTTTCAACTTACCTTGCAAGGTCTTCAGCGTCGACTTTTTTTGGCCAGCTTTCCCAGTTCCTTCCACATGAACGTTAACACCCCCACCCCACCCCAACCCAGTGACGTGACGTCAGTTGTGCATGTGACGCAAGTTAACATGAACGTTAACATCCCCACCCCACCCCAACCCAGTGACGTGACGTCAGTTGTGCATGTGACGCAAGTTAACATGAACGTTAACATCCCCACCCCACCCCAACCCAGTGACGTGACGTCAGTTGTGCATGTGACGCAAGTTAACATGAACGTTAACATCCCCACCCCACCCCAACCCAGTGACGTGACGTCAGTTGTGCATGTGACGCAAGTTAACATGAACGTTAACATCCCCACCCCACCCCAACCCAGTGACGTGACGTCAGTTGTGCATGTGACGCAAGTTAACATGAACGTTAACATCCCCACCCCACCCCAACCCAGTGACGTGACGTCAGTTGTGCATGTGACGCAAGTTAACATGAACGTTAACATCCCCACCCCACCCCAACCCAGTGACGTGACGTCAGTTGTGCATGTGACGCAAGTTAACATGAACGTTAACATCCCCACCCCAACCCAACCCAGTGACGTGACGTCAGTGTGCATGTGACGCAAGTTAACATGAACGTTAACATCCCCACCCCACCCCAACCAGTGACATGTGACTGACAAGTTGAACATGTGACGTAACGTTAACATCGCCCGTTAACATCCCCACCCCCCCCAACCCAGTGACGTGACGTAGTTGTGCATGTGACGCAAGTTAACATGAACGTTAACATCCCCACCCCACCCCAACCCAGTGACGTGACGTCAGTTGTGCATGTGACGCAAGTTAACATGAACGTTAACATCCCCACCCCCCCCAACCCAGTGACGTAACGTCAGATGTGCATGTGACGCAAGTTAACATGAACGTTAACATCCCCACCCCCCCCAACCCAGTGACGTGACGTCAGTTGTGCATGTGACGCAAGTTAACATGAACGTTAACATCCCCACCCCACCCCAAATCCAGTGACGTGACGTCAGTTGTGCATGTGACGCAAGTTAACATGAACGTTAACATCCCCACCCCACCCCAACCCAGTGACGTGACGTCAGTTGTGCATGTGACGCAAGTTAACATGAACGTTAACATCCCCACCCCACCCCAACCCAGTGACGTGACGTCAGTTGTGCATGTGACGCAAGTTAACATGAACGTTAACATCCCCACCCCACCCCAACCCAGTGACGTGACGTCAGTTGTGCATGTGACGCAAGTTAACATGAACGTTAACATCCCCACCCCACCCCAACCCAGTGACGTGACATCAGTTCTGCATGTGACGCAAGTTAACATGAACGTTAACATCCCCACCCCACCCCAACCCAGTGACGTGACGTCAGTTGTGCATGCATCAATTTCAAGAGCAACTTGCCTCCAATCAGCAAAAATGGCAAAAACGCAGGGGTCGTTAATGGCGCCGTAGGCAAAAACAAGGACACCATTTTCAGCATCAATTCAGTATGAATTGATGTGATATGTTGCTATACTGCCAGCCGGCCCCAGATTTTCAAAGCCTGGTTGATTCATTGGTTTTTTTTCCCAGGATTGTTCCTCCCACATCGTGACCATTTGCTACCAAGCTAAAGGGGCCCCATTAGAGCCGCGGCGTAGCAACGAGGTGACATCAAGGTATGCTACCACAAGAACTGGAGAGACTTCAGAGTTCCTTGGCATTTGTGTGAGTTGAGCAATGTTCAAAACATCCGTTAATTGAACATTAAATGCGCATTTAACAAGTTTTTTTTTCATGATCGATGCTAACCAGTATATATGGGGATATGCAAATATATATTATATATATATGTACATATTGACAAGAAACAAAAAAACTATGATTTATTGATGGTGAAACTGGGTTTTACTATGTTATACTAAATACAATACATTTGGGACTGTCACCATCCATTCTGGGAAATCCTATATTGACCAACTAGTAACTAGTATAAAGTGACGAGCATTCTGGGTCTTGAAGGCGCTTGAAACAACGAATCAGATCTACAGGCACATGACAAAGTCGTTTGTTTTTTTTCCAAATTGAGGATTTTAGTTGCGGGGGAGCAAATCTGGAAAGTCGTCTCGTTTCTTCTTTCCGCAAGCTTAATGCAAGATTTTGCAGCATCTATGTTTTTGGATTGAAATTATGACAAATGCAGCGTTGCAATTTTCGGAACTGAGGATCTCACAGATTTGCCTAGCTGTTTTATATAATTGTATTTACTGTAAATGTTGCGTTTAGTTTGGGATAGATATTTTATGTGAGCCTTTTGTCAAAGAAGTTTGTACTTGAATCGTTGGCCATCGCGTGGGATGACTTTGATCACTGAATCAGCAGGGATCTCCCAGGAGAATCTGCCAAGATCTTCCAAGTGGAGGTTTCCTAAGTCATGGGGGTACCTCCAAATCATCCATTTTTTGGTGGGATTTTCCATGAAATAAACCATCCAGCGAGCTTGGGGTACCCCCATTCTCGGACACCCCCAAGTCATGGATGGAAGCCATGCAACTGTCAGCAAGTGTGGCTCTTCCTCTGAGAGCTCTGAGTCTGACCGTTGCCCCATCTCTTCGGGGTTTGAACCGGTCGTGGGTCCAACATATCCACCTTCAGCCATGGACACAAGTTTGTTTTCCATACCTCACTAATACATGATCCCCAAATGGAAACAACATTGGGGGCATTTTTCTTAAATTCATCCCAAGAATTTGCGGCAGAAACCATAACTATTGCGGATGGTTTGTGGCATTGTGGGCCCTTGATCATCTATCCCCATTAATCATGTATATATTTCTGTATGCAGACATATATGCCCCCATTGTGTCCCCATCATGCCCACATCATATCACCATTACAAACCCATCACCTCCCCCATGGTTTATCACAGTCATACCACCTTTGTATCCCCTTTGTACCCCTCTTCTATCGCCTAATATCTTCTCGTAAACTAACGTAGCTTTGGAACATCACCTTTTTTTTAGTTGGCCAGGTTCAATAGTTACCCTCTGGTAAACTAACATAGCTATGGGAAAATCACCATTATTCATGGGTCAAAATCACTATAAATGGCAATTTTCAATAGCTATGCTATCTTAAATTGCCAGAGAGTATCCGACATCTCCATCGTCTGCGTGGGATTTTCCCAACATTTATTCATTTATTTGGGATTTCCCATCATCTACCTGGGATTTTCCCAAGGGGCTGAGCTTCCCCAAGGATTTTTCCTCCGATTTCCTCTTAACCGCTTGGATGGGCGAGACCAGTGCACGCTGCGAACGAGAGACCAGGCGAGTTGGAGGGTTCTGCCCTGAACGTTGGAGGTGCTGTGGAAAATCACTATTCTATAGAGGTTTTTTTTTGGTGATGGCTTCCATAGCTATAGTTGATGTGGGTAAATCAGCTATATGAATGGTGATTCACCAACTATATATCTAAATGGTCATGGCTATCCATGGCTTCAATAGCTATGTGAAATTACCAGAGGCTAAGTGTGGTTAGGTGACCTTAAAATGAATGAGTCCGGAGACCTGTTCCTCGATAGGCTGAAGCGAACCACCAGTAATTCTGTAGCGAATTTGGGCCCTAGTCAGTTCATTATTGCTTTTGGAAATGCCAGGTACCCTCTGGTTATTTGTTACATAGCCATGGTATAGATGGCCCATAGAAATAGATGGTTTATCTATTAATAGCATCGTGGATCTTTCCACGGCGAACTGTGAGTCAGAACCAGATGGTATGTGCATCAATCCATTACAGTCATCTTTTTGGCGTAACCTGTAACTCCCCATCCCTGCATCTTGGGCTTTGTTATAAGGTGTTGTCCCCTAGTTATAAAAACGGTTTTCCAAAACCATCAAAGTAAAGTTATACTCACACTTAATCACACAAAAACCACCATATAGTATAACTTTACTTGGTTATAACCAATTAGCCTACTTTTCCCTGTGTTAAAAACCACAATGACCGGTAAGCACATGCAATCCCCATAGGGCTGGCACCTGCCGTTCCTTCGACAAGACCGGCATCTTTCGACCTCCAGATGATGTGGTGCCTGGGGTCAGCAGGGATGGATGACTTTGCTACAAATGATCATAGCCTATCAATAAATGTAGAATAATGTTAATGATATATATTATATATATGATATATATATACAGTTATATATATATATACATATATATATATGATATATGTGATTATATATATATATACGTCTGTGTGTGATTCATTGATTCTGTAATACAACGTGTATCTGTAATTCATGGTTCTTTGAAGCACATGTTTGTTGATGTATGGTGAATTTCGCCGCTGAACATGTGGGTACCTTGGTGGAGGTAGTTGAACCCAATGGAGATTCTATCGTCAAACATTTGAGATCATCAATTAAATATATGGAAATTCTCACAAAAAGAGGGAAACTTGTGATGTGTTTCATCCTTTATCGGGGACCTAGTGTGTAATTCTCTTGTCTGTTCTAGGTAGTTGATTGAGATTGGAAATGCAACGAGCAACCTATACTGTACTAAAGATGAGAAAATGTATCGAAGAGCCATTTGTTGCCAAATGTACTCGAACAATGTCTCGAATGCATGTGCGTGTTGACCTTGCAATCGCTAAGGAAGATACCCAAAGAGTAGAGTGCCAATGAATAATCATGGAGAGAACAAACATCAGTGGGATGTACCCTCTGGTAATTTAACATAGCTATTGAAAATGGCAATTTATACTTTTTTCCCATAAAAAATAGTGAATTCCATTGTTATGTAAACGTTTACCAGAGGTTAGAGGGTTGATTGTCGCCAAGATGCAGACAGCAACGGAATATTGAAGGAACCTGACGGGTTCTGCATTTGCGTTTGGGAAAAGCCAGCTGGGCCAGTCTTGGTTTGGTCTTAGGGTCCATTTTTTGAAGCCATAGACCGAGGAATAAGATGAAAAACATGGAAGAAGATGATGTAGGTGATTATGATGATGATGATGATGATGATGACGACGACTATTATTACAATTATGTTTATGATGTAAAAACACGTTATCAAAGGAATTACCTAAGGATATGAATGAAAGTCGCAGATCTCACCCAGCTTTTCCACTCGCCAAGGTGCAAGGAGATGTGGATGATGAAGAAGACAAGCGAACCCAGGCCTGATGTGATGGTACAGGGGCTATCAATAAAATGGTTTGTCTGTCCAGTGGTTTTCCACAGCAATGTCGGCTTTCCGGAGACGAGTTTGATATTTTATGCAATTTTGGATTTCCGAGTTTTTGATCACCCTCAAAATAAAGATGTGCAGCAGGGAAAGCAGCAAATCGCATAAGGGGAAGGGGATCTGCTTTGCATTTTTCAAGCTTTGACAATAGAAACTCCTGTCAATCTCCGAGTCCTGTCAGTCAGCCAAGGTTTCCTCCATGGCGTCTAAGGTTCCTATAGGGTTTCCATATAGTTTCCACGGTTTCCACACGGTTTCTGAGGTTTTCACACGGTTTTCATGGTTTCTAAGGTTTCGAAGCCTTTCATGTTTTCTATGGTGTCTAAGGTTTCCAAAGATTCAAAGTCTTCTATGGTCTCTAAGGTTTCTATGCAGCTGTCTCTTTCTTCGCAATGCAGATGGACGAAATCGCACTTGTGTTTGTGTTCCAAGTTGATTCCCTTTTCATGTTTCAAATTGAGCCCTCTGCCCCCATCAAGTACCTTCTCACGTCTGTTGGGTGTATCTCAATGGGTGTCCTCATTTTTTCTCCAATGGTGTTTCCTTGATTTGAACAATTTTGGTTGCTCATACCAGCCAGGTATCCGCGCTTGGTGGTTTGTTTCTAGGCGCTCCAGTGCTCCAACTAAGGCTTAATGGCCACAACTTGGGGCCAGAATCCAACATCAGCTGGTTTATTTATAACCAGTTCATCGGGTGCTGTTGTTCACTTGATTTTTGCTCACCAGATGGTCACAATGAAAGTCACCATATTTTCCATGTCATGCATGGACCATTTATCATTTACAATATGTTACAATCATTTATCCCAGAAGTGACCCAAGCGGGTTTATATATATATATATTTATAGGATACATGGAACTTACGGTATAGCCAGAACATGGCTAAACATCCGAGAGCTTCAGCCCCGCCGAAAGGAGCTGAATGAGGTGGTGCCTGGAAGGCCCACGCTATGTGTCGGCGGTGCTGACCGAAAGTGCCTTGGTGGCAGATGGGGATTTGGGGATGGATCTGTTTCGCAGGGGCCCAGGGAGTATTTCCAGGTTTCTAAATTTAAAAACAATATTTTCCAGGGGCCCAGGTTTTTCAAGCCAAGGGTTTTTAAGGTTTCCCACTGTGTCTTTTGGGGTTGCTGTATGCCGTATTTTGGAGGGATGACTTCGCATTTACCATTTATGGTCCTGTTCACCAGGGCAAAGGGCACCAGGATTGCGACACGTGTCTCAGAAGGTCTCGGGGATAAGGGTTCAGTCCCCAAAAACACAGGTTTAAACCATACTGATCCATACTGTAGAATTGGGGATTGAACAAGCAGACGATTACTGTAGATTTCAGGATGGAACACTTCAAAAGAAAACAGATCCAGTACTTAACAGGGGTTTCTGGTGGGGTATCTTTTTGAAAGGGAAAGGCGTGCTATGTTGAATGTTTAAACCTTGGTCTTCTCTCCAACAACGCAGCCACCTCCAAGCTAAGAAACTGGGCGAAGACAGCGTAGGCGAATGCCATGTAATTTGAATGCAAGCATCACTCAATCAAATGAACTCATGTAATGGTGGCACAAAATTAAGCGGATCATTTTTTGCAGCAAATTTGGAGGCACATCCCATCAAGAAAGCGAAGGTATGATCCGGAAGCCATGAATAATATGGGTGACTCGATTAGATGGTAGTGAAATTCCATGATTATTTAGTTGTTTCTGTTGGGAGGGTACCTATGATTAGCCATGACCCTCCACCGCACCGTGATCAAAGGATATCAACGATATCAAAGGTATGTCCGTTAAAACCGTGAAAGTAACCCCCAACCGGACATTTTTTATCATTTCGTTCGAAAGGGCACAACGAACAGGCTGAACCAGTACAAAATGATGATACATCGTTATTCCGGGTTTGTGTTGTTAATTGAAGATTCAATTTTCACACTCCATCAGTGTAGAGGCTGCAATTTTTAGAGGTTTCTTTAACGCTGATGAGAGATAAGAAAGAAGGCTGCAACATTGGAATAATGGCAGCATATGTGTGGGTATCAAACTAGCCATCGAAGAGATTCATCGCATTGATGGTTTGCAACATAGTACACAATGATAACAAATGTACAGCATATTCATGTATATTCATGTATATTCCCTCTAGCTATCAGACATGGCAATTGAACAATCCGCATTTAGTTTGATGATTTTCCCATTTATAAACCCCCATGTTTTAGGATTTTCCAATTGCTACGTTTGATTTCGGGAGGGTACATGTCGAAATATGTCCACTTCCTGCATAGTAAACTGACATTTTTCGAAATGGTCAGACACGGCGCCTGTACTCGTGGAAATTCAAAGGTGCCCCCCCAAAGGCCCGCCCCAACGCCATCCAACGCCCATCCGGAAGGATCGGTGGTGGTTAAAAACCTCCAACACATCCCCGAAACATCAGGAAAAACCACATTTAAGGTGGGTTAAGAAGTTAAGAAAGATGAATTTATGAGTTCATTCATTTTATTAATGATATTAATTGAGGGTTGATGGACTTTTGGACACCGGATGTTTCCCCAGGCTTTGCGACCTCTTCGTCACCTTGCGAAAGTCTTCGGGAGAAGACGTGGCCGAAGGCACCAATCAAAATGGAGATCGATGGCGATCGATGGCTTCATTGGGCATTGACCTCACTGTGACCGAACCCCTTATATAAGAATGGTGTAATATGGTGTGTATATTATAGTTATATCCTGAAGGGCCATTTGATATCTAAATTTGCGTTCAATGGGGGTTTGATATCTAGGAGATATATATATGTATATAAATATGGGTATATAACTATGCAAGGCGCTAGGTGCGAAAGACCCGGCATTGAATGGCCTCCAAGACGGCAATGCAAACAGTCTGCAGGGGTGCCACTTGGGTCTGGTCAGGGTAGGGTGGCAGCCCCTAAAAGCTGAAAAGCTCAATTTTTCAGGTTAATGTGGGGAAAACCATCATAAACCATCCCCCAGTCATCACCAGATTTATAGGTGGTATGTTTACCATTCCCAGTCATGAGTGGTAAAAATGACATTGTTTTACCCACATTAGTGAAATACTAGGCAGATGGGTCAACAAAACTTGATCCATGTCCAGAAGTTTTAGATACCATCCATTACCACCCCCAGTTTTTGATGATAAAATGGGATATGATTTTACTCCCCTAGTGGTGTGGGTTGAAATGTTCTCCGATGCTCATCGCTGGAGTGGTTCCATAGCTGCTTTACTATCCCACATTTTTTTTTACAACCAATCAATGGGAGATCTCCAGGATCCTAAATTGGAGGTATGTTAGTACCTTTTTTTGGGCCATATTTTGTGGGGATATTCCCTTACATAGGCCTGAAAAATAGGCCTTATATATGGTAGGTACCTGCAATCTAGGATCCTGAAATTCCCACTGAACCAAGCTATCAGCAGCTATCATCTTCTGTGAGTGTTGGCCGGTTGTATCCCCAACAATCCGCACCATCTATGTACGATGTACAGTATGTTGATCAAGTGGAGCTGCAGGTAGATGTGGAAGCACCTGCAAGCACCATGGATGATATCCCGTCTTCATCAGCTTTCCCATTGAGATACTCCAAGCTCTACGCCTCCATCGAGTTTTTTCCCAGTTTCTCCCATGATTTTCTATGTTTATATAGGGATTCACTATGTTTCTATGGGGATTCACCAGGTTTCTATGGGGATTCACCAGCAATTGGCCAATGCGTTCCTGGGCTTCGCACCACACCACACTCCACCAGGAAAACTGGAATGGGATGATCTCATTGAAGCTTTCGACAAATACGAGCAGTCCAATGATATCTCTGAGGACGCGACAGTTTGCCAAATGCCTTTCTCAACTCGTTGGCAGAGTACTTTAAAATTTGAAATATCAAGTTATTAAGAACATGAAGCAACTCCCAGACCCTTCAACTACCCCAAAAAACATGGCAAAAGTACCAGCAAACGACGGACTAAAACAGCACGTTTAAGTGTTTTTCAACGGAGGGCCTAGGTATGTTTCGCAGGACCAATCCATCTTTGTGGAACTGGCCACGGACAAGGCATGACCTGGCTGATGGGGGGTTTATGGTGACTTTAACTTACTTGGATTTTAATGGAATCATATGGGGTTCTATTGGTATTTATGGGCTTGGTGATTAGCGACAATATGGTACTATCTGGTACTAAACTTAGGGTTTTAACCAAGAGACATTGGGATTTTATATGACGTTATATATAATATTATATATATATATTGACCAATAAATGAGGGGCAAACCTTGGGTGCCAGTTATATGTTTGCATACTTTGAGTAGGTTTGCTTAAGGTGACTTGTTATTTCCCCACTGGGAAATTCACCATTTAGGAAATCTGTTTGGAACCTGTTATGTATTCTTTTAATGTTGTGTTTTGGGTGCGGCCTCTTAAGCAAATCCAAGTTTAGTCTACTAAAAACCGGGTCTTATACCAACAAATCGTGGGCGATTCCATGATACCCATAATTCATGAACAAAGCATGGGTCATCACCAGCCTTTTCGTGGTGTAAGCCACGGGGGGACAACCCGAGGGGGACGACAAGAAACAGAGTATAGCTCCATGCCGCGGCCGCGGAACCCGGCGGAGACGCACCCACGGGGCAAACCCTACAGAGGGTCATTTTGCTGATGATTGTTGGATCTTTCTGCAGATTGCCCTGAAATGCATGGAACATCACCGGAGGTTCTGCCAGTTTCCCAAAACAGGTCCTGGGTCAGCGTTTTTGCTCTGTTGCATGTTTGTCCACCCAGCTGGCATGAAACTTTTGCACATAATGTGGTAAATCGGAGCAAAACATGCAATAGATGCACCAACCACCCTTCAACAAGGCAATTTTTGGTAAATTGGTTGTGGTGTATCAAGCCGGGCTTACCATTCGTTTATATAATTGTCTCCCCAGACCGAGTCTAGACACAAATTGCAGGTGGAGGGTGAGTTCGACGAAGAATGGCTGGTGTGGGTGGAGGCACGTGTCACCTTCAAGAACGAGCACCTTGGTTTTCGTGGGCCGTCTCAGGTGGACAGAGCATATCGCGGTTGTCACCATATGCAAGCCATTTCAAAACAATTTTTGGAAGATGTAACCAGAGTAAGTTTTGAAGGATGAGAGTTTTTCATGTGACTTTTAGTATTCCTTTCAGTATTCGGCACCATTTTTGGCTTGTTTCATGATGTTTCATGTAAGCCTTGAAGGATGTAGCCCAAATGAAGATGGGTACGTTGCTACTGACCGAAAAGGATGCTGAATCTGTGCCAGGATCTCACACGGCTAGATTGGGGTGTGATTTTTGTTGGGGTTCTTTGCGACCCGCCCGAGACCTAACCAGGGGATTGAGTGAAAACTATGTCGTACAGATGAATATTCAAACATGGACATAGTCCATTCAACCAAACGCCTTCCAAAGTTAGGGGCTGCACTTGGGCTTGACCATATCACAACAAGTCTAATGATCCAATGTTAACCGAGGATTCATACCACCCAGTTTATTGATAGGGAAGGGCACCAATTTGAATCACAATTTATGACTATTTTGGAGTCCTTTGGAGGTAACTTCCCCAAATATGAGTCGGGGTCTATTAATCCAGGGTTGTTACCATATTTAATTTATTGTATTCTATTTATATCCACGAATAATATCCCCATGATCTCCCTAAAATTGGGGATCACCTTTATTTTTTTACCTTTTTTTTTGGAGGTTACCAGGGCTTGGACTGCCCTGCCCTGCGTCCTTTCACTTCGACGTGTCCCAAGGTTGGACCCCAAATGTGTGGAGATGCCCTATCACAAGCGCCACTTGGAGGATGAAAAATGGGAGCGGCCATGGAAAACCAACATGGTGAGTGAACCAACAAATGGAGAATCAAAGCGATGGATAATGGGGACGATCCTCTACTGTTTGGATTGGAGGCATAATATTTTTCAGAGGGGTTGAAAATGGTTGAAACCACCAAGCAGTTTGGATTTATAACAGCAAATCAAACCACCAACCAGATGACTATCGACTATCTATTTCTGGAGGTAAATCTTCACCATCTATCTTTGGGTCACCAAAATGAGGAGGGGCTTGTGAAATCCCCACTTTCCAAAGGCTAGTCCTGAGGCTCCCAGCAAGATTGTGTTTGTGGATATTATTCCAAGGTTGAACTGCCGGTCAAAGGGAAAGCACGGGGCATAGTTATTAGTAGATGTCTGTAGTAGGCTTTTACCATCTGGTAAGCATACAAAAAACTATGGAAAATCACCATGTTTAATGGGTAAATCAACGAACTAAATGGACCATGTTCAATAGCAAACCGTTTGTTGATTACCATTAATTACCAGAGGTAACAATGGCTATTTCAATACTATTAATGGTAATAGCTATTAATTATGGTTATGGTTAAATTAATAAGTAAATCATCTATAAATCACCATGTTCAATAAGTAAATCATCCATAAATCAGTCATAAATCACCATTTCCAAGTTCGCAAACCGGTAAATCATCCATAAATCAGTCATAAATCACCATTTCCAATAAATTCCCATCAAAACCACCATTCAACCACCATTCAACCACCATCAAAATCACCATAAAATCACCAGAGGCTAACTACCTGTCTTTTCTGGCACCGCTCAGCTCCAGGCATCTTCCAGTTGGACCCCCCGGGGCAGATCTTCTACGAGGGCATGGAACGCTTCATGGCCTGGGACGCGTCCAGCTTCTTGGCCGGAAAAGCCATGGGAAAACCATGGGAAAACCATGGGAAATCATAGGAAAACCATGGGAAAAACCATGGGAAAAGGGTGGAAACGGATAATTTTAGAGGATGTTTAGATGATAAAACCCTGAAATATTGGGAAAACTGGGATTTGAGAGGATTTTTAGTGGGGCATGGGGGAATGATCCAACCCATAACTATGTTCATACTCATCCTATTCCCTCATTCCCTACATTTGGCACCAGTTGAGGATTGATAATTTTGAGATGATAAAACTATGATAAAACATGATGAAACTATGGGAAAGCTTGCAATTAGGGCTGCTTTTTGGTTGTTTAGATGAGCCATTATATATATATATATTTTTTAATATCTAAGGCAACGCTTAGAATGAACGGCACGTGTGGCTCCTTCCATTGGTTGCTGGCAGATCCGAAAGGGACCATCAAAATTGGCCCTGGTGCTGTCATTGGAGGTTCATATGTTGCAGAGTTGTGTATACCTAGGCCATATGTTGACCCTTCAAAAATAAAAGACCCCAACAAATGGTAAACATACAAAAATACGGGGGATAAAACCACCTTTTTATGGGTACTTGGGGGGTCGTAGTTTAAAATCCAGGACCGCCCCAGGCCCTGGATGATCATATGCCACCTGGGTTTCGCCATCACAGGTCCAGGCCTTTCCCAGTGAGGGGTAAGCGGCAGATTCAAACATAGCAACCTCCAAAGGGATAGAAAAAGGAACACTTTTTTCACTTTTGGACTTAGATTTGACAAACTTATATCTTAACTTGGGGGTTACTATATCCATATTTTGTTTTTATAGTCTCCGTATAATTTGGGATTTGTGCCCATGGCCATTGGCTGTTGGATCCAAGATTATTGCTGTTATATATATATATATTATATATATATACAACAGTTTTGTTATTATGTGTTGTTGGGGGGTCAATCCCGAAATTCCCAACAAGTTAGCAAACCTTTCCCTAAAAATAGTATATCCCTAATGGCTTACGATTGGGTTTGCCACATCGGTTTACTCTAACATTCATCAGATTTCTTTGGCGTCTCTGTGCCGACCCCCGAGGTTTAGCCCAATCCCAGCATGGTGATGAGGCTGGATTGCTGGTTGTGCTGGTTAGAAGCCGTACTGTGTGAATCTGTGTGAAAACCATTTAGTTAATGTGCTAGAAAATATCATGGGAACAAAATATGTTGTATAAAATGTGAATATCATGGGGATTAAGTGGTGATATAAATCGTGAATCATGTCGGAAACCGTCATAAGCCATCCCAGATATCTCAGCGTTTACCACATGAATCCTGCGGGTTGGTCGCCACTTAAATAATCCCGTTTTTTGTAACTAGTTATGTAGAGTTATGTTAGTTATGTTGAGTTAACACCTAGTTAGCTAACTCTTGCTAACTCTTGCTAACTCTTTTTTTGGTATTGCTAATTTGCAAAAAAAAAAGGAATCCTGGAATCCTGGCACAAAAAAAAAATCAATCCTGGACCACAAAAAAATCAGAATCCCCTGTATGTTTTTTTTTTGCAAAGTAGGAGGTTCAATGCAAAAAATGTCAATTTATTGGGAAAAACATGGTAGCCATAATGCCTTAATTGTTGGTGCAGGCTTTCATATCTTCAGCTGTGTGGAAAAAGGACAAGAACTGCACAATGCAATGCCCTTCAAAGGCTAGGAAGAAACAATGGAAAGCAACACAGTGATATGTAATGCCTTGGGCTGGTGAAATGCCACAGAGGCTGTTGTGATTGTAAAGCCATATATGTAGGCAATGTAATGCCAAAGGCTATCAAAAGAAAAGCAGACATGCATGCAACAATGGCTGTAAGCACCTGTTGTTTTTTTCCAGCCAGCTAGAATTGCTGTAAATCTGATAAGGCAAAAGCACTTTGGCTTCTTCTTGGCTTTTGTTGCAAATGAGGGGCACCAAGATGTCTGCAGTGGGCACAAATCCCAAGTTCTGGTCAAGCACAGTGCATGTGGCAAATTTCTGGTGTGGCACCCATTCCTTGACCTGCCAGGCTTTGACCAAGGTGGTCAAAGCTCCATGTAGAAGAAAATGTAACTGGATTTCTGCAACTCTCAAGTTACCAGCTGTTTGGTAAACCACCACATCATCCTTGTGGCACTCAACATGGTTGATTCTGGCACATTGGCTGCTCATGGCTTCTTTCAATTCTTCACCAATCAAGCTGGACAAAGTTTGCAAAGTTTTTTTGGGAGCTTTCGCTGGGCGAACCAAATGGACACCATCTTGGAAAAGATTTTCTGTGTCCAAATGGCAGATCTCTTGGGCAAGGGCTTGCTCCAGCAAGTTGGCCTCAAAAATTTTCTGGTTCAGGAGGGCTTGGGCCAGAGCCCCTATTGGTTTATGTTTTCTTTCATTGGCAAAGCAGGAAGGAAGAAATCCAAATCTCTGGAGGGTGTCTGGCATGTGGAATTGCCAGTGCCACTTCTTTATCAAAGATATTTCAGGAAAGGCTTGGTGAAAAGTTTGGATGGCCTGTTCTACTGCTGGTAACAAAGTGGTTCTGGTGATGGGGCCAGCTTGGTTTCCATCATGGACTTGGTCAATGAAAGCTGCCATTGCAAGAAAAGCTTGGCAAGCTTCAGGTTTATGACCTTTGGGCATTGCTACACTGTGGATGAAATGCCTGATGATTGGGAACATGGCCAAACACTCAGAAGCCTGGCAAGATTTTTTCCATTTTGCTTATGGCTGGTCATTTTTTTCTTGGAAAAGTAGCTGCCAATGTGTTGGCTCTTCCAACTCTTGGGAAAAACCCAATGGGCAAAATAGCCTTCTAGAAATTGGTAAATGTGGAGGATCTCCTCCATGGCAGAAATGAAGTGAAAGAGGACGATTGGTCCAGTTCCCTGGAGGACTCCATGCATATAATAATGGGTGAACTGGGTGCAAGGCTGTAGCAAGTCCATGGCCTTCAAAGCTGGATCTAACATAAGTGCCATGCTGCTGTGGTTCCAACCAGTGGCTTGTTGCCACATATCAAAATCATTCTTGGTGGACAAAATGGCCTAGCTTTCCAAATGGTCTAGCTCCTGGACAAAATCTGCAGCTTTCCAAAGTTGAGTCATCCCTGGCTCTCAGAAGCACTGGTAAACTTGGGCTGCTGGCTGGTGCTTGAACTGTAAGAAAAAAGCATACAGTGAATAGGGTGGCCTCTGGAAACAGTGTGCCTGTGACCCACGAAGAAATTGTGCTGAATTCTGACACTGGTTATAGGTGCAATGTATTCTTGGAGAATTTAATGCCATAAGGTTGGCACATGCAACTCGGGAATGCTTGAAACAAACCAAAGAGGGAACCAATCTTATATGTGGGGCATGTGCTGGCATGCTATATGGGAAAGAAGCAATGCTGATGGTATCCTGGACTGGTCTGCAGCTATGCAAAGAAGCAACAATGGCAAGCAACTGGATGACATTAACCTAGGAAATGCCATGAGTGGCTGATTGTGAAATGCCATCAATGGCAGAGTAGCATCAAACTTGGTCACTTGCTTGAATTGTAACATGGCCAGGGTTGGAAATGCCATTGAGGGCTCACAGCATGTAATGCCATGGAAGGCTTCAGCTGGCAGACACAGAGGCTGGCAAGCACATTCTTTTTTGGGTGCATGCTTGGAAGTGGTCTCTACTGGTTCCTTGCCCAGTCTGGCTGCCTTGGGTCGTACCCTTGGTTCTCCATGGCCTCCTGGTGGTTGGCTATGTCAGCCTTCAGGGTGGAATCCAAGGTCCACCAGTCATGGAGCTGCTGGAGCTTCCACCATTTGCGCTGGTGGTAGTTTTGGATCCATTGCTGGGCTTTAGTGGCCCACTTCCCTGGGGCATCACTCCTGGAAGCCATGTGGTTCTCCAGCTGGTCCCACAAGGTGGGAATCTTGGCTTCCAGGGCATCCCAATCATGGTTCTCATACATGGCCAGCATCCACACCATCTTGGCCCTCCAACCTGTTTGGTAATTGCTCTTTGCTGGCCTGGCTTGGTTGGTGGCTGCATCTGGCCTGGAAGTTCTTGGTGGTATGGCTGGCTCTGGTGGCCTGCTGGAACCATCTGGTCTGGGTGCTGAGGCTGCTGCATCAGATGTGTCTGGCATGGCACCACCTGGCATTGCATTTGCTGGACTGGCACTGCTGCTGGTGGCTTCTACTTTTGGTGCTTTTGCCTTGGCAGAGGTGCCAATGGATTTGGCTTTTGCAGTTGCCTTGGGAATGGAGATGCTAGATGCTGCTGCTGCACCTGCTGTGGGGATGGTGCTTCTGGATGCATCTGCACCTTGGTCTGCTGGTACCTCCTGGCCTGGTCTGGGATGATGGTGCCAGTACCTGGCCCATGCATCCTGTGCTGGTTCCATGGATTCATCCATGTCTTTGTACCACTGGATCTCCATGGCTGTATCCTCTAAAACTTGGCTGGCTTCCTTGGAATCCTCCATGGCCATATTATATGACTCATGGATGGAGGCCATGTATGCTTGGTCTGTGGTACTATCATGGTATGCCATGTGGTGCCCTTCCCACATGGCAACTATCTCATCATCACCCTCAGTGATGAAGTCATCATTGGTCATCTTCTGAAGAATCTGTTGGTACGACATGGCTGGTCCAATGGTGAAACAATAGTGAAAACTTTGGTTTGGAATTAAAATATTTTGGTTTGCATCAATAAATTTAATTGTGGAAAACATATTTTGAAATTTTCATTTTGGCAGTTAAGTTCAGAATAAGTTCAGAATTCTGAACTTAACTGCCAAAATTTGATAGTTAAGTTCAGAATTCTGAACTTAACTATCAAATTTTGGCAGTTAAGTTCAGAATTCTGAACTTAACTACCAAAATTTGATAGTTAAGTTCAGAATTCTGAACTTAACTGCCAAAATTTGATAGTTAAGTTCAGAATTCTGAACTTAACTGCAATATTGTACATCGATGTTTATTGTGTTTTTTGATGTGAAACTATAGTTTTCTGAATTTTGTAAGTGATATTTCTAATTATTGTTTGTCTGAACACTCAATGGTGACTTATCAATTTTTGAAGCCAAAATGGTTTATGAACAAATCAGCTCATGCAATGCCATAAATGACAAACCAAAACCATATACAAACTTATTCATCATTGCCCATGCCTGAATGAAAACCACATGAATAAATCAAAATGGTGTGAACAAAACAAAACAAATAAATAATAATGTTTCAACCTTCTGCTCACATGGCAAGGCAACATAAATATATATGACATCATAATGAACTTCCATGTTTGCCATTGTACCGTGATTGAATGGAAATGCAAAAAATATTATTTCAAAGGGAAAGTAGAAACAATTGCCACAAATCATCTGGACAATTTAATTCACAATGGTATTTTCATTGATCACCTGCCTGAACAAATCAATTGGTAATCAAATGGTTCAGAACTGATCAACTGAATCAAACTGATGCAATAATATCCAAATATATTGGAATCAATACATGTGGTAACATGTATGGGTGGTTAAATGCCAGAAGATGGCAACAATACAAAGACTGCATTGGCAAGTTTAATGTTTCTGCAATGCCACGGGGCACCCTAGTGGAATGCCCATGAGATGAAATGTAATGCCATAAGATGGCCAAGGATTGGATCTGCACCAACATTCCCATGAAATGCCCTCAATGGCTGCCAGATGGATTGGCCCTTCATTTTTTCACCACTGCAGTCACGGTCAGCAAAACCATTTGTGGGCCAACTGCAGGCCCTCCAGTGGGCTGGCTTCCTTGAGCAGCCTGGCAAGCCTGGAGGCTTCAATGAGTTCACATGGTCCTCCACCTGGCATTGTGGGCTCTGTCTCACCAACTGGTGGAAGGTACTCACGACATGGAACCTGCTGGTCATCTATATGGGTCCACTTGGTCCTTGGTCCATCTGGATGCAGTGGCCGGCACCATTTTGGAAGCATGGACACCTCCATTGATGCAATAAAAATCACCTTTGGCATACAAACAAAAAATATATCAAAGTCAAGTGGCCCTTTGGTGGAGCCATCATTGAAATGAATCATCAATATTCATTCCCCAGTGGTCTTGTGGACCAGAGAGTAGGCATCAATGGTCAACACTTGGGAAGAAGCCATGGGATTGGGATGGTGGAAGGTTGCTGGCACAGAACCTTGGGCCCAAATGATGCTATCATGGAAAAACAATGGCATGTGACATTGATGCTGCTCCACATATATTATGAGGAGATAGGTTGGTGTATATATATATATATGGATACAAGATCCCAACTATATCCCACATGCTTTCTACAAACAAAAAGACATGGTGGTACCACATGGAGAAAAACAAAATGTAATGCCATTGAGTGGCACAAATGTAATGCCAATAAATGGCACATTTTGGTGAAATGCAATATCAATGAAAAACAATCTCTGGACATGCAATGCCATTGAATGGCTAGATACCAAAATGTAATGCCATTGAGCCAGCTCCAATTCATTGGGAGCCTTGCTGATGGCATTGGCAGGGCTCCTTGGAGCAGGGATGGCAACATGGGCCATTGCTTTTCCACCAAGTGGCTAAAAATTAGCCATTGCCAGCCATTCTGGATGAGGTCCCATACTGGATCATCCCTTGGAACTTCAAGGGCTTGCCCTTGTTCTGGTATGCAACCATGCTGGATGGCTCTCAAAAATGCAGTTGTGTGGGAAGCAGAGAGGCTGAGGTAACCTCAGTGGCACAAGGAAAGAACAGCAAATGCAAATTCAAAGGGAAAGGCTTGTCTCTTGGTTGGAAAAACAAAAATTGCTTTGAGGTGTGCCTAGAAACGTTCTTGGCCAGACACAGGTGCCATGGAGCCTGCTGCCTCCTGGATGATGGCCTTGTTGGCATTGATGTGCTGTTCCCCCTTGGCTGGGTCAATGCTCAACTCCATGGCCATGCTTTCCCCAAGCAACTGCCTTTTCATTCCAATGGCCAGCATCTGCTGGCCTTTGGCCCACATGTCCAACCATGAAATCATCTGCTTGGCTCTGTTGTGGGGGTGGCACAAAACTTGGGATGGTGTCACACCAGTTTGGTAATGAGCCAGCCCATGTTTTTGGAGGACAGCCACCAACTGGTCCACAATCTGGTTCACTGGTTTCTTGGATTCCAGCAAGGCATTGATGTTAGCAACACAATTTGGGTCAACCACCATGGCAGCTGCAGCCATGGTTTCCTTTGGAAAACCCTATAAGCCCTGTATGGCTGCCATTTGCAGTCTCTGACAAAGTGACATTCACACAAAATATAACCTTCTGTGGGTGCTTTTGGTTAAATGCCACATGGCTTCAAAAAGTTTGGCCTGGGCCCAAGCAGTGGATTTTTTTTCCACCATGACTGGTTCCAAGGCTGCAATGCCAACATGGCCATATGAATCATTTGCAGCTAGCTGTGGTGTCAAAACAAGAACATAAATGAAAATGCCATGGGCTGCCAAATTTTCAAACTGATGCTGGAAGAAGCAGCAGGTTCTTTTCTCCCACAGCCACCATCATGAGCTAGTTCACTCCTTGGAATCTTCATTTTCAGCTGCAAGCTGGGGTTCCTTGGTTCCACTGGATTTCTGGTAGCGCTGCCTGTGCTTCAAGGATTCCTTGTCCTTCTCTTCTTGGGGTAGCAAGAAGATGGGCTTCAACTGGTCTTCTTCCAATGGCACCACCAAATCAGACTTGGTGGGCCTTTGGCCTTGCATCAAGCATTCAATGGTTGCATCTCCCAATGGCACTTGCATCACCTGTGGGCCTCCCTCCACCCTTTTCCTCTTGGGCTTCCCTGGCTGGCACTCTTCATCACATGTGCTGGCATTAGTCCAAATGGTGTTCCTTTTGGTGATCAAATCTTGGAAACCTCGATGGTTGGAGAAAGAAGCATTCTTTCCTGCTTCCAACTTGCCAAAAATGATCTGGTTCAATGGCTGGGATGCTGGTCTCAAATGCAGCCACTTGCGATCATCATGTTCTTGGATGAGAGCTGGAGGCAGAGCCATGGCTTTGCCATCATTGCAGCTGATGACCACTTGGGTTGTGATTTCCATATTCATGATTGCATGTGGAGCAGGTGGCTGCAAGTGCAAAGACAAATTGTTGCAATGCCATATGTGGCCAAGCATGCATGTCTAATGGTTGCACATGCAATGCCATGTGGCTGCAAAATTGCAGAGGCAGTCTCACTTGAAATGCCATGTGGCAAAAATGTTTGATAGGACACGTTACACACACAAACCTGTGAAAACAGCTTGTTTTCATTATTGCTAAGGTGGTTAACTTTTAGCTAAAAGTTAGCTAACTCTAGCCAACTCCGGGCTAAAAGTTAACATAAATTATGTTAAGTTAAAGGAATTAGCTATTTTTCACAAAAATTGTCAATTCACCTAAGATACATAACTAGCTACAACCTTTTGAGCTAGTCTTACAACTTGTTACATCTTGTTAGAACTTGTTACAACTAGTTACAACTACTTAGCAACATCCCTAACTTACATAACTAGTTACAAAAAACGGGATTATTTAAGCAGGACATGAAGTCCTTCGATGTCTACATGACCTACCCAGAGAACTGGGTGACTTGACGTCGCGGAGGTCGTTGGCGCCATGTGGTGATTTGATGTGATTCGAAGATCGGAAATTCACGGACGAGTCAGTCCGAAAATCTACAGACTGTAGGTGTTTGGAACTTGTAGGTTTTTTCATGTTTTTCTTTCTTATTCCGAATTTGTTGGTAAATAGAGGTCTGGTGTCCCTGCCATTGACCAAAGACACCGGCCCCTTTCTGTTGGCTTATGTCCCTATGAAATTGAGCTTATCCGTCATAGTTTGTTGATTGATGTTATATATCCAACTATTTTTGGTGATATAATTGTATCTGTTGTGGTTTCAGTTCAGCAATTTGGGTTCCAATATATAAACCCCAGCTGCCCCACAAAGTGCTGCTAAGGAGCCCCTGCAGTGAGCATAGTTAGTTACCCTCCCGGAATCAAAGGTCGCAATGGGAACATCACCCAGCCATAAACCTCCATTTACATGGAACGTTCCCACGTTTTTCCATGTGTTTCCCATGTTTTTCCAAGCTGTCCTAGGGATTTCCATGCAGTCACCATGAGGACAGCGCAGTTAGGGTATCAACTTAGCCAGAGGTTACGGCTGGCGATAACTCCATGGGAACCCAATAAGTTGGGAGAGTTTACCCCCAGAACTATGGCTTATGGTTACCCTCTGGTAAACTAACAGTTTGCTTTTGAAAATGGCCCATAGAAATAGTTGATTTACCAAGAGGGTATAATTATATGTATATATACTGTATATATAAATTACACACACAGATATATATATATATACACATAACTATATTATGTTATACTAGGTATAATTATATTATAACATAACTGGAACTGCACTTCCAAGTGGGGAAGTATCATGGCCAACGTGTGGATGCTTGGTATCAGGATGACCATACCCTGCAGATGATTTGACCTTGGCAGATATATTGCTGGTGATAAATTCATCATGGTCAATTGTTTCTAGAATGGTATGCTGTTGGTATACTGTCATGGTCAAATCAACAGAATATATTGTTTCAATATAATTGTTGGATTACAGAATGGTATAGTGTTGGTACATGTTTCATTATACATATCTCCACATATTGTGGGTTATATCACTTATTTTCCGGCAAAAGTTCGAGAAGTCTTTCGAAAATTGAGGGAAAGGATGTGGATAGGGTCAGAGGTGAGTCAGCAGATTTTGGTGCCGCGCGCCACTGCGTGGTGTCCGTAGATACTCCCGCAGCCACAGTCGACTCATTGAGAAACACTAAGGAAATAGGGAAAGTCTCCAGGATATTTGAAGATTTTGGCAGGAATGCAGCGCAGCTGTATGTGAAACATTGCTGGAGAACTCTACGGGGCGCTAGTCTCGCAGAAACCGAACAGATGTCCACGCGAACCAGCCAAGACTTTCGCCAACAGGAAGAGGAGGATCGAATTGATCGAGGAGGCTATCAGAGAAACAGCACGGTCTCGGTCACACTTATGTCCATCATCGATTGTTGGTGCTACTTACATATCCATGGATTATTGGTGTTGATCATGTTGGGTTGGTTGGTTGAATAGTTTAAAAGTTGGGATTTGATCCGCATTCATCCCATGCCCATTCATATTAAAGACACCAGAAATGGTCCCAAATAAGTGATTTCATCCCCTACATCCACCATAGTGACTCTGGGGGCTGTTTAGTCCTGTATTAGGAGAAGGGATTCTGAAATTTTTAGTTACTGTAGATCCCATTCACCAACATTGAACCATCATCGAATCCGAATAACATCGCCAATCTTAATTTCTGAGGTTTGAATCCTATTGAAATCAAAGACCCGGTACAAATTCTCATTACAAAACTCATTGACATCCCAATAAATCACCTTAAATTATCCAAATTCCATTAAAAGTTCGGCACAATCTCCATGAATTTGACTGCCGAGGATTTGGAGCCCTTGCTGCTGGCGGAGAATGTTCAAGTGACCAACGGCGGCGTCTCCGTGATGATCACCTTCCCCGTGCCTTGGCTCGATGGCTAGAAAGTGAAGCTAACCCCAATTGTTTGGTTGGTGGTTTCAAACATTTCTTATTTTCCATAATATATGGAGGTTTACAACTGGGAAAATCACATATATATATATAGATATAATTATATATATATATATATTTGGTTGGTTGTTTGGAACATGATTTTTTTTTTCCATAATATATGGGATAATCTTTCCCAACTGAGAAGTATTTTCCAGGATGGTTAAAACCACCAACCAGTCATGGTTAATTTAGGGAATCATCCCAAAATGGCCGCAAGCTTCAGGTTAGTGACATTCTATAATTTGCCCGGATAATGGAATAACAATGATATAATACTGTTGGTAAAACAATGGTTTAATAAACCATCCATGTGGGAATGGACTATACCACCTATTTATGATGATTTGGGGGATGGTTTATTATTGTTTTACCGGCATTAGATATTTGATGTAAATAACATGTTAAATATTTTTAATTTGACAACATAACATGTTCATTATTAAATTTTCATTAACAGTTTACCCATTTAATAACCCAAAATATAATGGGGTTACCAGCTTTCTAGTTCATGTTGGTAAATTAGTTCATGAAATTTACATCATGGGGATTTTGATTGATGGGGTGATATTTGTTTGTTTTTTTCCTGAATTTAATGAGATGTTTTTTTTCAAAAATACTCTATCATGATAGTCAATGATATAATGATTGTTTCATCATGATATAATATAATAGTAAAACAAAAACTCATTAAATATCCATGATAATTAATCCGGGATGATATCAGGTTTTTTGACTATTCATTGGATTATGGGAATATCAATGATTTAATCATAATCCTCAGCCAGGGTGATGAAAAGCTCCCCCATTGGTTGATGCTTGATGTGCCGCTCCCTGGTTATCAAATGATGTACCCTCCGGTAAACTAACATAGCTATTGAAAATGGCCATAGAAATAGTTGATTTACCTATTAAAGATGGTGATTTTCCATAGTTGTGTTAGTTTACCAGAGGGTACATTGACTTCTTTTGGGAAAAAGAAAAGATGTTCTTTAAACATGTTCAACTCCTTTTTGGATCAAAGATGAATTGAACATACCGACATGGAGCATACCCCAAGTCCCTCCAAGATCCCATTTATGATTCGGGAATCCTATCGTGAACCATCTCTGAGTGGCAAGGGCTATCCGGTGGTGAATGGAGGGAGCGATCGGGAGCCATGGTGTATCCATGTTCCTTATTGAATGGGGAAGCAGTTGGAGCTACTAATTGAGTTTCCCAACCACATGATATGAGGAGAAAATTGTCACTTGGTAATCAAACATGACTAGCTGGGAAATCCTGAGCAAAAAATGTTCCTTTCGAACATGGGCCTCCCCAAATGTTTGCGTCCAGCATGAAGAACTACTGAATTGATTTCTTTTGGTGATTGTTGCCTGTTATTGCCTGTTCCCGAGGGGTTTTGCCAGCAGAAACTGCGATTTAGCCAGCTCTGAAGGGATGAAAACCAGAGGGCTCGGAATGGAAAAACGTGCTCAATTTTCAGCATGCAAAGTTATTTGGGTTGGCGGTTTGAAACATTTGTTATTTTTCCATTCAGTTGGGAATAGCAATCCCAACTGACTTTCATATTTTTCAGTGGGGTAGGTATACCACCACCCACTTGTCTTATCCCACTATTCAACGATTCTTGGACTGCCGAGACAGCCACGGCTGTGAGGAATCCATCAATGCGAACCATGTGGTTTGCCAATTGAAAGTGGAAGGTGCGCACCTTATTCAGCACCGGATCCTTATAGGGTACCGTTAGGGGCACCCGAACATTGCAACAGGATGGGTATGGGTCAAAAGCGAAGAAATACGATGATCTGGTTGGTGGTTTGGAACATGAATTTTATGACTTTCCGTATATTGGGAATAATCATCCCAATTGACTGATATTTTTCAGAGGGGTAGGTATACCACCAACCAGATATATTTGGGAGGCTTAACATCAATGCACCAGCATTTGAACCCAACTGTAGGGTTCACCAGCATCGGGTTTTGACTCATGCCAATCGTTTTTTTCCTGATCGGAAACATGATTTGGGAAGACATTTTTTCGCCTCTCCATATGCGTCCAGTTACCCCAGTTACCCATCCCGGAACTGGCTCAGTCACCGTTACCCGTCGTTGAAATCGCACCATTGGAACCGAGTGTCCAGCTTGTGAAGAAGCCCTATAAAATATAGAACACCCCCAGAATGATTGTTTGTTGGTTGTTCATAATTCAGATTAGTTCAGATTATTTCATAAAAATCCCCAACAGAAACCCACAAATTCATATTGCCAACAAACCCTCCATTTGGTAGTGGATGGGATGTGAGCTTCTCATCAAGTTGTCATTAGGGGGTGCTGGGCTTGACGCTGAAGAGATTCATTTTTCCCCACCTGCCAGGTGAGGGTTGTTAGATTTTATGTCAGTTGCCTGGTCCTCCTCCTCCTCGTCCTCCTCCTCCTCCTCCTCTCGTTGTCCTCCTCGTCCTCCTGCTCAACTGCGACTCGCGATCCACAGTGTTCTCTGTCGGACCTCCACCACGACCATCCACGCCCAGTGTTCCCTGCCGGACCTCAACCACGACCATCCACGCCCAGTGTTCCCTGCCGGACCTCAACCACGACCATCCACGCCCAGTGTTCCCTGCCGGACCTCAACCGCGAGTATCCACGCCAAGTGTTCCCTGCCGGACCTCATGTAGGAAGATATGGGACAAAGAATGTGCAGAAGAAAGTTAGAAGATAGAATGCCAGAAGATTTGCCAGATAATATGCCAGAAGATATGCCAGATAGAATGCCAGAAGATATACCAGATAGAATGCCAGAAGATATGCCAGAACATATGCCGGAAGATATGCTAGATAGAATGCCAGATAGAATGCCAGAAGATATGTCATAATATATGCCAGAAGATATGCCAGATAGAATGCCAGAAAATATGCCAGATGCAATGTCAGATAGAATGCCAGAAGATATGCCAGAAGATTTGCCAGATAGAATGCCAGAAGATATGCCAGATAGAATGCCAAAAGATATGTCAGATAGAATGCCAGAAGATTTGCCAGTCAGAAAATGTATAAATGTCATGGTGGGGATCACACGAAGTAAAGTAATTTTTTCCATGAACAGGGTCAACCAGCGTTACTGAGAGCTACAAGTTGATTCATGATGATTATCCGTTAGATTATCAAGGAAATTATATATCCCGGATTATCCATGATTATCCATGACTATGAGTGTCATGATTATCATCCAAACCAAATCTACTGTGTTATACCAACTGTCTAAAAGTTGATCCATGTGTTTCATGACCCCTTTGGGTTCACACCAGTCATCAGCTCCACGGCTTGTTGCATGGCTTGCCCCAGCTGATGCGAAGCTGAGCGCCCCATAGTTTTAGCGAAGTTGGCTGACAATGTAAAACCTACCCTCTGGTAAACTAACATAGCTATTGAACATGATCATTTATAGTGGATTTTCCCATTGAAAACGGTGATTTTCCATAGTTATGTAAACGTTTACCAGAGGGTAATATAACTAGCTGGGTAATGGTCAATAAGGGAAATCATCCCCAAATGGCCGCAAGATTCAGGTTATAGTGGAATATTATCATATACCCAGAACTAGGGTTTATGGATGTTTATGGTAGGTTTGCGTATATGGTTGCTGTAGTTAATTATGGAAGTGAAAAAACAACAACTTAGATCTTAGGGGGGCACTGCTATGTGCGAAATATCATTCATGATTTCGTCAGTTATAATAAGCCAGATATAATAAGCCAGTTGCTAACAACTTCACTATTCCCATGGCCCATCTAAGTACACCTTGTTCCATTTTTACCTAAGATGATCCCAGGTTGACTGGGGACGGATGGCTGTTCAAGCCAAAACTGGCAGGTTTCAACGAGCGGGGCGAGAATGTGAAAGCGCGAAGTGCCTGGGCAGAAAGTTGCTGGCTGAAACCATGTGTGTATCATTAGTATTCATTAGTCATGTGGGTAAAACAATCACAAACCACCCATTTGAGAATGGTTTATACCACCTATTTATATCTATTTATGGTGTTTATTCATGAGTACTATATAAACATGTTTGACCAACGTGATGGTGGAGATTGCCCCAAGAATGTCTGACTGTCTAACCCAGCCTGAGACATGATGGTCAAGATTGCCTGTCAGACTGTTTGAGTCAGCCCGAGAATTGATGGTGAAGGATGCCTTAAGCATGTCAGACTGTTTGAGTCAGCCCGTGAATTGATGGTGAAGGTTGCCGTGAGAATGATTGCACTTGTGAAACAGCTCGTGACATGATGGTTAAGATTGTCTTAAGAATCAGAATGTTTGACCGTTTGACCCAGCTTGAGATATGATGGTTAAGATTTCTTTAAGCATCTCTGACTGTTTGGCCCAGCCCGACACATGATGGTTAAGAGTGCCTTACATAATGTTTGACTCAGCCTGAGACATGATGGTTAAGATTGCCTTAAGAATGATTACACTGATTACACTTGCGACCCAGCTCGAGACATGATGGTGAAGATCGGCCAATGATTTTGACTTCATGCGGCCCATCATGGAACTCGGGGTGACATTGGTAACTATACACCCCGCCATGGCAAAAGATTTGCATATAACCTTTTGATTTTCAGCCACCAGGTTTCTGGTAACGAACGGGTGGAGACATACCCCTAAAGATCTGTTATGGAAGCATCACTGGACTGTCGTGCAGGATTCAAAACTTATGCTTCCGCGTGCTGCAATTCGAAAGGGAAGGACGAGCACAACGGATACCTTGCGCTCGAAAGCATGCTGCGCACCTGGCCGCCTCAGAGCTTCTGGAAAGGCGTAAGCAAATTTAGCACGGCTTATTTGCTGCGGGCCGCGTATGGTGGGCAAACATGATGCGCCAACAAATTCAAAAGTGCACCCTCGGCCTTGGCTAGGGGGCGCCTTGAATGCGCGGTGTGCTTGCTATAGTACGTGGGAACCTTTTCTCATTGCGACCGCTTTCGGGCACAGATGAAGGGTCAAGCACGAGCGGCGTCAATATGTGTAGAGCGCGAGGGCCAGTTTGCTTTCTTCAACGTCTATGCGGGTTCGATGTCACGCAGATTTTAGCGAATGCAGGTCATCACCCGAAAGTTCGCCACATATAGACGAGTTGACGCACATGTTTTGCATCAGTTTTCTGCTCACACGCGACAATTTTGGGCTCACATTTGTCCATATATGTCGTTTTTGTGTGAGTTTTTTTGTTCGTAGAGACTTGCAATAGAGATGTTGCCCCATGCTGCCCCCGAGAAAAGCATCAAAATTACGGAAGTAAAAACACCTAAAAGGCAGATGGTGGACCCAGCGGTGAGGATCAACGCAAACAAACATGCACGCAAACATCCTTGACACCTAAGTGCTACACACAGATGCAGCGCATAGTATTCTAGACTGATTTTGATACACGTGTCATCCAAAGTGCTCAAGGCCGAAATCTGCTCCACTTTTCTCATGGATGGTTTGTGCATGTGGCCACGCGTTCGCAAATCTTCTGCCCACCCGCCACTGCCCCGTTTTATGTGACATGCACCATGTAGGGAGTCTATGGGGAACATTTTCTTTTGGGCCTCTGAGCGCCCATGAGCCAAGCCAGGTTTGCCCAAGAACAGGGTAAGTATACGGTAAATAGCTTACCCCAACCGATACTGGTAGCATGTATTTATAATCATTTAGCACGGAGAATTGTGTTTCAATATTTTCGAATGAATTGAAAGCGTGGTTTCCCCCACTGCTCAAGGATATTTTGTTTCATGGGAAAATGTTTAAACACCACCGGGTTTGGTTTTTTTTGTTTTGAAGCAAAACCAGATATTGCGAAATCTGTCACTTCTTTATGTTTTAAACCACCACATTGAAAGCAATCCCTGGGGCTCTCGTATTTTCAATCACCAAATCGGACCAAACCCAAATGAATGTTTCCTAGCATGGGGGGTATCCCGAAAATATCCACGCTAATAGGCCATGACTTAGTATTGAAACACCCATGGTGACTTGTGGACGCCCCAAAACGTTAAGAAACACCTGTCACTAGATCACTAGATCAGTTTTTGTGCAAATTTATGGAATGAGAACCCCATTTATAACCATTTATAAGTGGCATTTGGGGTTTTAGCTGCGGAGGTTCCTTGGAGGGAGAAGAACTTCCGTGCGTTTCACATCGTTTCATCGTTTGCCGCACCTGGACCCTGGCGGACTTTGAGTTGATGTATGCGTCCCTTGGAAACCGATCGATCAGATCAACCTGGGGGTTTCCACCATAGAACTGTCATAAAACCAACGGCAATTTCATAGGGGTATAATATATAAAATATATGGTTTATATATGGCATATGGGATACAATGTGGAACAGATTCTGACGTAAAACTTGTAAGCATCAATTTTGACATGGGTCTCACAAATCGCGGGGATATCTCAAACACATGGATTTCCTAATAGAACATGTTGATTGACCAGTTGGCATACGGTTTCGCAAATTTCATTGGCAGTCCAGAGATGGCCACGGAAAACTGACACTGGATGTTTTTGGGAGATGTTGGGCATTTAGTTCTTGGTGTCATATGTGAATGTTTTTACATACCTACATATGTTAAATGCAGCGCGCTACCCAAGTGTTGCTGGTTTTGTTTCATTTGTAATTGAATTTCATGTCGAATGTAGGTTATTAGGGGGACCCGAACACCCCATCACCAAAATCATTGCCCAACGTACAAAAAAATAGTGTGGGTCAACTAGGTAGTATTGGTGTTGATTTGGCAAAAAGACATGAAATATATAGTTGATAAGAACAGAAGTGATTTGAAATTTGATGGTTTATCTGGTTTACTGCAACTATTAGGCATGTTACTTCATTCCAGTTTGGGGCAAAACGTCCAACTTCTCATGGGGATTCAACCAGCCCTTCCTATACCATTTTTTTCTCGTTGTCAGTGCTTCCCCTATGGATCCAAACACTGTCTGAGAAGATACTTAACTCCCTAAATTATACCCCAACACACTTCCTAAGAAGGTACTTGGATCCAAAAAAACTATGCATTAAAGTTTTTTTTTAAATAGACCCTTACGAACTCCTTGTTAGTGCTTCACCTTACCCTCTGGTTATTTAACATAGCTATGGAAGCCATGGCCCCATTTACAGATGATTTTCCCAGCTAGAAACTTCCATTTATAATGGATTTCCATAGCTATGTTAGTCATAACCAGATGGTACAAATAAAATCAACATCAATTATACCAGATGTTGATTATTGGTTATTAACATTACCAGATAACCAACCTAAATAACCAAAGGGTTGGTTCGTGCTTCATAAACCCTTAAATGAAACACGTCATCCAGGTGCCGTGGTCACCCGTCATCCAGGTCCTTTTGTCGCATGAATAACATGGAGATGGAACGAGTCACCGAAGACGCCCTGCAGGAATATGGCATCTCGGCGCTGGGGAAACTGATGTTTTTTTGGGAAAATCATAGGAAAACTCTGGGAAAACTATGGGGAAATGGAGGTTTACCCTCTGGTAAACTAACATAACTATGGACAATCACCATTTTTTTGAGGTAAAATAGAGGTAAATCAACTATTTCTATGTGCCATTTTCAACCATTTTAAACTGTTAAATTTCCAGAGGGTACTTGATGGATAGCAGCTACCCACTTGGATTCTTAGCGCGTTTGGGATGGGAATTTCCACATAACATCACATAACCACTAAGAATTTCCTATGAATTAAAGTGTTACCAGTGATGATGGGAACCATCCATGTTTTTTTCTGCTGAAAAGTGGTGGTTTGAGATGGTTTTCAAATCAAGGAACCAATGACTTTTTTTTTGGAAAATGGGTTGACAACGCAAGAAAAACAATCAACATTTCTGTTGAATCGGATGATGAGCTGTAATTCAATACATTGGGTAATTTTTTGAAAAACCAGAAGGTTTCACCATTAGGAAATTGACCATTTGGGTTAGCCCCCCACCCGGCCAGACTAAATATACATCAACAAATCTGCGGGCTGAACTGCTAAATAGTTTTATATGTGTATTACATAACTGGTTGGTGGTTTCAAACATTTTTTATTTCCCATAATATATGGGATAATCCTTCCCATTGACTAATATTTTTCAAGATGGTTAATACCACCAACCAGATAAATTTAAATATAAATATATATTAATTATTAAATTAAATATGGAGATGTCCGCATAGATAAATCTCTCATGCGTCCCTTGTGTTCGCCCGTTAGTAGCTCCAGATTCCAGAGTGGCCCTGCCAAGCTGCCTTCACAAAAGAGATTCTGTGAAGGGAGCTGTCTTCACAAAATGGATTCTGCCCAAGGGAGCTGCCTTCACAAAGTGGATTCTGTGAAGGGAGCTGCCTTGCAGTGCGTCTGGTGCACCTGAATTTCAAAGCGCCAATGCCCATACCGTATCCACTATAAAAACTATGACCAAATTGCCAGATGTTGAAAGAGATGTTGAAAGACTGATCCATATACTGGGAATAATAATCCCAACTGACTTTCATGTTTTTCAGAAGGGTAGGTACACTACCCAGGCAAATATTCGTGTATCACTCAAGGCGTTTGGCCCCCAATCACATAAGATTCTGTTGTGCCCACCCCCGAGCCATGGCTGGGCTTCCAGCGGTATAATTCTCCACTTGCCGATCCTAGGGAGGGGGGTACGATTTTTCATTGGAGTTTCAATGGATTGGTTTAAAGGGAAAATTAAAGGAAAACCCCGTATTTAATGTAAAAATCTATGGATTTTCCCTCCAATCCATTGAGAGTTGACGTTTTGGGATTCTTATTGGTAAACTGATGTTTTGTCAACCGAAAAGCCACTTTGTCTTCGGGATTTTCAGCCGGTTGAGAGGTCAAAAGGCTCACTTTGCCATGTTTGTGATATTCCTTTGTAATCCAATATATGTCAGTGGCGCATTCGTATGCATGATCGGCAGATGGTACATTGCAAATAAAATCGCTAAACAATGTGTCTTTTGATATCCACGTGTTCAAAATATGATTCTTTGATAGGCGATGTTCTATCCACATGTTCAATATGTTGTCTTGATATGTTTTGACATCTTTTTTTGGGGGGCGTTGGTATTCACACATTTCGAACTCTCTGGAATGCTGTCATGGAAGCCCTGCAAAAGAAGTCCTGGAATCCGGAAAATGATTTGCCACCCATGCAACCGCCACTCCGAACATTGGGCCTACCCCAAATAAATCCACGGGTAGACATCACCATCATCATCATCATCATCATCATTATCATGTTCCATATGTTTCCCTTTAATGGCCATAAAGTGAACATTTTTGGAGCACACTCCACGCTGTGTCAACGTTCAAGGCATGGTTCTGGCCAAGGACCAGCTCAAGGTCAGATTTCAAAAAAACTTGGAAACCGGGAGGCGGTTGATGGCTTACATAAGTGTCAAAAAAGGTGTGTATCATACATTTGGCCACTTATCAAACGTTGCTTAATGATCTTAATGTTGCTTGATATCGGGTTTGGCACTGTCCTGGCAAACCTTGACTTTTCATCCAAAACCAACCAACACCTTTATGAAATTGTTAGTAATGTATGTCTGGTCCTGGCATAATTATGCAATTGGCCCAGGCCAAGACTCCGATGTGATATATTCTGACTCCAGTCCAAGGGCCCTCATGGGTTGTCTTGACGAGTCCTGGGCGCCCCTTGTAGAGATGATAGAGATGATGCTGGGTGAAATGCCTATTTTGGTGGGTTGAACCCCGCTTCTTGCAGGTTAGACAGCCGGTCCGGATTGTTGTTTGCATGTCCGACTTTGCTACTTGGAGTCTCATGGCAATTAAATAAATGATGAGCAACGGAATGAGAAGAACATCAAGTCGGACAATCCCTAAATCTAGAAAATCACTATTTAAATTTAGTACCTTGAATTCCTGGGAGATTTGTTCTATTTGCTCCAGGGTGTTCATGTGATTTCATATATATATATATATAATATATATACACATATTAAGGGACAATCGCAGAACCAATGGACTTTGGTTAGATTGGCTTTCCTAGACCTCCATATAACTATACATTTGCTATTGGTAGTGCATACGAGCCTGGTGTTTATCCTGATCCGGCAGAGCCAACTGCTGAGGAGTTCAACGCAGCTTGGGAAAGGTCTAAAACAGCTCAAGACCGAGTCTGGCAGAGTAGGGTTGAAGCTCTTGCTGGGAAGCACGCTAAGGCCCTTGAAGAGTACAACCAGTCACAGCGACAAAAGGAAAAGCACAACAAAGCGCGTCCTCAAAGGCTCCGCCTGGTGTTACTATGCCTGCTGAGCCAGACCGTCCAGCTCCAAGAGCCCCAAAAGTTGCAACCCCAAAGCCATCTCCGCCACCGTCACCACCGCCAAGTCCAAAGACAGGTGCCGCTCCAGTTACCCTTTGGCAATTGAATATAACTATTGAAAATGGCTATTTATAGTGGATTTACGCAGTAAAAATGGTGATTTTCCATAGTTATGTTAGTTTGAGGGTACCATAAGATCTTCAACCAATCTCCGCCATAAACATCGGCCACCCACGAGGTGGTTGCCACAGTTGGTTTCCAACTCAGCGAAGCGGACATAGACATTATAATAGACATCAGGCCTCAAGGAATAACCACTACAATAGGCTAACAGGCAATGTAGCTTAACAGTAAGAGTAAGTCTGGGTAAATTATAACGACCTCACTGTGACCTCACTGGAATCATGGTTAATAAGGGAAATCATTCCCAAATGGCCTTAATTCAGGTTAGTGAATTATAATAATTTACCCAGGTAGGTATATTTACACTTAATAGGCCTTATGCAATCTTAAGTAATCCAACGCCATATTAACTGTGGATACTTTTTTTGATATCACTTCTGATACCCGGGATGCGCCCCAACCCATGGCACCAGCTATAAGTTTATGAAAAAAAACTATACCTATAGGCATTTCATCACCATAAGCCATAATTATATGGATATTATGGACATATTATGGCAAAGCTATAATTATTTTCACGAACTTAGCTATAATTCAACTATTCATCTCCGTATTTGGGTTGGTTCACTCCCCCATTGATTCATTGCTGGCTAACAAAACCCCCATCAACCTAGCTCACTGTTTTCCCCATATTTTGCTTGGTTCAAATTCACACACCATTATTGCTGGTTATATAGTTATATATCTCACATGCATCCCCCATTTGTTTGTTCATTGCTGGCTGCAAGAATGTCCCATGAACCTAGCTCATGTTTTTCCATATGTTGATTCAAATTCATTCCCTAAGATATCCTAAGATTGTTGTTGCACTTTTTCCCCATCAACCATTCCCCCTATTATTGTTGGTTACATAATTCTATATAATTCTATGTATGTATGTATGTATGTACATATATATTTATATATATATCTCTCTCTCTCTCCCCTATGCATCCCCCATTTATTTGTTCGTTGCTGGCTCCAAAGAAATCCCCATGAACCCAGCATCAACCCATCCCATTCCGACAGGTCTGCAGCGGTCTGCGGAAGCCCTTGATCTTCGAGGAGATCGCGGATCAGGAAGTCATCGACTGTCCGGGTCTGTCCCCTCGGCGCTGCGGGACGGGAGGGACGGGAGGGGCATGCTGCTTGGATGGCCTTGTTAAGGGGCTTGGAACGTGCCAAAAAGATCCAAAAAGATCAGTAGTGGTTAAACTCAATTTACTCAAAATTATGGTTGATCAAACTCAAAAGAAGACCCAGAAGATCTGCGTTTAATGCAAAAAAAGAAGTTGGTATTGAGACTAACCAATGACACAAAATACTTGGTTGACACCAAGCAATCCAAACAAAATGAATGTTTAATACCAAAACATGACCAATCCGTGATGTGGATAGGTCGATAGCTATCATTCTCGGGTTGCGGGGGTGACCCTGCCAAATACCACCTGAAAAACGACTTTCCTCTAAAAATCTCCAATTCTCAGGGTCAACAAAAATCTGTTGGACTTGGAGGCATGCCAAGTCCCACAATGTTCATGGAAAATTGCGAGCCAATTCTGCCATTCACATCCCTGTGCACATGTCCACTATGAAATGGCTGGACCCATGTTCCATTTCAAACGGCATTTTTGCAACAAAAGGAGTCATTTTGTAAGGATTTTTGCCCAGGGAACCCTGCCATTTTGTAAAAGGCGTGTTTTTTGTTGGGCAAATCATTTTGTAAGAGCCAACATTCTTTACAAAATGACGTCGGGGCCAATCATTTCATAACGCTATTTTGGGTTCATAAAGGAGGGTATTGAAATCTTGACCATGCCCATAAACTCGTTAATCTGCAAATCCCGATTCCTTCCTCAGATCAAATAAGAAAAAAATCAATCTCGCCATTTGGCCAATGACCCCAATTTTTACCATATGTTACCCATGTTGGTGGTTTGAAACATGAATTTTATTTTTCCATTCAGTTGGGAATGTCATCATCCCAACTGACGAACTCCATCATTTTTCAGAGGGGTTGGTTGAAACCACCAACCAGGTTACCCATGATTCATGTCACGGCCAGCTTCACCAAGGATCATGGTCAGTGGCGACAACATCTCGGCGCGCTCGGCCTTGGGTCCCGCCGTGGACTTGACGGGGGGCGGCTCTGATGCGGGAGGTAGCGCCTTGACGTCGGTTCGAAGACTTGGCCCCTGGAGTGATCATGGGAAAATCCATGGACTCCATGGGATGCAGCCCCAGGACTTGGCCCCTGGGAGTGACTTAAGTCGTTAGTAGCTGGTGAACACAAATTGACCAAATAATGGTAGAAAATTAAGCTAGTTCCTAAGCACTGCACTAATCCCATGACCCATCAAAGTAGGGAACTTCTTGGAAGTGCAGTTCCAGTCCACTAAATGGATATGATATAACAATGTATTTTTAAGGGGTTATATCTCAACCTATGGGAGTCAAACAAACCATGTGTAGCCTTAACCGCACCCCCAAGTTGGTTTAGAATAACAGGCATAACTTTAACTGGGGGGTTGTGGTAGCTATGATATATCACTATAGTTAGATGGGGCAACCTTTATAACTGGACGGCAGCGCATTGTGGTGATTTTCCAGCTTTTGCCAGCTAAAAGTGATTGGAACATGTGGTTTTGAGATGTATTTTTGAGATATATTGGAACAGTTGGTGGCTAATAACAGTATGTAATTGATACCGGGTGGTGAATAGATCGAGCGTGTATCCACATTCGAACATCGGGAGCAAAGGGAAGCTACGAATTGGAAACTCAACAAGCCCAAGCTGCCAAAATGAGGGCGTTCACAAAAATGTTTGAATTTACCAATTTACCCCACAGTTTTTGAGATTAGTCAATAATTCCTCAGTCAGAAAAAATGGGAAAAGAAAAGAACAATGCAGAGTTGATGTCTTGGCAAAGACTGGCATGGAATTTCACACGCGAACACGGCGATTTCGCAACCATTTGGTAGCAAATATTTGCAAAGGTTTTATGTGGATAGAAAGGTGTTCTTGTTGGATTTACCCTTCAAGAATTTCGTCTCAGCAAACCAGATGTGTTTTCTCTACCACCCAATGGGAAATTTCAGATGGTAGTTTTGAACACATATTCTATTTTTTTGCAGAGTACCACATACCTCATGTCCCCAAACATCCTAAGTAATTATGATCATTATCATTGTGATGACAGTATCAGGGGAATCATCTCAATATAGCCTTATTTCAGTAAGGTGAATTACTATATTTTCATTTGCCCATGATTTAGCCAGTTGGTTTTCGCCAGCTACTAGACAGTTATATATATATATAACTCACTCATCCCAGGGCCCATCCACATGGTTTATGATGATTTATGTTATTATCCCAAATCTCATAACAGTGGGATACTAGTAACCATAACACATTTTTTAACCTCTGGTAAACTAACATAACTATGGAAAATCACCATGTTTAATGGGAAAACTCACTATTTCTATGGCCATGTTCAATAGCAAACTGTTAAATTACCAGAGGGTAACTCAAGTGAAGTATGATTCCAAGTAGTACATCCACTACAACGTCAAAATCATCCACTATGTAGTTGATTCATTTGAGTGCTTATAGTTCTGCAATCCACTATTAATTGAATATCATTGATTTAAAAGGGTTGAATATCATCTACTATTGAACATCATCAGTTGAATATCATCCACTTTCATCCACTATTAGACAGTCTTATCACCTACTTACTAATTGTTGTTGAATATGTGTTATATATAGTTATATCATGTTATATCACCAACTATATTTTCATTTCACCAACTATACGACTCACTCACGAGTGATTAAATCCGGTCGTTTCTCTTGAAATGTATATTCTTGAGGTTTCACCCAATTGTTGATCAGTTACCCTCTGGTAAACTAACACAACTATGGAAAATCACAATTTTTCATGGGAAAATTCACTATTTCTATGGTCATTTTCAATAGCAAACTGTTAAATTACCAGGGGGTAACTCACCAACTATAGTTAAGTTCTATAACTCACTAATTGGTAAATCCCATCTATCATCCCCAAAAAAATCATCTATAAATGGGTCATTTTCACTCACCATCCGAGGCATTCTCCGCACGATCAGCTCCACGAAGTCGCCCTTTCTGGGCGGCAGCGCGGCTTCGCCCTCGGGCCGTCGTGCCGCCAACGCCCAGGTGGATGTGACCTGGCGATGCGGAGACGGGGCAGCGTGGGGATGGGAAAAGGTGAGGATTTTTGCTGGGAAGAAGGTGGAAAAAAACCCAGGATTTCTTGGAAAAAAATGATGGGTTTTGAGACTTGAAGGGTATACTCAATATGTAACAATAAAGGCAAACTAATGATTTCATGTGAAAAACTATGGGATTGTAGTGGCAAGAGTCAACAGTACGCGGTGAGTTCATCGGAAGCATGAACTCTATGCATCAACCACACTTGGTGTTTTTATTGGGTGCATTCGGATTTACTAGCAGTTGGCATGTGTGCGTGTGTGTGTGTGTCCACCCTGACATGCCCGGTACCCCACATCCCAACTGGTTAGAAGTTTGGTGTCCCCGAACTGTTTGGCCCTATCAAGAACTTAACATTGCGAAACACATGTGCCATGATTGAAATCAGATATGGCCAGATGCTCTCTTAATGTGGGCAAACAAACGCACATTGATATGCTTGGTACCCCTAATTTAGTTACTCAGCAGCAAATGCAGAAACATTAGTTCCTCGATCTCCGCCACCATGTTGATGTTGTGTTTTCCTGTTTTCTGGAGGACCCCTAGCAGTCAAATGTCTAACATGACCAAAATTTGTGGCTCTTGGGGCAACCAATGTTTGTGCTGCATTTATTTCCATCCCAAGGATCGATTGCTTTTCAGAAGTCACATTCGACGCCCAAGATCAATCAACTTTTGGTTTAGCAACATGTGGCTGCCATTTCCAATAGTTTTTGATAGTTTTTTAGGATTCTGAATAACATCAACTCATCAACCCCAGATATCTTTGCATCATCAACCCTGGTTTCTTCCATCCGACCATCATTCGCCGTGGCGAAAAAACGCGAAGCCCTTGAGGTCCTTGAAAAGCGGGTCACTTGGAGCCGACGTTGGTGACAGGAGGGAGTGGTGAGCTGAGCGGCTATCCACAAATTCCCTGTACATGATGGGAATTATTTGGAATATGAAAGCCAAAGGTTGGAGAATATGATTAGGGAATATTCCCATCATATTTGGTGATTCCATTATTTGGAATATGATGGGAATGATTTGGAATATGGGGATATGATGGGGGAGCCAGTTCGAGCTACGAATTGAGTGTCCAAAAACACATTTTCTCGCCTTTGCCACCGGCAGACTCGGACTCCGAGATCGCGATGGTTCCATTGTTTGCTTGCTATTAACATCTAGGGGTTACTGGTTTCTATGGGATGTTTGGGGGAGTTACTTACCTAGCAGGAAAGATGTGAGACACGGCAGCCAGAAAAAAAAACAGTGTTTGATGGATATGAACGAGTATGATTTAGGCAAACCTTAAGGTAAACAGTGGCTTCATAAATTTTGAGTTGCAATATTACCCCTAAATGCATTCTTTGTATTTTCTTTGTCTGATATCTCACCATAAATTTGCACCCATCCTCTTCAGGAGTATTCTTCATATGCAGACCCTTTCCCTCTTTTTTTAGGTTGAATTGCATCAGTTATTCTCATCAGCAAAGGTTCAACATCGATCCTCCAATATCCTGATATCGTATACCGGTATACCCGTATTTTATTTAACCAACCCCAATGTTGGCCAGAAATAATTAATGGTTTGTGGCGTTGCCGGCTGGGTTTCCCAATCTTACCTTGTCACGGCCTGGAACCGATGAGACAATGCTCAAAGCTGAAGAAAATGCTTGAAGTGACCGTAGCTCTGCCCAGCGGTCGCAATGCTGGTCGGCTTTCAATTCCGCAGTCCTCCAAAGTAGGGGAACTGAAGGTGCTGGCCCAGAAATCTTTGGGACAACGTTTCGCAAGGCTTCCTGGATGGATCTTAATGGTGATTTTTTTCCCGAATGCATATAACCAAGGGTTCTCGTTTTACTCTGGGGGTCTGGGGGTTGGGACGTGTTCGCTCGACGCTGCTTTTGTGTTCGCAACCGTTTGCAACCGTCGGCAACCGTTCCGATATGGCCGTGCCTCTGGGGAGTGCTACAAAAAGTGGTCACTTTTGGAGGTTTCAAACGTTGCGTAACCTCGTTTCGCGCGGCAGGCATGGCACTTCATGACATTCCAACATGTTTCAGAACGTGACAAAAGCCGTTCTGTGTGCGATAGGCGCAAAATGGCGCAATACTTTTGCGTCGTTTTCAGCAGATGACTTCCATTTTCCGTGGCAGACGCAGTACTTCAGACATGTCGCGTTGCGTGTTTTTGCGAATCCCGATGTAGGGCTGCGTCGCGCGGTGACGACGTGCAAATTCCGTGGCACACTTCACGCACTACACTTTTGGCACTCCACACTCTAAACACTTTACACATCACACTGTACGCTCTACACTTCACAGACAGCAATCTACACTTCACACTTGACACTTCACACTTCACACCCTAAACCTTGCACTTCACACTTGACGCTTGACACTCTACAGTCTACACTGTACACTTCACGCTTTAACCTTGACACTTCACTCCCTACACTTTACACTCCAGAATTTACACTTCACATTCCACACTCTAGATTTCACACTTTTTTACTTGACACTCCACACTTTTCTACTTTACGCTTTACACTCCACACTCTACACTTCATACTTTACACTCCACACTTTGCACTCTACACTTTTAAACCATTCAGTTTACACTCCACACTTTACAATTTAATAATTACACTTCACACTTTACACTTGGCACTGCACTTTACACTTTACGGTACAACCCACACTCTACACTCCACACTTTACACTCCACACTCTACACTTTACACTTTACACTCCACATTTCGCATTTACACTTGACACCCCGCAAGACACTTACACTTGACACTTTACGCTCCACACTCTACACTCTATACTTTACACTCTGCACTTTGCACTCCACACTTTACACTTTACACTCCACCCTCCACACTCTACACTATACACTCCACATTTCGCACTTTACACTCGACACTTGACACTCCACATTCCGCACTTGATACCCTACATACTACATTCCCCACTCAACGCTCCATTGTCTTCACTGTCTTCACACTCCACACTCTGCACCCCACCCCATTCCATACTCCACAGTCTACAGCGCACTGGTACGGAAACAGGTCAAACATGTACAAGACTGCAGGCTGTTGAAAAAACGTGTTTGACAATTAAAGGACCGGATAACCCCACAAGTCAACTTTTTCCAATGATCATGATCAGACAAAGTGCATGAAGCGGCACAGAGAAAGCAGAAAGGACAAAGGAGATGTTGGAGGATCGATAATTTTAAAAGTTGTATGTGAAGAGTTGTGTGTGAAGGTTGTGACATTGTGTGTGTGTGACAAAGTTGTGTGTGAAAGATTGTTTGTGACAAAGCTGTGTGTGTGTGTAACATCTGAATAGATGTAAAACTTCTCTCTCTTTTTCTTCCTTTGTCCTCTCCCTTTCTAATTCTAAATTCAATGCAGGGGGACTGGAGCCGATTTGCCTATCCAGTCCAACGAAGCTATGGCATTTCGGTGGATGAGTGGTCTGATCAACCACTTGTACCTGCTTTTCATTGTTTCGCTTCTAATCTGCATGTTTCAGGATTCAGTTCCTGCCGGATCATATAATGATCCATTCTTGTCTAGTGTGATTTCCATGGTGACTCCGACATGGTGCCATGGAGCCATTGGAGGCAACCCTTTTCAGGGTGAGTGTCGACCGTCTTGAATTCTGAATTCACACATTTTAACTCAGTAATTCGTTTAAGTAAAGGGCAACAATCAGCCTTGCGGTTTATCAGCCTTGTTGAATGTCCCGCGGCTCCGGACGTCCCAGGGACCCCAGTGATCGGTTTCTCTTTCTGCGTGAGATCGTTCGGAACAACCAGAAACTCCATTTTTTACTACTGCAGCAACTTTTGCAGCGTCATTGCATCATGTCACGACACTTGAATCAGGCAGGCACACGTCTTGCAGGTGTGGTTTTCTTTCCTTTTGGTTCTCTGGTGAGGTGAAACATGTTGTGCACCTAATTCGCTGGACTTTGAAAGCTGTTATATGCCAATTGGGGCAAGACTTGACCACGGTCCCGGTGCAGGGAATAATCGCACGACCTTTAGGTTTAGGAACTGAATCCTGTTTTTAATTAATTGTTTTGGTTTTCCTGTCTGTCATCAACTAGTCCCCCATTTGGTCCCTAATTTCCCCGCGTGCCTCTCCGTAATGTGTCGTGGGGGTTAGGTGTGTGCGCTGTTTTGGTCAGGTCCGTTTCGCCGTGTAGGTTGGTTCCGGAGGTCCGTCTGTTCCCCTCCCCCCCCTGCGCTGTTTTTGGCCGTCTGCCCGTCGTGTGTCCGCTTTTTTCTTCCTCTTGCCTTTCAGGGTTGACCCGGCTCCGGCCGGGTGTGTGTGTGTAACATCTGAATAGATGTAAAACTTCTCTCTCTTTTTCTTCCTTTGTCCTCTCCCTTTCTAATTCTAAATTCAATGCAGGAGGACTGGAGCCGATTTGCCTATCCAGTCCAACGAAGCTATGGCATTTCGGTGGATGAGTGGTCTGATCAACCACTTGTACCTGCTTTTCATTGTTTCGCTTCTAATCTGCATGTTTCAGGATTCAGTTCCTGCCGGATCATATAATGATCCATTCTTGTCTAGTGTGTGTACGAGTTGTTTGTGACAAAGTTGTGTGTGAAAGCTTGTGTGTGACAAAGTTGTGTGTGTGTGAAAGATCGTGCGTGACAAAGTTGTGTGAAATATTGTTTGTGACAAAGTTGTGTGTGTGAAAGAGTTGTGTATGACAAAGTTGTTTGTGACAAAGTTGTGTGTGTGTGAAAGAGTGTGTGGCAAAGTGGTGTGTGACAAAGTTGTGCGTGTGTGTGAAAGAGTTGTGTATGACAAAGTTGAGTGTAACAAAGTTGTGTGTGACAAAGTTGTGTGTGTGTGTGTGAAAGAGTTGTGTGTGTGTGTACGAGTTGTTTGTGACAAAGTTGTGTGTGTGTGTGAAAGCTTGTGTGTGACAAAGTTGTGTGTGTGTGAAAGATCGTGCGTGACAAAGTTGTGTGAAATATTGTTTGTGGCAAAGTTGTGTGTGTGAAAGAGTTGTGTATGACAAAGTTGTTTGTGACAAAGTTGTGTGTGTGTGTGAAAGAGTGTGTGGCAAAGTGGTGTGTGACAAAGTTGTGTGTGTGTGTGAAAGAGTTGTGTATGACAAAGTTGAGTGTAACAAAGTTGTGTGTGACAAAGTTGTGTGTGTGTGTGAAAGAGGTGTGTGTGTGACAAAGTTGTGTGTGTGTGTGAAAGAGTTGTTTGTGACAAAGTTGTGTGTGTGAAAGAGTTGTGTGTGTGTGACAAAGTTGTGTGTGTGTGTGAAAGAGTTGTGTATGACAAAATTGAGTGTAACAAAGTTGTGTGTGACAAAGTTGTGTGTGTGTGTGAAAGAGTTGTGTGTGACAAAGTTGTGTGTGACAAAGTTGTGTGTGTGTGTGAAAGATTGTGTGTGACAAAGTTGTGTGTGTGAAAGATTGTGTGTGACAAAGGTTGTGTGTGTGAAAGATTGTGTGTGACAACGATTGTGTGTGAAAGATTGTGTGTGAAAGATTGTGTGACAAAGATTGTGTGTGACAAACTTGGTGGAAGAGGAGGAGGAGGAGGAGCGGACAGGATACAGAACCAAAAACAAGAACCCCACACAAAGATGTGGGGAAAAACGTTTTACGTGACTGCATCCGGGTTCGTTGGTTTCTCTTGTTTTAGACTCGTTTATTTGTTGATACACCATTGAGGTACTCTGCTGGTATTAACTTTGGTTGGATCCCGTAAGCCGTAAGCAAATCTGCATGAGGCTTGTGACTGCAGATGCGCGCGTCCTGACTGATCCAGCGCAATCCCTCGAGGATGCTGGCCTTAAAGACGGAGACCAGCTCACGGCAATTGTGGGACAAGCAAATTTAGCGTCAACTGACACGGCTTTTGCTTCTTGGTGCTGCGGGGGTGACGGCGTTGTTACGTGGGGCAATTCGCATTCTGGTGGCCACAGCTCTGCCGTTCAAGATCAGCTGAGGAGTGTGCAGCAGGTTCAGGCAACAGATGGAGCATTTGCCGCAATCCTGGAAGACGGCTCCGTTGTTACGTGGGGTGATCCACGTTCTGGTGGTGACAGTTCCGCAGTCCGAGATCAGCTGAGGAGTGTGCAGCAGGTTCAGGCGACAAGTCGGGCATTTGCCGCGATCCTGGAAGACGGCTCTGTTGTCGCGTGGGGTGATCCACATTCTGGTGGTGAAGTCCCAAATGAGCTCAGGAGTGCCCGGCATGTTCAGGCAACAAAGGAAGCATTTGCTGCTATCCTGGAAGACGGCTCCGTTGTTACATGGGGTGACCAAGGTTCTGGTGGTAGTAGCTATGCAGTCGAAGATCAGCTGAGGAGTGTGCAGCAGGTTCAGGCAACAGATGGAGCATTTGCCGCAATCCTGGAAGACGGCTCCGTTGTTACGTGGGGTGATCCACGTTCTGGTGGTGACAGTTCCGCAGTCCGAGATCAGCTGAGGAGTGTGCAGCAGGTTCAGGCGACAAGTCGGGCATTTGCCGCGATCCTGGAAGACGGCTCTGTTGTCGCGTGGGGTGATCCACGTTCTGGTGGTGATAGCTCTGCAGTCCAAAATGAGCTCAGGAGTGCTTGGCAGGTTCAGGCAACAAAGGAAGCATTTGCTGCTATCCTGGAAGACGGCTCCGTTGTTACATGGGGCGACCCAGGTTCTGGTGGTAACAGCTTTGCAGTCCGAGATCAGCTGAGGAGTGTGCGGCAGGTTCAGGCCACAGACCGAGCATTTGCTGCAATGTTGGAAGACAACTCCGTTGTTGCATGGGGCAATGCAGCTTGTGGTGGTGACTGCTCTGCTGTTGAAGATCAGCTGATGGGTGTGAAGCAAGTTCAGGCCACGTCTAGTGCATTTGCCGCAATCCTGGAAGACGGTTCGGTTGTTACCTGGGGCTATCCACGATCTGGCGGTCACAGCTCTTCCGTCCAAGACCAGTTGAGGAGCGTGCAGCGGGTTCAAGCCACGCGAGAAGCACGCTGCGATCCTGGAAGATGGCTCCGTTGTTTCATGGGGATTTTTTCGTTCTGGTGGTGACAGCTCTGATGTTCAGGATTTGCTCAGGAATCTCTGAGTTTGCAGGAGCTCAATTGAAACGCTTCAGCACCAGGTCCCAGCCAGGCCAACTGAAAAGACATCAGGGCGCTGCAAAATGAGCCGTAAACCAAGATCTTGCCAAAGTCCCCTGAAGGCAGCCTCCGCCTGACAACTAGGCCCAGCAGGGCAGTCCCACCAGATTAGTTCATGTTTTTAAAGAGCCGCATCATGCCACATCCACAGGTTTGATGGTTCTACCTTAGACATCACCTCAACCACAATAAAGGTTGAGAACAGAACCCCCTACTCAAGAGTTGATTAGTTCTGCTCGTCACCACGGTTTGTGGTTGGAGGCCATGTCTAGGTTCTACCCTTATACTTGGTGGATCTCAGTGGTTCACCCCAGCTAGCCAGTAGGTTGCAAGCTGTAACCCCTGACAACTGGATTCACCTTACCTGCCGTACAACTTGGCTTGTAACATGTTGTACTAATCCCTTCCCCCTACGATAAACACCCCCTTGGAAACCATGGTTTAGTAGGGAATTGATTTCCACATAATTGGGACGATTTATGGCGTGTTTAATATTTGGGTGATGGGATTGACCTGGGTAAACCACCAGTAACGCCTCCATGACTCCGTATTGGCCAGGGCCCAGGGCCGACATGCCCCCACTTGCCCGAGGAATATCGATCCACCTTCCAATCCGTGGGCTTCTTGGAGCGGCTTGGCCTGGGATGAAAAGGTGTCCAGGGATATCTCAAGGTGGATAAGCAAAGATGTTGAATGGTGGTTGCTGGTGATTCAAGGTGTTTAATGCTGATATTATATAATGGTGTTTGATGGTGATTAATGGCGATTAATGGCTACCAATGGATGGTGATGATGATGATGATGATGATTCATGATCATGATCATGATCATGATCATGATCATGATCATGATGATGGTGATCATCATGATGAGGATGAGGATGAAGATCATGAGGAGGAGGATGATTTAGGATGATGAATGTTTAATGGTGAGGAATGGATTTACCTTTTGGTAATCAAAGATGGCAGCTGAGAATCCCCGAAGTAAATGATAAATGGAGGTTTATAGCTGGGAAAATAAGAAATAAATATGTTTTCCATTGCCACGTTTAATTACCGGAGGGTAGCTAAGTTTCTTCATAACTAGCTTGACTTCCGGGTTTAGCGTGGTTATGCGTGGCTATAAGTATGCATGGAGCGCCATCGTGGGGCCACACCTGGGTACAGTCTTCATGTCTGAAGCCAAGTGGGTGAACATTGGTAGACCATTCATATTGTTGGTGATAATATTGGTTAATGATGGTTAAGGATGGTTAGTGATGGTTAAGATTGGTTAATGATGGTTAAGAATGGTTAGTGATGGTTAAGATTGGTTTATGATGGTTAAGATTGGTTAGTGATGGTTAAGATGGGTTAATGATGGTTAAGATTGGTTCATGATGGCTAAGATTGATTAATGATGGTTAGTGATGGTTAATGATGGTTAAGATTGGTTAGTGATGGTTAAGATTGGTTAATGATGGATAAGATTGGTTAATGATGGTTAAGGTTGGTTAATGGTGGTTAAGATTGGTGGGTGATGGTTAAGGCTGGTTAATGATGTTAAGATTGGTTCATGATGGCTAAGATTGGCTAATGATGGTTAAGATTGGCTAGTGATGGTTAATGATGGCTAAGATTGGTTTATGATGGCTAAGATTGTTTAATGATGGCTAAGATTGGTTTATGATGGTTAAGATTGGTTAGTGGTGGTTAAGGTTGGTTAATGATGGTTTAGAATGGTTTAGATCGGTTAGTGATGGTTACGGATGGTTAATGATGGTTAAGACGTGTTCATGATGGCTAAGACTGTTTAATGATCGTTAAGATTGGTTAATGATGGTTAAGATTGGATAATGATTGTTAATATTTCTTTATCATGGGAGATATTGTTCAATGATGGTTACTAGGTGAGAGCCTAAATATTTCGATGCTGAGTAAGTGAAGATGCCAAGGTGTAATTGGTTCCCATTGCTTTCCGGCAGTGAAACGTGACGCATTTGGTTTGATTTTTTCCCCGGGAACTTTGGGATTGGCAGGTGCAATATTGT